GTCGTCTGGACTCTCATTTCCGTGGAACAGGCGACGACAATGAGAAGCTGGTGGGCCGGAGACCGGGCCATGCCCTGAAGACAGGTCTGCACATCGAAACGGCGAAGTTGCTGCAGGTCTCTGGCTCATCAGTGGAGACAGCGTTCTTGCTGTAGTACGTGGACGCCGGATTTTACTTCTCCGGGTGCTGGATCGCGTTCTCACTTCGACTGCCGATCTCGGGGTGACGATATCTATGGAATACCCGACGCGCGGACACAGATCAACTTCCACGGTCCCGAGGTATGTTTCCTCATTCCCGGACCCAACGTTTCATGAACGAAAAGGCATCACCGCACCAAGCTTGACCGAGGCAATAGAACTTCCAGTGCTCAGTACCGAACAGCTCAGAAGGTGGGGATTCGACTATTTTCCCCGGGGAATTCTGAGCACAGCCATTGCTCTCCGCTCAGCAACGTCAACATGCATGGTAGCGACATATGTACCTAGTAAGCGAAACTCTTCGGAGCGGCGCTACGGAACTCAGTGGGTCGTAGACGTGCTCGTCTCGATTACGGCACAAACCGAACGCGCTGATGTAGTTGCCGTCATGTCTGCCGCGAAGCTGGATTTAAGCACAGCACCGTCGTAGCTGGGTCTGCAGGGTCATGTATGACGCGGAACTGAATTCGGGGGCAGGAACATCACGTTGTATTACGCGGCAGTTCATCCTCGTCGTGGTTCGATATTTTGGTATCATGCCCCTCTTGAGTAGTTCTTCCTGCAGTCACGGGTCGGAAAGCGCGTCGCATTCGAGACGTTGGAGAGAGGTAGTGATGCAGGGACGGGTATGATGCTGTGAGCAATCTTTACGCGTCAGTCATCTCCAGCGATCAACGTTCAGAAGGCTCCAGAAAGGCGAAACTCCTCACCTCGCAATGGCCCGTTTTTCGACGATGTCGAGGAAGGCTGAACGCGAAGATAGCCTTCGCTGGTATTGAACACAGGACATATGAACAGCACTGCCCTGGAGGGATAAGCACTCCAGAACAGTCATTCCATCATGACTTTGATGAGGAACTACTCCTGTGGTTGTTCCTTCATGAGAGACTCAGCAGCTAGACGCACGACAAGGTCTCGAGGGTCTCGACCGGAATTCCGTCATGGGATTGTTGCCGCCTGTCTTGCTAGAGCAACAAACATGCCATTACAGTGTCAAGTAGCTGTGGCCGTTCAGGTAGCGCAACTGCCCCGCGAGGGTGACGCGTTCCTGGACGTTGACCGGACAGCGGACGCGCAGAATCTGAAGGGCGCACAAGAGCCAAACAATCGCGTTCGGCTCTCCCTGCTCGCAGCCGGTGGGTCCACGGCGATACTGTTGGAAGGTTAGGTGTTGGTCGGACAATGCCTCATGAAAAGCAAGTACTGCTACCAAAGCACATACTTTGGGTCGAAGTTCAGCGTGTTCTTCACAGGTGGGAACCAGAGCATGCCCAGGAAGCCCTGTGGTATGCGGCCAAGAAGGTGGTCGCATTGGCCCTCGCTGTGAATCAAGACTTGTACTGAGGAAGGCAACTGATGGACAGACAGCCGGTGTGTCATGCAAGACCGTGCGCAGTAGGTAATGCTTGGAGGGTAGTCCAGTTGTCCAATTCCCAAGGGGGATTGGACAACTGGGAACGAGGCCATCTCCCAGTAGATCGCCGTAGCCGAAGAATCGAGGGGTGTGGTGCATGTTCACCAGGTAGGTTTGGGGTTCAGACATAGATCCTCTCGATCGCAAAAGCGTCAGTACGGTTGTGCAACAAGCCCGTTCCCTCTGCGGCTGAAACAATGGGAGAAGGTGGTGATGTACTTACTGTAAACCCTCCGTCTATCTCTCCGTCTCAGCGCCGACCGAATTCACGTACCTCCTCATCCCAGAGCGACCTTCATCCTCTCAGCTGGCCAAGACGTGCATCGACACGGCAGAAGCAGAAGCCTTGAAGCGCCAATGGCTTGGCTAGCAGCCGTCTGATCTAACTATTGGACAACAATAAGACAGCTCGTGTCTATGCCCCAAGCATCGGCAACAATCTTCAACAAACAACACAACAAGAAAAATTGTAGCTTACCCAGGGTTAGCTCAAGCATGACACGGTCTCGAAGCAGACCGTCTCACCAGGAAACTGGGTTCCGGAGCAGAAATGCGAACAAGGAGGGCTGGCTACCTCAACCGGCCCCTCGGACCGTCCGCCAGGCTTCCGATCTCCGGCAAGCACCCGCGTGCTAGTGAGCGTGGTACAGCTCCCTGTATCCCTCACAGTTCGATGGCGCGGACTCTGTCAGCACCTCCTGCTCCCCACGTTCGTGTATCCTGCATCGGGAGCAAGCTTTCCATCTGCAACAGCGACGGAACGACATTCAACCAAGCTCTCAGATTCTCTGCCTTGTCAAAGACCTCTTGACGAATGCCGGGTGCAAGGGACAGGAGACTGCTGGCTATAATCTGCAAGACAATCTATGGTACGAGTTCGCCCCATCCTACTCGGAAGAAATAGAAGCCAAAGAAATCCCAAGCAATGTGCTTCTTGGACCCATCCACCGACATCTCGAGGAGAGGGAAGACAACCGCCGTTTCTGAGGTTGGATATGCGGAGGTGCAATGCGCAGCACAATGGAACGGCTTTGTTGTTGCATGTGGAGGGAGACGGCCAGGCATGATTCCTAGATGTAGTGTGCAGAGAATGTTAGTTCAAGGCTTGGCCTGGGTAGGAACAAGGAACAAGAAACTCACTGGGGGATGTAAGCACGCCGTCAAACCAAGCGCCGCCCGTCGCCATTCACGGGAATGCATTTGTTGATGGCCCAGTTGAAATCGGCTTGCAAAGAGACTCCCCCTAAGCAGTTAGTAAAGAAGCGAGCGGCTGCACAGAGGGGCCAGAGTACCGACTTCATGGTGCATAGAGCCTCTGGACTGGAGGTGCTTCCGTGGACGGTTTGGAGGTCAGGTAAGGGCTGCTCATGGTTTTGAGGTAGGGCTTTGTGGGTGATGTGGGAAAAATGGCTCCGGTCAACCCCGAGGTATGGGTGAAAAAGGATTGGGAGAGATTCAGAACAGAGAACATTTGAGTTGCAAAGGCCCAAGAAATCAAGACAAGTACACTGAGAAATGTATGTACAGAAGAAGGAATGAGAGAAGGTTGAACAAAAGAAATATGGAGGGAGAGGTGTATCGCTGAAGGGGTATATATATTGTATGGAGAGGTAGTAAGTGACAGTGGTGAGAATAGTAGAACTGCACCGGCGAAGAAGTCAAAAAGCACGGCCGTTAATGGAGAGTCTCGGTAGAGAGTACAGTGTTAATAGGGCGGCTGGATACAGAGCACACCCGTTAATGGGGAGCCGTGGCCGAGAAAAGTGTTAATAGAGTCCGGATAAAAGGCACGGCGTTTATGGAATACTGGATAAAGGCCTGGGTGCTAATAGGGAGACCACGGGCGTGAATGAGAGGACTGGGCAACGGGAAATGTGTTAATAAGGAGACTAGGTAAAATGGACACACTGGTTGACCAGAGGATGCAATGGCCAGCAAACGCCAGACAAACGCCAAACCCTCCAAGCCGACAAGGGAAAGGCCCAGATTCAGCCCAGTGGGTCCACAGGCTGGGCAGCCCCACTGGCAGAATGCTTGCCCGTCGTGTTTGACAGCTTCTGCAGGCCGGAATTAGGCAATCGCCAGCTGCTACTGCATTCCCCCGGTCACAATCAACATCATCAGACGGAAGCACCGTTTGCTCACCCCTCAACGCCTCAGCATCAAGTAAATCTGAAGCTCCAGGTGCCCGATCACGACCCTGACCCTGCATCACGAATCGTGGGAAAATCCATGTCTGAATCCGGGGGTGACCGTTGTCGATCCAGCGATGCAGCTTGGTGATAGGTGCAATACTTTTCCCGCTCTCCACTGCTCTCCACTGCTTGCGTTTGAGGTTGATGGAGGTTTCCGACTAGGGTTGAGGTTAACCGGCAATGAGGGTCTGAGGGTCTGTCTTTCTCTCTTCCGCTGTTTTCTTTCTCCCCTCCGTTGTCTGTCTTTTCTGTCCGATTCTAATTCTTTGGTGTTCCTTGCTTTCTTTGCTACTACTGCTGCTGAGCGTGTTTGTCCGACCCCGCATATTCCAGCTTGCCTACCTAATAGCTACTCCATCACACCACACCCACCATGCGCATACCTCTCCTCCTCACCCTCCTGCTCCAGACCATCGCGGTCTCCAGCGTGGGCATCAGTCTCCCACCCCCTCCCCACGACCCTCCACCCACCGACCACGCCGTCCAATTCCCATGGAAATCCCAGCGGGCCACCACGGCCGACCACACTACCAAAACCCAACTCTACGCGCTCGCCGCCCAACAGCAACAGCAGCAACCGCACTTCGCCCACTACCTGCAACACTACCTGGGTAACACCGGGACGGACGCCGACATTTCACCGGACGAGCTGCTGGCCGCGCTACCCCGCTTTTACGAGGAGGTGCAAACGCTGGTGACCTTCAAGGCGCGCCTGGCCGCCCAGGATCTGGTCGCGGGCGGGCGCCCCACCGTCCTCTTCAGCAGCTTCTGGCACGAATACGCCACCACCAGCGAGGAAGGCTGGGATTGGTTCCTCGCGCTGGACCGTTTCCTGTATAGTGTCACGGGCGCGGTGCAGCTGGCCGCGGACAGCACTGCAGAGCCCAAAGTGCAGTTTCGGGTGGATGTGCTGCGCTCGTTCGATTTTTCCGCGGGCCGGGAGATCGTGCTCGGTCGATATGAGTATCGCGATGCGCAGCTGGTCGACTTGCAGGTCAAGGGGCTGGCGCGGGAGTTTATGATTCGGGGATCGAGCCAGGGGTATTACCTGGAGCAGCAGCAGCAGCAGCAGCAGCAGCAGCAGCAGCAGCAAAAACAGGAGGATGGGGAGGACAGCGCAGTATCCGTAAACCCATAGAGAAAGAAATACCCCCTTGATCCACGAAATGGAAGAATTGCAAAAGCCAGTCTCACCCAATCCAACTGATGGTCTCACACCGGCCCAAACTGTCTGCAACCGCCTGAATCCGATGCGCCATCCAACCAGACGTAAACCCGTCCGCCTTCTTCCCCAATTGCATCCCCCTCCCCAACCAACACCTCCCATCCCCGACCGCAAACCGATATCCCAGACACAGCGCCTCATGGGCACACATCTCCCTACACTCATCGACCGTGGCGGTGGGCCCAACCTCGTCGCCCACTAGATTATCCCACCCTTCCCTCGGGGACTGAATCTGGCCCCAAACCACCCGCCAAAACACATCCCGATAAATCATGAGCCGACCGGTATACCCATCGCGCTCCCACCCCTTCTCCATCTCCACCAGACCCCGCAGATCCGCCTCCCCTTCCAAATGATGAAACGACACCGCCGGATAACACCACACCCGATCGGGGGTATCCGCACGCACCCCGAAGAAATCCACCTCGCCCGGCGGCGCGATCTGCAACATCGGCCAGCTCCACGTCAGCGACACGCCGCAGCTCTCCAGCAAGATCCCCAACAGACAGTCGCCCGCCCAGTGGGCATCGACCGCCGTCTCCCACCCGTCGCCGCTCTGCGCCCGCAGGTCGCGGGCGAGCTCCATGGCCGGCCGCGAGAGCACGAACCCCGAGCCGCCGTGCGCGAACAGCGCGTCCACGATCTGCATCTGATTGCCCAAGTACCACGGTTTCGCGGGGTCGAGGCGCGCCAGCCAGGCGGCCAGGTTGTGCCAGAGCAGGTAGGTGTCGGCCTCCATGAAGACGAACCACTGGGCCGAAGGACGCGCGGCCAGGGCGGCGTCGACCATCGGCAGGAATTTCCATTTGTCCAGCTTCCACCCCGGGTTGTTGGGTTTGCCGATCGGCGTGTTGACGTCCGCGACCAGGTCGGCGGGCGTGAGCCCGGCGTGGCCGGCGAGGCGCACGCGGTTGTACAGACCGAAATCGGGGTTGGTGGATTTCGTGGTGCTGGAGATGTAGGGGCCGAGGATGTCTTGCGTGGCGACGGTGGAGGAGAGGGGCTCGGCGTAATCGGAGTAGATCACGTAGTTGGGGATGCAGCGCAGCGTGGTGGTCAGGTGCGGGGGCACTTTGGTGCGGGCTTCGGTGATGCCGGTTTTGAGGATGACCAGCACGTCATCGTAGATGGGGGGGAGGGCGCAGTCGGAGGGGGTGGGATGGAGAGGGAGAGCAGGAGGTGAAGAGGAGAAGCTGAAGGAGTGGTGGAAGGTATAGATAACAGCAATAATGACAATGGCGGGGAAAAGGCGCCGCAGTCGGAGTGACATGATGATTTGGTACCAGGAGTGATGAGATTATGAGATTAAGATTAAGGGGCGTGAGGAGAAGGAAGGCCTGCAACAATCAACAAATGAACGCGAGGGGGAATATTGGCTTATGTAATCCCTGGCGGTGCGGAGGGCGGAGTTACGGATTGGCCGCGACCCGTATCTCCGCCTGCACTTTTGTTATTGTAAACCCTGTGCTGTGTGCAACTACCTCAAACACAACCTCCACTCTTCATTATTTCATCAACTTCAGCTCCATCCTTAGCTCCATCCTTAGCTCACTCCACCATCAATCATCACAGTCGACTCCGATTCAACCCCTGCACCACCTCCCTCGCTCCGCGCCGCCCACTTCGCACCGCCCCCTCCATATACCCCTTCCACTCCGCCGCCGTCTCCGTCCCCACAAAGTGCACATTCCCGACCGGCTCCCGCAACGCGTCGCCCGCCAGCGTCAACACCCCCGGCGGCAGCGCCGGACACGGACAACCCCAGCCAGACAACTCCTCCAGGCTCCACTCGTGGCCCAACGCTTCCACAAACTCTTTGGCCGGAACATCAGGCTCATCATAGATCAGTCCCAGCTGGCGCAGCAACGCCTGCTCCCGCTTGCGCGGGTCCTTCTCCCGCGCCCACTGCCGCCCACTCTCACCCGCCACAAACGCCGTGAGCACGTACTTGCCATCGCGGGGGCTGCTCGTATCCCGATAGATGGACGCGGGGCCCTTGAATGACTGCACCAATCCACAATACCCGCGCTCGACCCACCACGCCGACCGGAACACCAGCATCACCTTGGTGTAGTAGCCGTACCGGAAGGAGTCGACCAGCAGCTGCTTCTTGGGCGGGAGTGGCGGGTGGAATTGGATGGTCTTGAGGACCGGGGTCGGGGTGGAGCAGATCACTTTCTTGGCGCGGATGGCGCGGCCCGTCCGGGAGAGGACGACTACTCCCGGGCTAGGGCTTTGCAGGATGGCGTCCACGCGCTCGCCGAAGTGGATTGTGTTTGTTGGGAGGTCGCCGGCCATGGTCTTAGCGAAGCTCTGCGTGCCCTCGCGGACGCGCAGGTACTGCGCCCCGTGGCGCCGGTCGGACCGCATCTGGATCAGGCCGCCCCCGGAGCGGCAGTAGTTCAGAAAGTAGAGGGCCGAGATGTCGGTGGGTTCTTGGCCGAGCATCGCGCGCGTCCAAACTGAGGCAGTCGTTAGAGCGGCCGGGCTCACGTGGCGGGATTGCAGGTACGCGTAGAAGGAGAGCGAGTCTAGAGCGGGGTCGGCGGGTCTTTCGCAAGAGAGTGCTTGGCAGTCCGCCTCGCACATCTCCCGGACGCTGTCGAGTTCGGATTGGATTTGCGGTGTGATCTGGGGTTGTTAGTGTGCTGAGGTTGAGTGTGAAGATGAGGGTCTTGCAACTTACGCATGGGGTTTGGCCGTAGGGGAAGAGAACGGTAGGCCCGTTGTCCTGTTCCAGCAGACAATTGCCGGTGGTGTTCTGCTCGATAAGCTCGACGCCGGCGCGTCGTGCGAGGGCGATCATTTCGGTCTGATTGGTGTCATTGATCCAGGCAGCACCCAGGTCGACGACTCCTGTGCCGCTGGGGAGGGTCTCCGTCCATGTTTTGCCGCCTACACGGTCCCGGCCTTCCAGGATGAGACAGGAGAGGCCGGATTGGAGGACCGACTCGGCTGCTGCCAGACCGGAGAGACCTGCGCCGATAACGAGGACGTTGACGTCGGCATCAGTCGGCGAGGGCAGCGAGCGGGGAACGGTAAGGGATGGAACTGCAACGGTCGCAGCGATCTCGTACTTCCACTCCGGCACGGCCAGAGCAGGAACCGGCACGACAGTCACGGCAGGAAGATGGCCAGCGAGGAAGGTCTGAAGGGGCTTCGGGTGTAGACGGTTGGCCGCATCGTAATTGACAACGTAGAGGGTCAAACTGACAATGTCACGCGGAGACGCGCCGGCCGCGGCGATGACACGGTGCAAGTTCAACAAAGCCAGATGGATCTGTGAGATGCCATCGGAGGGAGTCTTGCCCGCTAAGGTGCCGGGTTGACCGGAGATGTGCAGTAGAGGGCCGTTGGAGATGACCCCGGCGGCGTGGTAGGCGGCGGGGTCTGTGAGAATGGCTTTGGTAGACATGATGAATCTGCAGTGACAGTAATGCTGATTGAGCGGCAGAGACGTAGTAGACGCGAGGTTCTTATATCGAGGGAAGATGCATGAATGCTGGATGCGCCTGCAGGCGGGCTATCGCGGGACAATCCGATTAGGGCTATCTTATCCGGGGTGCCTTGCCGTGTTGGCGGCCCCGGGATGACTTGCCTCGACAGCAGCTTATCGTGGAGGTAGTAAATAACCAGAATACAGCAAAGAAGTGGAAGTATATAGCTCTCAACTCTTGCAAGGATCATCAACCACCAACCCATCTTCCATCACATAGACACAGTCAAAATGTCCAACCGCGGCAAAATCCACGACACCAAAGTCCTCACCATCGCCGACCTGGCGGTTGAGGCGCAAAAACGCCTGCCCCCGGTTGTACGAGGTCCGTTTCTATTCCTACTTCTCTCTTACCCCTCCATCAACATCCCCGACCCAACCACAGCCTAACAGAAAGAAACAGACTACTTCAACGAAGGCGCCGGCGACCTAGTCACGTACGCGTACCTCCCCTCTCCCCTCCCACCCAGCCCCATACTTACAGAAAACTATAGCCTCCGCGACAATGAAGAAGCCTACGGCCGCTACAAACTAATGCCCCGAGTCCTCCGCGACGTCGCCAACCTCGACACCACCACCACGCTATTCGGCAGTAAGATCGCCTTCCCGTTCGGCTTCTCCCCAGCCGCAGCCCACAAACTCGCACACATCGACGGCGAGACCGGGACATCGCGCGCGGCCGCGGCACATAACATCCCGATGGCGCTGTCCTCGTGGTCGACCTCCAGCGTTGAGGAGGTGATCGCCGCGAGCGAGGGGCGGGGGAATCCGTATATCATGCAGGTGTCGTTCTTCCAGGATATCAGTATCACGGAGAGGATTATTAAAGCGGCGGAGAGTTCGTTGTCCTAGGCCCCTTTTTCTTGTCATCATCTGGAGTAGAAGTTGGCTATACCAGCAGACACAACCCATGCTTCCAACCCATTCAGTATAGGGAACGATACTGATATATTCGTCCAACAGAAGCAGGCTACAAAGCCCTCTTCGTGAGCGTCGACCTCCCCATCCTGGGCAACCGCCTCAACGAATCGCGAAACAACTTTAACTTCCCGCCACACTTGAAGTTCCCCGTGCTGGCAGGGGCGGCCGAGATGGGCTTGGAGGATACGTATGAGCGGGGTTACGGTATTTCGCCCCGCCTTTTACCCTACCTACCTTAAATCCAACCCTCCCACACTCATCCGGTATGATACTAACAAGAAGGGGATAGACGCAACAATCCACTGGACAAAAACCATTCCCTGGCTGCGCCAACACACCAACCTCGCCATCTGGCTGAAGGGTGTCTACTCGCCCGCCGACATCGAGCTCGCCATCCAGCACGGCGTGGACGGGGTGCTCATCTCCAACCACGGCGGGCGGCAGCTGGATGGGGTGCCCGCCACGCTGGATGCGCTGCGGGTGTGCGCCCCCGTCGCGAAGGGGCGGATTCCGTTGGCGGTCGATGGGGGCATCCGTCGGGGGTCGGATGTGTTTAAGGCGTTGGCGCTGGGGGCGAGTTGTTGTTTTGTGGGGAGGGTGCCGATTTGGGGGTTGGCGGTATGTTTCTTCGCTTTTCGGTTTTCTTCTGGGGGGAGGGTGCTAACGCTCGCGTGTCCAGTATAATGGGGAGCAGGGGGTGGATTTGGCGATCCGGATTATTTATGATGAGTTTTGTCGGACGATGATGCTTGCTGGGTGAGTTTATCCCTAAAGGTTTCGGTGGAGTGTCTGCTAACGGTGTGATGTAGGTGTCGGACGATTGCGGACATCACGCCGGAGCATTTGGCGGTGTTGGAGAAGGGGCTGTTGGCGAAATTGTAGACACTAAGATTAGACCGTACGTCTCTTAATATAGGAAGCTGGTTGCTAGCTGAATATATCCTCTGGCAGGAGTACATGACCAGTATCTACATCTCTCTTTACAGTAGCAGGATCTTCTAGGTCGAAGTAGGCTATGGCCTATCACAATGGTCATAAATTCAAGTGAGCAATCTTCGAAGCTAGAATTGATCTAATATTATCCTGAGATTTTCTTCAGTCGCAGGACTGTGGCACAATCTACTCCCGTCATTCTTGTCCTATTCTTCGTAATATACAGATTCCCGGTCCCTGAAACAAACCTCCTACCCGTTCCTCTACCCTGCCGTGAATATTGAGTTGCTGTAGTCCCGTAAGGTATCCCCGCATCGTGGAAAATTGAATATCAAATCAAGCCGCAGCACACTTCCCCCCAGTACAAACCAGCTCATCCGAGCAATCATCCTCCGTCGCGCAGGAGGCGCCTACCCACGTCAGCTATACCCATCCCATCCCTCGGCCGAAAAACAAACTCACCTTTACAATGTCCCGTCCAGGAGCAAGACCCCGTAGCAGCTGGAGCACTCGCACTCGCACTCGCAGTAGCAGTGCTTCTCACCGCATCCAACTCCGCCGCCTCCACAATATCCCCCATCTCCGTACCAATCTGCACCCGGTACACATAAGTATCCACGGCCACGGCCTCCCCACGATACGCCCCGAACTTCGGCTCCGTGCGGCCCGTCCACGTATTCGCCGACAACCGCGTTGCCCCCGCGGCCCCGAGCGTCTGCTGCTCACCCTGAAAATAAAATTCGACCCACCCCGGCTGCCCCGTGTGGATCACCAACCCCACCGAGTACACCGTATCCGTGTCGACGGTGCGCGACCACTGTGGCTCGCGCTCGCTCGCGCTATCCGCTTGGTACTGCAGGTGCAGCTGTCCGCTCATGAACTCGAGGGAGAGCGGGATGTTTGCGCTGTTAGTGGTGGTGGCGTAGCTTTTGCTATAACCCGGCACCGGGGTAGTTAGGGCACCGTTCGCTGGCTTTTTCCTTTTTGGGGTGGGGGGGGGAGGGAGGGAAATGTGGGATGAATAGAACCAGGAGAAAGGAGGCTACAATTGGAAGATCATCAAACTCTGCTCGATCACGCCTAACGAGAACTTGTAGCCGATGTAGTAGGTCTTGTCTTCTTCAATCTGGTTGGCGAGGGCGTGGTATTCGGCGCGGATGTAGGACTGTTTGCGGTGGTAGTGCAGGGCCGGGACGCCGTGCGGGTCGGTGGCTAGCTTGATGTACAGGTCGTTGGTGTTGGCGGAGATCTCCTGGTCGCGCGCTTCTTCGAGGTTGAGGATGCCTAGGGTGGAAGGAGGGTCGCCGTTGGCGGCGGAGAAGTTGAGGAGGGGGGTGGAGAGGGCGGGAGAGAGAAGGAGGGTGACGGTGAGGGCGAGGGTGGGGAGGTGCATTTCGTGGTGGGTTGGGTGGAAAGGGTCGAGGGAAAATAGGTGAGGACTTAGGGTTTGAGTCGTGATTGTAAATCCGGGTTAGGTCCCAGGTTCTTATAACCATTAGTGTCAGGGGTTGTGATTGATACGAACGTCGTGGGGGCCAAACGGGCGGAATCGTTGATGATCTTTACCCGTGGTGAGCTTGAATCTCACAGGTTTCAGGGTCTAACATGCAGGGCTGCAGGCCCAATTGAACCAGAATGATAAAGGAATGGGGCCGAGTCGCAAGAGTCGTGGCCTTAAATGTGCTTCGAATCCTTCCATCTGCGACCCATTTGCCCTTTTCGGTTGCATCTCCCTACCACTTCCAAAACACGGGGCCAAAATTGTGCTCGACTTGGTACACCACAACAGATCAATGACAACAGCTGGACCGGATGCAAATAATACGTACTTTGTTTAGAAGGTCGCAATTTGTCCTGCCATAGCGCTGCTGATCGTTGTGTTTAATAAAACACAACAATCGAACGTTTGATATCGCTTGAGATATCGTTTATATACATGGTGGTCGGACCTTGATATTCTAGCGGCTCTCATGCACGCTCCGGGTGACCCGAGTCAAAAGATCTGGTGAGAAATCCGTTGATGACCATATATAACTCATGGATCTCGATACACCTAGAATATAACAGACATAATCGTGGTTGCGCATTGCGACACATAGCTCTGTTTCCCGTCTGATAAGCACGGCCCATGTCTGATTGGAGATCCGGTTCGGTAAGTTCAACCACGGAAAGGACTAAACAACGGCCGTATTTGTGTTCAATACAGGTTCATACATCATTTCGCCTAGTTACGGACCGCCTGATTCATGGAGCATGAGATAGGGCGAAAGTGATCGGAGTTCGGCTGATCGAACTTACCGAAATAGGCAATAGTGCATACTAGCTGAGGTCCGACTTCGATGCCGAGGTCCGCGCCTCACATAAGCGATCAGCGATGCAATACATTCTTGTTTTGCTCTGAATGTCTTAATTCTCCCCACTGCATCTCTTGCGTGTGTCACTCTCTATGATTATTTGCTGAAAGGCTACGGCCTGAAATGGCAATTCCTCGTCGCAACGGGCAGCTTTCTTCCTGCGAGCCATGCAGAAAAGCCAAACTACGATGCGACCACCAGAGTCCCGTTTGTGGACGATGTCTTAGGACTGATCGAACTGAGCTCTGTTTCTATCATCCAGCTCCTCAGACCCAGTCGCGTGCATCCCCCATTCGCGTTCCATCACGAAGATCAAGAAAGCAACGACCAAACAATCAGGTCACCTTTCGTGTGGATAAGAGAATATCCACAGCAGCCGCGCAAGGTCCGCTGCCAGCTTTGCCATCGGGTCTGTCGCCGGTGATCGAAGACGCAAAGACACCATGCGACCAGCACCTCCCGCGATGTGCTGGTAAGAAAAGGCGAAACCTACGACCAGGTCTTTTCGGGTTAGTCTCACCCCAAGACATCTTTAGCGACTATGAAGATAGCTTGCAAGGCGATGACCTGGAATGCGATCCTGAAGCGGCGGCATCGACGACCACGGCTCACCCAACCGACAGTGACTCGGATCATATCCAGCGTGGGGCTCGGATTCTGTCGCACCTGCAAAAGATCCGTTGGTTCCGTGCGATCATTGAGCTGAAGAACAAGACTTCACCTGGATGGGCTTTAGGCCCTGCTTTGACACGTGTCCTGTGCGACTCCATGGAGAGGATGTACGACTCGGCCGTGGGTGGCTCTCCGGACACGCACGCATCCTTACTGCACTTGTCTCTCCAGATATGTACCAACACATCGGAGGATATCCGAACGCACGCGGCCATGAGCGCCAACGAGTACATTGAGTCGATCACGGCACGGTGGGAGACCGTCGGTCTCTTCTTTGCACTGCTTGGGACAGCACTGTTCAATACCCCCGACAGCGATCCCGTATTCACTAATCAAAACCCGTCGAATCTGTCGAAGACTCAACTCCGAAACATTTCCACTACGGTGGGTGAGTTGTGCTGCCAGTTCTGCAACAGCGCCGGAACCAGCAGTGACCCCTTTTGCTGGCTCGTGATCCAGCAGGTAGTCCTTCTGACTTCGATGTTTGGTGATAGCGGTATATACTCTTCTCCTTCGTACATTCTCGCCCGTGAAATTGGACGACGGCTGAAATTGCGATAGACTACAGAGTGTGGCAGAAGCTCGGAGATTTATCGACCATCGTTTATGCATTCGGCCTGCATCGATCCGATCGAGACGTCAAACCAAGCTTACCCTTCTTTTTGGTGGAGATCCGGAAGCGGGTGTTGGTGTGTGCGTATGCAATGGACAAGGAGCTGGCAACCTCTTTAGGGCGTCCCCCCCGGATCTGCTCGCGATACTGCCATCTCCCGCTTCCCTTGGATATTTCCTATGAGGAGATGGTTTTTCCTGGTACCACGGAGGAGACCGCATTGCTCAAACTTGATGCGGATGGCTGGAACACAGAAGGGAGATTTACGGTGGGTGTCAAGCTTCGCGTTGTGTTGATGACGAGTCTGCTGCGAGAAAGCACCTTAGAGCTGTCTTTAAGCCCCGGGATCCGGAATCTTACAGCCAAAGTCGAGTTCGTTACATCTGAAATCCCTAGCATACTATCATTCAAAACTGACTTCCGCGAAAATGGCCACAGAGACTTGATCCAAGAGTGCCGGAAGATGCAACAAGGCCTGCCTACCTTCATGCGTTGGTCTGCCGAGGAAGCGGCGACGGGTGCATACCACTCAACCCAAGACGAGGGCCGCGCCTTCGCACACATCGAATTCACTTACCAGGAGTTTTTGTTGCATCGCATCTTACTCAAGCGCTTGGGGGTAACATCACTTGGTCTTATTGAAAGCGCCGTTGTTATTTTGACAACGCTGCTGGACATCATTGCCATGCAAGCTCGATCGGGGAAGTCCGCTATCAACATGTCCTGGGATGTACGGCTACTTTGACCTTTCCAGACCCTCTGCGCTTAGACCACAATCATCTGACAAATTTATGTCCCACAGTTGTGCTATATGGGCCTACCTGCCGCAGGTGTCCTGACCTCCCAACTACTTGCCGGGCGCAATTCCCAGATACCACCGTCGAGCCCGCCACCGCTACCGGCCAACTTCCGCTCCCGCGCCGTTCAGAAGCTGAGTGTTTTTGTTTCCCATCTGACATCGCTAGTGCGGAACGACGACGGGAATTATGAGGTTGCCCAAAAGGGGGCGAAATTCATTCGATGGGCATTGGACCAGGTTCTTTCTCCCCCGCAAGTTCCGCACCCGGCCGTATGGAATGAAGACCCCGACCTGCCGCAGGGCTGGCTTCTGGACTGTGATTTGACTGAGGACTTTGACTTCTTGGCATGGTGTGATACTGTGAATTGGTCGCAGGACTCCTTTTAAGTCTTGCATGAGCGGGATATCTGGATGGATATCCCGACAAAGTCTCCACCACGAATGCTTTGTCTTAAGACAAAGTTTTGACAACAAATGACAAGCTCGAGGCCAAACATAGTGACGGAGACCAAACGGAAAAGTCGGGTTCTATGACCAAACTAAGGACAAGGTTCGATCGCATGCAGTGCGCGATATTCTTTTCTCTCACATATTAAACTGATAACATATTCCGCTGTACTCAAGCACAGCCAAAATCAAGCAATTACTTCTGGACCGTATGGTCTACCGCCTCCGGTACCGTCACTAACCCCCTCTTCTCCTTTGTGCGCCACTGCAACGCCTTCAAAATCCCATACAAGACCGTCAACGTCGGCATGGCTACTCCCTTGGCCCTACCCTCGCGCACCGCCTCGCCCACCAGATTCTCAAACTCCGTGAACCGCCCGCTCCGCACATCCACCTGCATACTCGGCGGGTTATACATGGTGATCGGATCCATAGTGATCATGAAATCCAGCGTCTCATCGGGGAGCTCCACGCCCGCGCACGCCTTCGCTGCCGCCTGAATCTCGCGCATCGCCGGGCGGACCAGATCCTCGATCGCGCCATCCGCCAACTGGATCCTCCCCGTATCGAGATCGGTGATGGCGCAGATCGGGTTTAGACACGCATTATACAGCAGCTTGCGCCAGCGACTGAACGCGACGTTCGGGTTGAACTGCGGCTGGCACTTCCCGCCGGCGCCGTAGATGCGCACGAAGTCCTGCGCGGCGGCGTCTTCGACCGCTGAGGCAATGCCCGGGTTACGGAAGGCGCCGATGTACAGTTCGTCGTCGTCTTCCTGAACGATCTTTCCCGGGGCAACTTGGTGAGAGCCGCAGAAGCTGACGCCGCTGAGGATGATGTTGGTGGGGAAGGCGGATTGCAGGGGTTTGTGGATGTTGAGGCCGTTTTGAAGCAATACAATGCGGGTGTGCCCGGGGGTGACGGCGGGATGAATCAGTGTGGCCACGGACGGAGGGATATCGGCGTAGTTCTTGGTGGTAACGATGATATAGTCGTAGGGAGGGAGGGATTCGGTGGTGAGGTCGGGGATGGTGTTGCGCACTGGCCTTGGATGTTAGTTGAGATGATTCAGGAGGCTGAGGTTGAGAGCGGGGGGAGCAAGGGGGGTCTGTACGAATGGATGGTTTGAAGCCCTCGACCTCTCCGTGGTCGATGGATTTGATGGAGAAGCCATGTTCCTTGACGTGTTCGTAGTTCGATCGCAAGACGGCGGTGACAGTGGCTTGGCCGCCCCGTTCGAGGTTGAGGGCCCCGATGGTGCCGATGCCGCCGCAGCCGATCAGGAGGACGTTGGCTTTGTTCTGCATTTTAGTTGTTACTGCTGTGATGCTGTGATTAAGCAAGGTGATGTAGGGTGATTTCAGCAGATGAATATCGAGCTGGAGGGGTCGAGCAACGGGGTTATCTCCCAGCTTATCAGATTAGGGCTGCTGGCTGGAGGATTTCCCCGCTTTGGGATTCAAACAGGCAAGTCATCCCGGCCTCACTTTCCTCTCTTATCTCCGCCTCTCCCCCCTCTTTTCCTCTTTTCTCGAGATGACCTCCCCCATTTGATCGCCATCGATTGCGTGTTTGTGACTTTTCTTTATCGATAAACTAACTAACTGATACCATGACCGATGAACAGATAGCCACGACGCCTTCCCCGCACAGCCTCAAGCCCGCCTCCACCCGGTCGCGGTCGCTGGGCGGCTGCGAGACCTGCCGCCGTCGGCATGCCAAATGTGATGAGACACGACCATCGTGTCAGATGTGTGAGCGAGCTGGTCTCGTCTGCGAGCAGTATGGCATCCGACTTTTGTTTGATTCCGGGGAGAGTCAAGGATCGCGATGTCGACGGCCGCTATTCACCGAGCACTGCCGCCAGCAGATGAGCGAGCAGCTGGTGGCTAGTCTCAACCCCCACAATGTCAACACTGTGCTCTCTCGATTGGATGGAGACTGTGAGGAGAGGGACGAGGCACCTCCGACTCAGAGCTTTTTCACTCAGCTGGGGCCATTTGGTGCCTTTCGTCTCGTTGTATCTGAGCCTGGCCCCAGCCCCGGCTTGATAGAAACTCTCCCAGCAGACTCGGAGTTACCACTGGTGGAGATTCCCCCGGAAACTGGGCTCAATCTCGCGCTGGAGGATGCCTTTGCTAGTGACCCCTTACTCGATTGCCTCTTTGGTAATCTGGATGTCGATGGGTTCGGAGACCTGTCGACGCAGAACTTCTTCAGTGCTGCCATGCCGCTATCCGAGGGGGATGACTTCTCCTCCCCATCCCAGTCCCTCACCAGTGGCCTGCTGATGGGGCCGTCGACCTCCTCGTCAATAGGGCTATCGTCTCCATTCTTGTCGGCACCAAGTCTGCGGTCCCCTCCGACCGTTACTAATCGCGCACCACCGGACGCTCCTTTCCTTCTGTCTGTCTACAAGCACGACGTAGTGCCACTTTTCTCGCCGATCCGATCGCGAAAGAATCCCTGGGAGACCTTGTTTGTGTCTAGCGCCATGGAGACTCTGGCCCGACTGACCATGGGTGAGAGCGTTGCACCGACGCAGATGACCATCTTCAGCGCCATCCTCGCCACGGGCGCCTTTGCCCAGCGAGGGGCCTCTGTCACCCGCAGCTCGGCCAACTATTGGGGTGGGCAAGCAGAAGCCCTTGCGGCGGAGGCGCAAACCCACCTCAAGCGGGCCTTGCGAGACGCGTCATCGACCGTCAAGAAGGTCAAGTACAAAGACATCCTCATCGCCCTCCTGTGCATTCATACCGTCTCTGTACGCATTCCCCACCGCATCGTCTCCAACATCGCTGATTGATACAGGCATACCAAGGCAGCGAAGAACGCGTCCGTCGTTGCCTGCTCGACTGCGAGAATTGGGTGCGCTTCCGGGGGCTGCCCAAACCACGCAAGTCCCGCAAAGTCCGCCTGCTGCACCACTGCTACGTCTACCTACGCATCTTTCACGAAAGCACCTCGGTGCTGCCCCCCGTGCCGCCGGACGGGGAGATTGATCATGCCTCGCCGGAGGCTACCGTCGGCTCCATCGCATCCAGCCGGTCGTTCCGGCTTCGCCAATGGGAAGGCCGTCTCGACCAACGCATGGAGGAGCTCAAAGAGCCGCACCAGGGCGAGAACGACCTCCACTTGGAGATCCCCGGGCGGTGGGACTCGACCATGTATCCGCAGGTGTTCGGGCTGCCGGAGCCGCCGTTCTTCCTCCTCTCGCAGGTAACTCGGCTAGGCAACGAGCGCGATCTGGCCGACGCGGGCAGCAGCAGCAGCACACTGGACTTCAAACAGTTCAATGCGCGGGCACGGAGTCTCGAGCGCTGTATTTCCGCATGGCGGCCGCCGGCCCTCGCCGGCGAGGTTGATGGCACGTCGGATGCGGTGGAGCGCGGCAACGCCCGCCGCAGCTCCCAGCTCAGCAGCGTGTTGCACAAAGCGTTGCTGATTTTTTTCTACCGCCGAATCTATGATGTGGATCCGATGATACTGCAGGATAAAGCGTGGCAGGTTCGGGAGGCGCTGGCCGAGTATGACGAGGAAATTGAGGGACAAAGTGCCTCGTCGTGCGTGGCGGCCCCGTTCCTGTGGGCGGCGTTTATTGCCGCGTGCGAAGCGATCGACCCGGCGTTGCAGAGCTGGTTTGTGCGGTGGTTCGAGTCGGCTACCCAGCGGAACAGCGTCGGGGTCTTCGAGCACGCGCTGGGCGCCATCCGGCTGGTCTGGGAGCGCCAGCGTCAGAGTACGGGGATTACGGCTAGCTGGCCGCAGATCTTGCGCGAGGAGGGGATCAGTTTATATTACATATAATGCCCTCCGCCTAGGACTTCTTAGGGCTCTTAGCGTTCGTGGTGCTCAGCGCCCACCCACTGCATAGTTCCTCCCGATTTTCTATCCATCAATTCTGGTGAAAACCGTCGGTATAGTCACTCCTGGCAGCCTAGCCAGAATTGGCCCTACCTCCCACCCTTTCATCACCCAAAGATAATAAGAGCACTCATCACGAAGGCATCTTCAATTCCGAGGGTGAAGTCCCACCGCGTCGTCTCCAACCTTCCCTCCCTTTTCATCACCGGCAGCAGCAGCCGACCCCATCATCATCAGCTACCACCATCCACCATCACCATCTAAATCAAGGTTTTCTCCCCCACGAGCCTCCTTAGGCAGAACCATTCAACCACGTTGCCTCTCATCATTCGAAATATTTCATAAATCTACAGATATGGTGCAATACCGCTCAATCCCCAAACCCCTAGCCAAGTATAGCTTGGACGGATTACACCTTTCCGCGGAATGTGATGTTATTCAGCTTAAGAATTTCAAGTGGATGTGGCAAAGATCAAAGCAAGGCTGGCCACGGAAGGGATTGGTAGCGGGCGGGGGTTGGAGGGAGGCTTATATTGCGTCGACGATGGTGTGCTTTCTGGAGGGCTGCAGCATCCACAGGGTGGGTTATATCCTGACAGGTCCAGATCTTGAAGCAACTGGAGGTTGGAGAGATTCTGTAATGTGGGGTTTGTGAGAGTTGGCGTTCTAGATCATCGAGGGAAGCAAGGGGGACTTAGGGCGGCGAGACGCACTCGTCCAGAAGCAGTGATTGTGCTCGGATGTCCGCGGCGCGGTGTGACCGCTCATCTCTTCGCAGGGGGAAACCCTCATGAGCTTGGGGAAGATGTCTATCTTTACCTGACATTATATAGATGATGGATGATTCAGTACCGCTTGGGGGTTCTGGCCAGCTGATGGGAAGATTCACGGAGACGGGCACCGCACCATCAGCTTCCAATGCGGTCTTGATGTTCGATCTAAGGTGTGATGCGCCATCGTGGCTGAGGTGATCGGCATCGGATTTCTGTTGTGTTTATGTTCTCAGACTAGATCTAACTAAACAAAGAGCAGGTATTTGTTGTCCGCTATTCAAGCCGCTGGTGCATGCATTTATAGGCTTTATACCGATGACATGCACCTCGCCAGCTCCCCAAAACGGCAACTCGGTGGAGAGACCTGCCTATCCTGTTATCGATATCAGACTGCTTCCAGATAAGTGCCATCGAGGCAACGCCACCGATAGAGCAGCCAACCAGTCAGCGAGGGCTGGCTATCTCGGCGGAGACGCTATCCCTATCTCTGCCGCTGGTCAATAGCTGCAGCCTGGGGACGCATATATAGTCAACCCCGGACTGGCAATTTAAGACCGGTCTGCGTTTCCTCCTTTCCTCCGCCCATCCTCTCACCGGGCGATCAGCAATATGACAGCCAAAACTATGTCCACCGATAAGAGCCTCGAGGCCCACGACCACGAGTCCCCCGACCCCACCATCGACTATGGGGAGGGCGATATGCACCGCCTCCCCCACACGCAACGGGGCATCAAGTCGCGCCACGCGCAGATGCTCGCCATCGGGGGCACGATCGGCACCGGCCTTTTCGTCGGGGTCGGGTCTGCCCTCTCCATCGCCGGGCCCGCCTTCCTCCTCCTCTCGTACGCCCTAATCTGCCTCCTCGTCTACGCCGTCATCACCGCCACCACCGAAATGAACACCTACCTACCCATGCACGGCTGCTCGATGGCCGCCTACGCGACCCGCTTCGTCTCCCCGTCCCTCGGCTTCTCCCTAGGGCTGCTATACTGGTACAGCTTCGGGATTCTAGTAGCCTACGAAACCACCGCCGCCGCAGTGGTGATAAACTACTGGAGCAACCCGGTCCCGCTCGCCGTGTGGATTACCCTAATGCTCCTCGTCGTCTTCGCATTAAACTTCAGCCCCGTGCGCATTTACGGCGAGACGGAATTCTGGTTCGCGTCGCTGAAAGTCATCCTGATCTTAGGGCTACTGATCCTAAGCTTCATCCTCTTCTGGGGCGGCGGACCGAGCCACACCCGGTTGGGCTTCCACTACTGGAACCACCCGGGGGCCACCAACACGTATTTAGTGCCTGGCGCCACCGGCCGCTTTTGCGCCTTCATCTACACACTGTGCTACTCAGTCTTCTCCTTCAACTTCGGCCCCGAGCTTCTGGTCGTCGCCGCCGGCGAAATGCAGAACCCCCGCGCCAACCTCCCCCGCGCCGCGCGCCAATTCTTCTACCGACTCCTCATATTCTACGTGTTCGGCGTCCTCGCCATCGGGGTCATCTGCCCCAGCAACGCCTCCGGCCTTACCACGGGGACCGGCGTCAACGCCTCACCGTGGGTGATCGCCATCAAGAACGCCGGCATTTCCGGGCTGGACAGCGTCGTCAACGCCGTGATCATCACCTCCGCCTGGTCCTCCGCCAACTCCTACCTGTACATGTCCAGCCGCACGCTCTACTCCCTCGCCGCGGCGGGATCCGCGCCAGCCGTCTTCAGAAGGTGCAACCGCCACGGCGTGCCCTATTATGCCGTCCTGGCCAGCGCGTGCTTCGGCGGGCTGGCGTACATGGATTGCAGCGCTGGCGCGAGTACCGTGTTCAATTGGTTCGTCAGCCTGACGAACTCGGCGGGGATGATTAGCTGGACGGCGTGCGCGGTGGTGTATCTCCGGTTTCGCGCGGCGTGTGCCGTGCAGGGTGTTGAGGTCCCGTATCGGTCGCGGTGGCAGCCGTATGGTGCGTGGGCGGCGATGGCGGTCTGTCCGCTGATATTGCTGGGGCAGGGGTTTCAGTATTTCGTGGCGGGGAATTGGAGTGTCAGTGGGTTTTTGACGAGTTATCTGGGCGCGTTTGTGTTTTTGGCGGTGTATGGGGTGAGGCGGGCGTTGGGGGTGTGGAGGTGGGGGGAGGGCTGGTGGTTGAGTCTGCAGCAAGTGGACTTGAGGAGTGGGTTGGAGGAGGTCGAGGCGTTGGAAGTGGAGGTTGAGTATGAGAACGATAGCGGGAAGAAGGGGAGGTGGTGGGATAGGGTTTGGGGGTAGGATTTGTTTTCGTTGTTTTAGCTAGTTTATTCTATCCTTAAAGATCTTGAAGGTATATTTAAAGATTTGATGTATTACCCAGACAGGTGAAGTGATATATCTAAAAAGAATAATGTTTCAAGGGCTCGGGCTAGCTACCTAGGGCTGATCGAATTGTACTGTACTTTCATTAGACTTTGTAACCAAAACCCCAAGCAGTGTATTTGAAGCTTGAAAGCGGGGCGCAAGATTACCTAGCAGGCCACATCATCAGTAGGTAAAAGGGTCAAGCCCTCAATGCTAGCCTCAGCTACTACGACCGGAATGTATATATAACGTGGGCATAGAGTATGAAGTCATGACTAGCACCCGAGATCATTCATTCTTGATTCAACTATGCTTGAAGTTGATATGAGATCGTCTAGTCCTTTTCCTATATCACCTCTTTGGCGGGACCATTGAAAGTTGGAGTTGTGGGCTGGGCAGAGCAGATCCCAGTGCAGAACAGCCCTCCCTTGAGCTTTGATTGACTGCACCACAGTTCATCATAGGACTTTCTTCCTGCAGGATATAGCTCTGGTGACGATGGGCACCAACGTCGAGAACCTTTTCGCATACCCAGACACTTTCCTGTCAATTCTGTCTCTAAGGCAATCAGACAGCTGTTTTAGAATCAATTCCCTGCCTTTGCACTCTCGATAACGGCCACCCGCATACCAGCCAGGATACTTCTCGCCACCTTCGAGTGCCCATAAATGCCGGTATTAAACGCTATCGTGGCGGCCTGCCCAACCCACGCCTGGATCATCGGCATACAACGAAATGCACAATCGGGGCGTAAAATGTAACTGCATGTCACTGTGCTGTACTCCAGCGTGATGGTTCGCAGGTTGGCAAGCATATACCATGTATCAATCAGTGTTCTGCGAATCCATCAGTCGACAGAGCCTGCTTGAGGAAGGAATGAAGTTTGTAGGGGTATCTGGTGCATAAGGCCGAACAGTCAGGCTTTTTGACAGCTGTTCCTACACTACAAAGCAACGCGGTGATCTCAGGTACTAAAAGCATAACTAGTACAATATTGTGTCCGTGGTCAATTTCTCTCTCATTTACAATGCTTTCATTATAGCCAGTCTGAACTTTCTCATCCTAGTGAAGAAACCATTTATCTATAAGTCAAAAATCCTCACATACAGATTAGTTACCGATGCCGTGGAAACGGGTCGGCCGATGTTTGTAATCTCCACCATTGATCAACTTCCCAATTCCTCCTAACTACCGGCATCCCACCTGCCGGCACTCCACCCGCCTGACGTAAAGGCTTCTTAGTTACTTGGGGCTACTGACAAATCCTGCAGCATTGATAACCAACTCTAAGCTCCGGAAATCTCCAGCGGGATGCCGGCTCAGTAATCCATATACCGGGCTCAACTTGACAAATCTGTCATGGACTTGAGATCAGCATTGGGTTTTGACCTCACGGTTGAACTTATGATTACCTCGATCCGAAACCCTCATTCGTCTCTACCAGCACAATCAAGTCCATCACATCCCACAGGGTTATGTCCCACTTCCTCTCTCTATCTTCCCAAGTGACACCACCAACCATGGCCCCCACCCTCAACATCACACACATCGGCACCGCAACCGCAATCCTCGAGATCAATGGGATCAACTTCCTCACCGACCCTTTCCCTGTCTCCTTTTACACCCACACGCGTGCACATTTCTCTTCGCACAACAAACTCATCCGCAGATGATCGTGGGGTGAACTCGAATTCATGCTCAATGTGGCTGTTCCAATGCAAACGCCATGACTCCCGAGTAATGCCAGCCAAACCAAGGGACCCAAGATCCTCGGGGTGTTTTGGGCCTTTTTCTCCGTGAGTGCTGTCACGGTGTCCGCTCGCCTCTACATCCGATCTCGGATGCTGAAAAACATCTTTTTCTCCCCCGCCGGCTCAGAGTTCCCGGCCGGCAGTGTCGTCCTCCGCGTCGAAGACGACCCAGCCCTGCGCCTGGACTAACTCCCCGTCATCGACGCCGTCCTCCTCAGCCACGAAGGCCACCCAGACAACCTCGACCCGCCCGGCCCCCAGCTCCTCGACGCCCGGCCAGTCTTCACAACCGTCGACGGCGCGCGCAACCTTGCCCCACGGCCCGCCGTGCACGGCATGAAGCCCTGGTCGGAGCTCACCACGCGCATCGGCGGCCAACCATTCACCATCATCGCCACGCCGACGCAGCACGTCCCCGGCGACGAATGCACGGGGTTCCTCGTCACCGCCGAGAATTTCGGCCGGGGACGCCACAACCTGCCCAACGCCGTCTCCTTCACCGGCGACACGGTCTACATCCCGGAACTCGAGCAGATCGCAGAGCGGTACCACGTCTGCGCCGCGGTGATGAACCTGGGCAACGCGCATGTGCCGTGGCCGGAGAATCCCGAAGGCCCCCAGCTGCAGATCACGATGGGCGGGAGGGATGGGGCGCGGCTGTTCCGCGCCCTGCGGGCGGATGTGCTGGTACCGATGCATTACGAGTCGTGGGGCCATATCACGCAGTTCGGGGAGGAGTTGCGCGAGGTGTTTAAGGCGGAGGGGATCAGTGAGAAGGTGCGCTGGTTGCGGGGCGGGGAGAAGGTGGCGGTGCTGTAGGCATTTTTATCGGTTGATGTATGTTTCGTGGCTACACCAAAATGGGTCTATAGATTAGTTGGGGATAGACGATACTTGGGATCTAATTGTGTCTTGTTTGAGATTTGTCTCTTGGTGAAACTTGTATACAAGATGCTTATGGCCCTCTTCGTATTGCCGCACGATTGAGCTCTCCCTTGTATTTCTTTCTGCTGCGACATATAGTATTTTGCAAGGTGAATCTTAAATTCAAGGTCGAAGAGTTGTCTGTCCATACCGTCCCGCCAATCAAATCATAATAGACAACGGTTGGCAATCCTTGGTATCAGGGTCTAGATCTCCGCTGCATGGCGGCTCACTCAGCATAACGCTACCGCACCGAGGCAGGGGGTCACGTCTAGCCTTAACGGCTCACCTGACAGGGGAGATTAAAGGGTGTGCGATTGTCGCAACGAGGACGTTCCGTGTCTTGGTGTCATTTGCCTTGTTATCGCAAGGGTGGAGACAACCCCACAGTGATGGCGGAACTGCTTATCTCAAGGAATGTTTCAGATATCTCCAAGTCGGCGATGAGCTTCAATGAGATATCTTCTGCGAGATTTTGAATCGAGCCACACAGGCTTGACTTCCAACCCGGCGAGCTCTGGACATTCGTATACCCGGAATTGGTAGGCGTTTCGAGAAAGGCCAGAGTTGTGTCGCTTGGCTTTCAAATGGTCTTTCTCGGTCGAGATGAGTGCTGAAAGTTCGGAGCCATAAGGTAAGCCACCACTGCCATATCAGCTCGAGAGAAGGTCCTGGCTCAATCTGCCGGGTCGAATCCAGGGTTCGCTAGGCGGATCATCGCAGCTCAAGAATGGTGATTGAGAGGATGATGCACTTCTTGAAGAGCCACAACTGGTGCATACGCTGCAACCAACAAGCAAGCAGCAAGCATCAAGCCGCGACACCAGCACAACCCCTTGCACACCATTCCCCGCTCCAACACCTCATAACACCCAGCATCACCAAATCTCCATTCCAACGCTGCACAACTTACACATACATCATGCCCATCCCAAACATGCTAATCAAATCACACAAACACCCCAGTCAACACATCCAGCTGACGCTCGCCCTCACCTTCACCCCTCCCGTCTCCGCAAAACAACCAAAACCTCATACCCCGCCACCCCCACCTCCTCTCCCAGCTCTTCCCCAACCCAAACCCCCTCATCAAAACACCCCACATAATCCCCCCAATCCGCCCGGGGCCCCAACCACAACACCATCCGCACCGCACCACCATCACCACCCTCAATCCCATCCAAATACCTCCTCACCAACGCAGGCTCCCGCGGATACACGAACATCCACGCGGCCGCGCGCGCCGCCCGCGGCAGGAGATCCCACGTCCCCTGCACGACATTCATATCCAACTCATCGATGTACCGGTTCACGGCGCCGCTGACTTCGACGCCTTCCACCGTCACGGTACTGTGGCGGAGCGTGATCAGCGCCTCCAGCAGGCCGGAGCCACTGCCGATGGAGAGGGTGAAGCCCGGGTGGGCGGGGAGGATAGTCCCCAGGTAGGTAACTAGGGTGCTGGAGAGGGCCAGGCAGCAGGTGGGGTAGGCGTGGGGGGTTGGGGAGAGGTGGGCGGAGATTTGCGGGAGGTCCATTTTAGATTCGCTCCTTGCTTGGGGCCTGGGATGTGTTTGTGGGTTTCTGAGAGAGTATTTTTATGTGTACTGTATGTATCTAGGGTCGGAGGGGGGGAATTGTTGAGATAAAGTTGGGGGGCCGGAGGGTCTGGAATGTGGTGGCTGTGGAATTGAGTTTCTGTACAATGTTTTAGGTTGTTTAATTGCAGATTCGGTGTGGCGCGAGTGGTTTTTGAAGGGGACGGAGGCCCCGGGCCGGGATTATCCGGTGGGTGATGGCGGGGATGGCTTATTTCCACTTGGTTTGGTGGTATTCCCACTTCCAGATTTGGGACTCAGGGTAGAGCTCCTGTGGAGTTCGGTGATGTGGCAAGTGAGCATGTAAAAATAGTATCGAGGGCAGGCAGAGCTCCAGAGCCCGTGGCTACGTTGAGTGCTTCTATGTGCGCCCAAAAAATGTATGAATAATCACGTGAGACAGGAGTACTATGAGCATTACGTCTCTGCTATACTGCAATGACAATCGGGTTGACAAAGTTCGCTTTCCACGATCACTTCGATGCATCTTCTAGGGAACGACAAGGAAAGAGTCATATATGCAAGTCATCATTTGCTCAGCGCTATATATACAATCTTCTAAGTGACATCGCCTCACGGAATCTCCTCATACACCCGATCCGTCAACAAGGGCGGCTCCAGGAAATCCGAGGGCACCGTCTCCGGTAGCTGGTTCTTCTCCGCCCATTCGCGGATCTCCTCAAAATTCCGGCACTGGTGCTTCGTGTTGAAGTCCACAAAGGGCTCCGGGTGCTCCGGATGTACCCAGACTTGGCCGAGGACGCCGACGTCGAGACTGCACATGAGCTCCTGGCGGAGGACGTCGAGACAGTGCGCTGCGGTTGTCAGTCCAGGGTCATTATGTTCAGCGACGAGAGCTCACTTACAGACGTGGTGTCGAACAATGTAATCGTCGTTGGTGAAGGCACCGGTGCCAAGGTTGTGGTAGTAGTCGTAGTTGTAGTACAAGGATTGGCGGAGGAGGTTCTGTTCGGTAAGTCGGCTGCAAGACCTTAACAGCAGTACATTCCCAGACATACCAGGCAGTGCAAATGATGAAAGCCCTCCACGTTGGCGGGATATCCCCCGCCATATTTCTCCCGGATCTTGACTTGGTCCTTCGCCAAGCCGGATTTCTGGGCATCCTCGACAGGGACCCTGATCGCTCGGACTGGGGTCGGGTCAGTATGTGGCTGCTTGCTGCAGTAGGGGCTTAACATACAGTTGGCACCGAGGGACTCCCAGGCTGCGTCCACTTCGGGGCTCGCATCTTGCCGGAAGATGTTCTGCTTCAATAGGGAGCCGTTGAAGGGTTGTTGGTGGTACCTGAGGCCAACCTGACCGATAACAGGTGCTGCGATCGCGTTAGCTGGGTACTGACTCCATCTCTCCACATGACACTGCAGATCTGAGGTATTCCCTCAGGATAATCTTTGGATAGGCTTACAGTATTGTGTGGTCCGCCGCGTGCACGACTTGTCCAAGTCCCTCTGATTGTGTCCGAGGAAGACTCCCACCAAACACGACAGAACCGCAACAGCAACCACAAACAGAACCCGTAACCACCCTCCAAGCAATGGTTTTGGGGAATAGTTGTTTTGCGACCACTGAGTAGCCTCCTCGTCTATGAGGAGCCTCTCCCTGTCGGTGGAGGTGGAGCGCTCGGAAGAGGGCATTTTGTCCTCGAAGGAGGTGGTATCTCTGGGGAGAGTCATCTTGGAAACAGCCAATCTAGATTTGAAAGAGAAAGCCCAACGACATGCAGAAAGAGAAAAGAATCTTCAGGAAAATGGGAGTAGATGTGAGAAAGACGATCAGGCGGGATGTTTATTCTTAGCCTTGGACCAGCCAAGTCGAATGGCCTGAGGTGTGGATATCAGCTTCTTGGAGGGTCTCCGTGGCCCTCCGCTGCTAATAATATCTCATCATAGACGTGCAACTGCCATCAATTGCCATCAATAGCCATCAATATGTGACTGACGGAGGTGTGACTTGGAAAGTAAGACATGGCCAGTGCATGGAGCCCCGTCGACGGGAAGGCCGCTCATTTGCTCCAAGTGAGACATCCGCCGCTTGGCCGCATGTCTGTCTCATATTCGGTTGTTGCTGTGTTGCCCGCCTTACAGCCCAGCTCCGCATTCTTTCAATAGCAAAGCCGAAAAAGCCCATCTGAGACATGACGCAAAAATGCCTTACTTTCTACTTGCCTCCAAATCCTGCTTCTAGCCTGTTGCATCTTAAGTTTGCTTGTCGACATCATGCACTAAGCCCCCCGCCTCGGACCATTTCCTTCGTCCGACCGAGGCAATGTCCACCTTTCCTCCTCCTCCCACCTGCAGAGAGGCTCATCTCTCGGCTTGCAGAATAATCTGAGTCAATTCTATATTGGTGCTCCACGGGACTGAGTGTGAGGCAAGCAACATGTAACCGGGACTCCCGATGGATCCCATTCGCTCTCCATCATCTTGTAATTGGCATTAGCTGGGTTCTTGGCCTCTCTTCACACACCCATGCGATGGTACAATCCGAGACGTGGCCAATCAGTCTGTTTAATGACCTGTAGGTTGCCTTCCCCACGCCGGTCGATAGACTGCGCTCTAGCAGACCTTGTACTGTAACTGCTTTGGCTGCGGATGTTTCTTTCTCCTGCTGCTATTTATGGATCATCGAGAGGATGGGAGAAATCTCGCAGACGCAGTTATAAATACAGCCTGCGATCCGGCCTCTGCCTTGCAGTTCCCCAACCACCCATCTGCAGTTGTCCTAGATCTCCTGTCCCTCTCCCCTCTTCAGTCTTGAGACGTTCATACACCATGCATTCTCTTTCCAAGAGCCTCCTGCTCGTCCTGGGCAGCAACATGCTGGGCGTGAGCGCCGCTCCGGTGGCCGAGGCCGCCACGTCGACCGCTACAGCTGCTGCCACTACCACCACTGCCCCCGCTAACTATGGCAACTACGGCAACTACGGCGACTACGGTGCCTATGGCAATTACCAGAACTACAAGCGTGCTGACGCGGATGAGGCTGCTGCTTCTTCTTCAACCTCGTCGGCCGCCTCCACCACCACTGCCCCGGCCAACTACGGCAACTATGGCAACTATGGGGACTATGGCAGCTATGGTAACTATCAGAACTACAAGCGCGATGCCGATGCCTCCAGCGCTTCGACCACCACCACCACTGCCCCCGCCAATTATGGCAACTACGGAAACTATGGCGACTACGGCAGCTACGGCAACTACCAGAACTACAAGCGCGAGGACGAGGAGTCGACCACCGCTGCTCCTGCCACGACCACCGCGCCCGCCAGCTATGGTAACTACGGGGACTACGGCAACTACGGAAATTACCAGAACTACAAGCGTGAGGAGGAGTCGACCACCTCCGCTGCTGCTGCTAGCACCACCACCGCCGCTCCGGCCAGCTATGGCGACTACGGGAACTACGGCACCTACGGCAACTACGGCTCGTACAAGCGCGACGAGCAGCCCGAGGAGGAGAAGAAGGAAGCCTCGACCACCGAGGCTGCCCCAACCACCACCGCACCCGCCAGCTACGGCGACTATGGCAACTACGGCAACTACGGTAACTACCAGAACTACAAGCGCGACGAGAGCTCCTCTACCACCACGAGTTCTGCCGCTACCACTACTACTACCACCACCACTGCCCCCGCCAGCTACGGCGACTACGGCAACTACGGCACCTACGGGAACTATGGCTCGTACAAGCGGGAGGAGGAGCCCGCCGCCAAGGAGGCAGAGGAAGCCTCTTCCGCGACCTCGACCGCCACGGCGAGCGCCACCACCGCCCCGGCCGGCTACGGGGACTACGGAAACTACGGCAACTACGGCAACTACGGGACCTACCAGAACTATTAGATTCTGACGCTTCAAGGCCATGGAAGAAAGAAAGGAGGGGACATGAACCTAATGATTGTGTAAAGTTGCTCTTTCGGAAGAGGACAGAATGAGCGTGACGTGACAAGGGCCCGGGAACGATGACACGACCGTCCGGGTGTACGCCGTACTACTATGTGTACTCATCGGGAACAGGAGGTCAATCCTGGTAATGTGGATCTCAGATGCTCGGTCTTTTTCTTTTTTCTTCTCTTCTGTATTTAGCTTAGATTCGCGAGCATTGAATATTGACCGTTGATAACAAGATACAAGTACTGTGCCTTTTCTGATTGCCGATTGTCGATTGTCGATGCTGCCGGCATTGATTATGTCACGTGACTCAATTAGTTAGGCGTACCATGCTGCTAGCTTACGTTTGCTTCCTTCGCCGCATGATGCATCAGCCTCATGATTCTATTTTTGTAAAGGTGGCCAGCTCAAGCTGGTCAAAGTTAGCTTTTCTCTGAAGTTCGTTGTGTTGATCCATGGTACTTGTTGTGTGTTGGAAGATGACCGGGGCCTACGTGTACAACGGAAATATATTTGGAAGGTAAGCGGGCAAGCTGACGCATCGAACAGCTTTCCTGAATTGTGCAGTCCAGCACCTCGACAATAAACCTAATAATCTGAGGGTATCATCTGCCTCAGCAATCAACATGGGATAAGCTTCGCTGAAATGTGCTGTGACAGGTTTGGAGGAAAAAAGTAAGAAAAAAGCAAGTCGTGCAATCTCAGAAACAAGATGCGCAGCACAAGCTTTCCGGCGTTCACCGTATGACAAGCTTTCGTGCGAAAGTCAACCAAAAATAATCATGATGAGTAAAAAGACAGATTTACGCAAACGATCCAAGATTTCAACCCGCCGATCTGGAATCGAAACTGCGGGATCGTGCCAGCAAATGGTAACTTCAGTACAGTACAGTGTGCCACTTTTGTGTGGCCGGCAATTGGGTCGTCAGGGCCGATCCCGTTCCCCGCTTCCCCATATTATAGGCTCGAGGGAAGGGGTTTTTCCTTGGTCTCGATGGGCTACGTGGATCCTGAGCTGGGTTGCCGGTCGCCACTTTTATGTCTGTGAGGTCGGTCGCGTAGAGCCGGGCTGTTGCTGTGCGTCGCGATAGATGTAGGTTTGGATCTGATTTGTTTGAGTTCTTGGCTGTATAACTACTTACTGGAATTGTACAGAGTAAAGGTAGGGATTGTGCTGCGAGAACCCAAGGCCCATCAGAACACATCGGTCAAACTCCGACCGTGATCGGGGTGGCCCGCGGTCAGCTGACCCGCACCAGGCGGTTATCTTCCGCTTTAGACGGGATTCGGCCGCCTTTTTACAGTCAGGGAGCTCTTACCGCCTTCAGATGGACCTGGCTGCTGATATCACGCGCGACGCGCTATTGGTTTGGACTATATATACCTCGAATTGATATCTTTGTGGATTTGTTTGAGGTGTAGAAGATGACTTGTTAACTATCTAGTAGAGCACGAAAGAAGGCTGCTACCATTTACCTTTACTGCGTAACAGCACCGTTGCCTGCAATGGCCTCAGCAGAATACTCAGTTTTTGGTTGGATGTATTACATTGACTCGTGGGATTACTATGATCGCTGTAATGAGTATAGTAGACCACCGGCCCTTAGTTTCAATGATTTTTCCCTGTAAACCACTTTCAGCCCGAGGTGATTTATTGGCAGTGGAAGAACAATGACTCGAAATCTCACCGAGAGAGGGAAACGGAAAGGATGCATATCCAGCCAGTGGCCCTATCGGTTGAGTAGGCAGTTGCAAAGCTTAGCTCTGCTCAGAGTTTGCTGAGGCTAACATCTAGGCCCGGAAGCTATCCGAAGTTCTCCACTAGATGCCTCCTAAGCGCGGTGAGGCCGCGTCACTGCACTATAACCTAGCACAGGTTGGTACATAGACACAGTATCTATCCGGTATCTGATGAATCTGATTGGCCTCACTAAGATATCATAGTATCTCATGTACATCCAGGCTGGTATACTAGTGGCCCGGACCGAGCCCCCGGTCTTCGAAAGTCATTAGTAGTTATCTCCTGAGCTGGAATACGAATTGGAGTGGTTAGGCAGCCATATTAGTGTCAGGTGCTCTCTCATCATTGACGTGTTGGTTTGGAATAAGAACATGTTATGCCCCAGTAGTTTTTTTCCGGGCTGATTCCATCCTCTCTCTAGCTCCGCATCATTACGTCTTGTTTGCTACCATTAATTCAGCCATTTTCCGGACGCATGTAAGAAAGCAGCTGGCCATGATCCTGATATCAAAGATTTCCTCGGTGTCGCTAACCCTGCAATTTTGAAGAAACTCTAAGTCGATATGGATCTGCTTCAGTTTGCTTGCGTTTTGGTCATCGACCTCTGCGCCCTATACCACCGCTACACCGACGGACACTGGTCAAGACCAGCACTCTCCTGTGTGGCGTTCACGCATGTCGGTCTATTGATCCATGTCTTGCTGGAGACGCTGAAACAACAGATGAGGTGATGACTTCACCAATTCATCATCGAAAGCCATCTCCCCGTGAAGGCCGGGCTCGAGCTCTGGGAGTACTTGGTGGGGGTCATGAAGGCCAAGTCCGACGCCAGTTCCTACACTTTGACCTATGGGGCGGATGTAGATTGGTCTAAGCTACTGGGCTATGCGTACAAGGCGCCTGTCAACCACGGCGGAAAAGTGCGTGACGACGCTGCATAAAAGTGGGGACTACTGTTGGATGCTGTGAGTTAGGACACGGAGCCATATTACACAGTGAGCTGCGCTTGAGTGCGGAACCAAGTGTATATCTTGTGCATTCGGAGGATTGTTGAGTTTGATAGACTGTGGGCATGTGGTACCTAGCACGCTTTCTCAAGAGTAGCCTGATCGCTATTGTTTTTACTACTCGCAAGTATTTACTGTTTCGATCTTCGAGTCTCTGCTATCTTGCACCTATACAGAAGCGACACTACGAGTAGTTTTCACGCATCATGAATGAAATAAACAGCATGTATGATGGCCGCTCCAACCATAGTGGAGAGGTTACATAATTTGAGCACTGCAGGCGTAATGAGTACAAAATCACACATTTTTCGATGCCTCCGCAGAAGGAATCCTCCGTACACTGCCATATGAGGCTTTAACCTTATTAGTATACCTGACTGGTTTATCCACTTTCTCTCATTGACTCAGGGTTGAGTGGGCTGGCATGGGTCTTATTCCTGAATGACAGGTTTGCCCTCCAATCACCGAACGCTGCCGAGTATCAGCAGCTGCAACGCCATCGGTGGAAGTAAGTAGTAAAGTATACACCATCATTAACTCGCCTCTTTTTGGCAGGAGGAATACAAAATCTGGAGGACCGAGTACTCCACCAATCGTCATGATACCGACTTGAACTGGGTCGGACCCGTAGTGGAAGCTTGATCGGCAACCGGTGGAGGTCAGAGTTGTTGATCTTGCTGTAGCAGAACTCACCCTTGACAAACTACCCCACTGGATTGACTCTATCCCACATGGTTTCAAAGAAAAGGCTCAACATCATATAAGATCAAAAGAAAAAAAACCATAGACAATAACTTCAGATCATATTGTCTCAGTCGCTTTTTTCTTGTTTGTTTAGTACTTTCATCCAAAGAAAGTCTTTCGAGATCTATTTTCTAGATGAGAGTATACATAAAGAGTTTCTCTTATTTAGAAGATACTATTAGTAGTTTAGAAAACATCTTGGGTAATAAATCTTTTACCATTTATCGATCAATAGGGCCTCAACTTCTATTATTCTTAGAAAGATTAGCTGAACTCTACGGAGTGAAACATCTTTGAATTTGGGTATGAAAGAGAAAAAGCAAGTCAATCTTGACCAAACATGACAAATGACAGGCCCGATTTCGCCGACACGCCGAGCGACAGCAAGAACTCGTCTTTCGCCGTCCCCACCCAATCACCCAAGAGCTATAACATAAGTGGCCGCGAGAGCGGCATCGGAGTCCGCCGCGGGGAAAGCCGAGCGCCATCCAGGCTAGTAAGACTAGACCACATCCCCAGGTATCATAGTCCAGCTGCAGAGACTGAGTCGTGACTTTGTGACCACAGGCGGGAGAGGTGAAAGATAACTCGATCGGCAATGGTAGCTTGCCCATAGCGCATCATCTACTCAGGATCTGCACGGAATGGTTGGCTCCTGCACATGGTTCGTCTCCACCGCCGGGGTCGGAGAGCAACACATTTTTTGGGCAAGGATTAAGGGAACCATCGTCTTTCAGCTGGCCCCAGTGCGCCTGTGAGTCGATCGCTCATTTAAATACATTGGCGCCCGTACGTGAGTCGCTGTCATGACTCTTTGCTTTTTTTCTCTCTTTTCCTTTTGCTTTTTCTTTCCGTTTTTCCTAGATATACCCCCCCGTAGACCTCGGTAGCAACCTGCATTCACCCCTTGCTGCGTACGCGCATTAGACTATGGTCGTGGATGGTGAGCTCCCTTTCTCCCCCCTCAGCCCCCATCGCCAATTTTGCGATCGTCTTTCTGTCTCCTGCGATCGCAACCCACTGACCACTTTTCTCCTCTTTTCCCATGACTGCAGAAAAACAACCCGTGGACAACGGCGACCTGACGCCGGAGCCCTCGCAATATGGCACCGTCAACGAGCGCAAGCTCATGGCCAAGATCGACTGGCATGTGGTGCCGTGCCTGTGTGTGATGTATCTGCTGGCGTTTTTGGATCGGTCAGACCCCCCCTTTGTGCGCGCGCATGCTCCTTGCTCGCTGACATCAAGGACTCGCGCAGTGTCAACATCAGTAACGCGGCGGTCCTGGGCCTCGAAAGCGACCTCCACATCACAACGGGCACGAAATACAACACCGCCCTGACGATCTTCTTCGTCCCGTACATCATCTTCGAAATTCCTTCCAATGTGTTAATGAAGAAATTGAAGCCGCATGCATGGCGTACGTTAACTCAAACACCACGGAAATCTACTTGCGCAACTGAGTGCTGACGCGATTGCCTTTCCGGCGCATAGTCTCGCTGTGTATGTTCGGTTTCGGCCTCGTGATGGTATGTCAGGGTTTCGTGCAGAATTGGGGTGGATTGATGGCCACGCGGTGGTTTCTGGGCATGTTCGAGACGGGATTGTTCCCTGGGTGTGAGTTTCTCTCTCGCGCGGGCGTACGCGATGGGGGTGCGGTGTATTCTTTTCCTTCATACTGATCGCCCGGGTCAAACAGGCTTCTATCTCCTGGGAATGTGGTACAAGCGCAGCGAGGCGCAGAAGCGGTTTAGCTTCTTCTTCAGCTCGACGACGCTGGCCGGCGCGTTTGGCGGGCTGCTGGCGAGCGGCCTCGGCAAGATGGACGGGGTGCGCGGGCTGGCGGGCTGGCGGTGGGTGTTCATCATCGAGGGGATCATCACCTGTGTCGTCGCCATGGGCTGCTTCTTCGTCGTGCCGGACTTCCCCGAGGACGTCAAGTGGCTCACCTCGGAGGAACGGGAGTTCCTGCGCGACAAGCTGGCGCAGGACGCGGGCAAGTCGGCAGTCGATGTGAAGACGGGCTGGCGCGATATCCTGGCCGTGTTCAAGGATTGTATGTGCTTCCCGAAAGGATGGTTTGTGCGGTGCAACTGACTGGACGATCTGCAGACAAGATCTTCATCGGTGGATGGATGTATTTCGGCCAGGTGGTCACGGCTTACGGTATGTCTACCCTGGTGTTCGTGGATGGGGACACATTGACTAATAATTTATGTGCTGCGCGCAGGATACGCGTACTTCGCGCCGACCATCATAAAAACGTTTGGCTACGGAGGTATGTCATGTTATTCCCACCATCTACACCAGCATGCGCATGCGCTGACCCACCGTGTGTAGCCATCAAGACCCAGTTCTACTCCATCCCCCCCTGGGCCGCCGCGTTCGGCTTCTCCATGTGCATCGCCTACCTGTCCGATCGCTTCCAGCACCGCTTCCTCTTCACCCTGCTGCCCATGCTGGTCGCCATGGCCGGGTTCGGCATCCTCATCAACATCCACAGCACCTCGCAGCACCACATCCAGTACGGGGCGCTCTTCCTGGTGACAAGCGGCTGCTACAGCGCCATGCCCGTGCTCGTGTGCTGGTTCGCCATGAACCTGGGCGGTCATCGGCGCCGCAGTGTGGGAACCGCCTGGCAGATTGGATTCGGCAATAGTGCGTATCCCTTCTCCCCATATCCTCCCCTCAAATCTTACCCCCAAAAGTACTAACCCTCACGAATCGGTAAATAGTCGGCGGCATCATCTCCACCTACTCCTTCCTGTCGAAGGACGCTCCCTTCTACCGCAACGGCTACATCATCGGTGTCTCCTTCCTCGCCTTCTCGGCCGCCATGTCCTGCCTGTACTTCCTGGCCATCTGGCACGACAACCGCAAACGCGACCGGGCGATTGCCGACGGCACGGTCGATGTCAACGCCATCACCGAGGCCGAGGAGGAGTATATGGGCGATATGGCGCCCACGTATCGGTATGCTTATTAATCTGCGCTCGAGTGTCATGGGCCTTTGTTGTTGGATGGATTTTCTGTTTTCTGTGTTGCACAATAATAATGAGGAGGGGTGGGAGGAATGAGAGCCGGCCGATGTCGGCGTGTATGATTCATGAATGAAAGATTAGACTTGACTGGCTTTGACTGCTTTAGCTGTTTTGGGGATAGAAAGGCGGAGGTTGCCGATGTGTAGGGAGGGAGGGTGTGTTCACCGGGGGCGGGTCAGATTGGACCGAGGTCCGGGATGGGGTCCACGGCGGATGGGGCGGAGTTGTGCGCTTATGCGTGAAGCTCATATGCAGCTGACTCACCACGTGAATTATGCATGAATCAGCATGGGCGTGTCGGATTGTGGGCTTTCAACTGTTATGCAATGAAATGCTAGATGAGGTAGATTTCTGGTGGAGAGTAAAGATTGTAGGATGTTCTGTGGTGCAATGTACATGCTGGCTTGCGCTGGTGTCAGATAATCTGCATATCCAGCAAGGTAAGATCCGAGAGTTCACCGTGAGAAATCCATAGGGACAGTACTATAAGTTAAACATGGATAGGTTGGTAACGATTCCAGCCGGCATATATGCAACCGAATTTGTCCACCGTACGAGGGTCCAGACAGTTTAGCCGTTGGGGATCACTAATGACCCCATTGCAAGTCGCCATCCCGCAGCGCGATGGCGAATTCAGCTTGTCCGGGAATGCCGAGAAATGTCATACAACCTTTGACCTCGCTTAAATCCCCTGATGCATATGGTGCCAACCTTCTGCAGCCTTGCCCGGGACCTGCATGTCAGACCTTCGAATCAAGTCATGGATTGGGGTAAGAGCTGGAACAACCAAATCTGTGCCTATTGACTCGGGCAGATCCAAGGATCTGTTGCGGCAACCCCAAGCCGACACCCAGGCATACCCCATCTGATGGGTTGCTGAAGAGTCAAATCTTATCTTATCGATTGCAAGCATCGACGCTGGATTAGAAGCGCAACAGGTTCTGCACGACCAAGCGACCTGGTCCCGAAGCCCTCATTGCGGGAGGATATCGCGTAATCGCGGCTAGCGATGGTACAATGCACGACCACGACAAATCAGAACCGCATCAGGATGCATCCGGTTGTATATCGTGCAGAAGCGAGGTGTTAGCCTCTGCGTAGCTTACCATGAGCAATGAGGAAAAAGTGTTGCTGGATGATGCCATTCCATCAACAGCTGGCAGGCGCGAAGGACGTCTCCATTCACTGTAGCAGCGGTACACTCACCCACGAAAACAAATATAAACCACGCGACGAGGCGGGCAGTCCATTGTAAACTCCCAGAGCACCCACCAAGCACCTTGTACATACCCCCCGGCCACCATGGCCTCCATCCTCCTCCTCCTGGCCGCAGCAGCCTCCACCGTCCTCGCCGATGGCCAATACCGCTCGCGTCCGGACCTCTCCCCGCCCCAGCTGAACGTCACCGTCGAGGCTCCCGACGCCAATGGCACCGAGTACGTGTTCGTTGCGCCGTACGGAGGCTCTCTCGCGCAGCCGGGCGCCTACATCTATCGCAAGAACGGCGACCTGATCTGGTCCGGCATCGGCTACTACGCGGGCTTCGTGGGCAACTTCCACCGCACCACGTACAACGAGCAGCCCGTGCTGCAGGCCTTCCAGGGGACCATTGATAACACCCATGGCGAAGGCTGGGGGTACCAGGTGCTCTTGGATCAGAACTACCAGCACGTCGCCACGGCCAAGGCGGCCAACCACCGCGTGCCTTCCATCCACGAGTTCAATGTCATTGATGGGAAGACCGCGTTGGTGGAGGTGTACACCCCTACACCTTGGAATCTGTCAGCGTATGGGGGGAACGCGTCGCAGCAGTGGATTGGGGATGGGTATTTCCAGGGTATGTCCTTTCTGTGCAGCCTCATGAGAGACGAGTAGACTGGAGTAACACCGCTGCGCAGAATTCGACATCGCAACCGGCGACCTGATCTTCGAATGGAACGCGCTCGACCACATCGATCCAGCTGGTACGTATCCCCAGCCTCTCTCTTCCGTCATACCAAACACCAAACTAACCCCGACCCAAACAGAAAGCCTGATCTCCCTCGCCTCCGCGGCGGCCGACAGCGCCCTCACCGCCTCGACAAGCTGGGACTTCATCCACATCAACAGCGTCGACAAAGACAGCGAGGGCAACTACCTCGTCTCGTCCCGGCACCTCTCCACCATCTTCAAAGTCAACGGCACCGACGGCCGCATCCTCTGGCGATTGAGCTATTCCAACCCCTCCACCTTCACTCTGCCCACGGGCTTCGCCTTCGGCTTCCAGCACCACGCCCGCTGGCACGCCCAGTCTGCAACCAAAGAGACCATCTCCTTCTTCGACAACTCCAACGCCGGCACCGGACTAGTGTACAACAACGTCTCGCGCGCGCTCGTCGTGGAACTCGATCTCCAAACCAAGACAGCGACGGTGCTGCGCGAGGCGCCCGCGCCGTACAGCATCAGCGCGGCCTCGCAGGGCGACGCGCAGTTTCTGGACGATGGGCGCGTCTTCGTGAACTGGGGGTCGGCGGGCGCGGTCACGGAGTTTGATGCCGACGATGACGTGGTGTATCATGCGTGGATCGCCGGGAACGGAGCGATGAGTTATCGTGGGTTTTTGGGGAATTGGACGGGGACCCCCGCGGAGGCGCCGGCCATCGTGGCGTATTTGGATGACAGTGCTAAGCGGGATGAGTTGAGGGTGTATGTGTCCTGGAATGGGGATACGGAGACGGTCGGGTGGCGGTTTTATGGGCTCAGTCTGGGGACGGGGAGGAATGCCACGACCTCCGGGCCGGTGTTCCTGGGCCAGGTGGAGAGAAGTTCGTTCGAGACGGTTTTGATCACGGATCGTGTCGGGGTGGTTGGGTCCACGGGCAGGGTTTATGCTGTGGCTGTGGGGAAGGAGGGTGGTGTTTTGGGACGGACGAGGGCGGTGCCTGTGCAGGAGTGGGTGGCCTTGGTTTGAGGGTGGTGTTCTGAAAATTTGGTGATTTGAGGAAAAGTCTTGAGAGGTGGTGTTACGATTGATGAGAGAACGAGATGAAACTTGTCTGGTTTGGGGTTTCAGATATCGGACTATACTGCTGGCTTCAGCTTCTGTGTCTTTAGACCTGCCTTCGCATACTCGACCACCACTTTGTCCGTCCGGTGAATCTGACCCATTACATAACCCTGGTTCCGTATCTCCCTTGGTAGAATGTTGTCCTCACTGCCATTCTTCAGAGTCCCGATGTTGGTCGTCAGCAGCTCATCGTGCGTGAGCATGTAGTTCATCGCCTTTCTGAACGGGCGGTTGCGCGAGGTAGCGAGCTCGATCGCGTGGCCCTTGTAGTACCGCTGGTAGGAGCTCCACGAGCGTCGGCCACGGACCATCTCGTAGAGTGGGCCCAGTGTCGGAATGCACGAGGCCAGGATGATCACGTTCGATTCGAGGCTGAGTTAGGAAAGATGGTTAGTCCTGCCCTACATGAACCGATGCGTGAGGTCAGCCTTACCTGGTCCAGATGACGAGGTCGGCAGTTGCATCTAGGTCCAGTGTTAGAGATGGAATAGTCCCTGTTTCAAAATCTGTACCTTCACGTCGAGTCCGTCGTGTCATAAAGCCCCGGGAGCTGGTTACACTTGACGATGGCCATTGCACACGCACTGCACGCGTGATGAGCAACATTAGCTCCTCTACAAAGAGAGCGGTGTTTCCAACTCACATGGCGCCCAATCCCAGCGCCGCACATAGAGCGATCTTCTTTCTGAACGTCATTGGCAGCGACGAGAGAACGACCGTGGGATACACCGCTAGATAGAGGTCGACACAGGCGGAGACAGCTATATCGAAATTGTAAGTTTGGCGCACATTTGCAGCACAAAGACGGGTCCACGAGAATACCTCCAGTGAATATCGCATAGTCCACCAGTACAACTTGCGCCCGGCACGTTGCACCTTGGCTCAACAGCTGTGTCTTCCAGAGAGCCTGCGGCGGGTCGCACATGGTGAACAGCACAATGATGCAGATACTCGATGTCACGAACACCGTCCCTGCCAACGCCCACAGGAAGACCTGGTGGAAGCGCCCGGGGTTCAAGATTTGGTTTAACAGTGCAGCAATGGCCAGCTTGGGGGTGGCAAATGACATGATGCCCAGCGCGAAGTTAATATAGTTGAGCAGCAGCACTTGTTCTAGTCGATCCATGCCTCCTTTCTCGACGATGGCGGCCGTGTGCTTGCCGTAACCTAGAGCCACGACGGCGGTGGTGAGGGTGGTGTACCCCGCGAGGATGAACTGTTGCAATTAGCATAATTTAGAATCTCCGCAGAGGATACAACTAGTATACGACCGGGAGAAGACTCACTGTCGCGAGTGCAATGATATAGTCGTCCAAGCCGATGTTTTTCAGCATCCGAGATCGGATGTAGAGGCGAGCGGACACCGTGACAGCACTCACGGAGAAAAAGGCCCAAAACACCCCGAGGATCTTGGGTCCCTTGGTTTGGCTAGCATACTCGAGAGTCATGGCTCTTGGAATGGAACAGCCACATTGAGCTTGAGTTCGAGTTCACCGCGCGCTCATCTGCGGACTGTATTGGTTGTGAAATGAGAAATGTGCACGCGTGTGGGTGTAAAAGGCGACGGGAATCGAGTTGAGAGGGAAAGGACGCTTTCCTGGTCCACGTACTAACTGTGTGATCCCTGGTAGATTCAAGTCCATAGACTGAACCAGTTTGCTTTACTAGGTGGATACGGTGCACTAGTTTGCAACCATACGTTGGAGATGCTCCTATGTCGCTGACTGGTCGCCTCGTCCGGCTAATCCAAAATACAGCGCTGTCAGCGACCAGCGGAGGCCGATCTTCGGGCTAGTGTGCTGCCTCGATATTAAAGGCTGCTGCCGTTGAGCCGAGCCCGATGGGTCGAACGGGAGGATTTAATCTCAGATCCTAGTCTAGTTTCAACCCGGTTCAGCCGATACACTCTTAGAGCCAAACTACGTCCAGTCAGTTGTGAACTAAGGATTTAATCCTTACTCGTAAGAGGACTATCCAGCTGACATGTGACATTATCCCTGTAGGCGGAGCATTTCTGACTTCTGATTGAGCCGGCTGCATGGTTCCCCGCCTGTCATATCAATGTGGTTGAGCAAGTTCAGGGGAAGTGTGTGTCAACCTGAGCCCTACCCCGACATAGCCGGGCTTATATGCCCGTGCCTGTCTGCGCGTTTTTGGCCTTAGTTCACTCATCGATTGCTTCTATTGCTTCTCATACCCAGCCTTGTTCTACCTCCGGACACATCCCAGCTCTCACCATGCCACACAAGAACGGCGCACTCAACAAGGAGACCGATGTGGCGCAGCTTGCCATCTCTCCCAATCTTCCTACCCACATCCCCTTGCTCCTGGGCCAGATCCATATCAAAGGAGAAATATACCTCGACGCAAGCCCCCAAACACGGGTGGACCTGCTTGAGAGCGCCAGATCCCTCGTGTATGCACTCGAAACCCCCCGCGAGGCGATACTCAGACACTGCTGGTCCGAGGTACGTGCAATACCAACCGTGATTCACCGCGCACAACACTCGAAAGCATTGGCACTGTATACTGGGATCTAGACAACCAGCTACGCCGCCATCGAGACCGGAATCAATGCTGGTCTCCTCACAGCGCTCGGCACGACCGACCAAGCCACGTCCGTCGCCCAGCTCGCCAAAACCATAAATGTCGACCCGGTCCTTCTCGGTGCGTTGCGCACATCCCCCCAATGTCCCAGCACAATCACCCCTACCTAACCTGAAGCAACAGGCCGCCTAACCAAACACCTCGCCGCAATGGGCGTCCTCCTCGAAACCGGCAAAGACTCCTACCAACCCACAGGCTTCTCCAAAACCCTGACCGAGCAGAAATACAGCGACGCCTTTCCGCTCATGTACACTCTGCCCAGCCACAAAACCCCAATCCCCCTCACCCCCATTACCCCTACTAATGATCATACCCCGTAACAGGACCACCCGGTTCACGCAAGGCTTCCTCGCCCTCCCCACCTTCCTCGCCCAAACCCACTACGCCAACCCAACCAGCCCCACCGAAACCGCCTTCCAACTCGGCCACCGCACCACCCTCAACTTCTTCGAGCACGTCCAGCGCGAGCCCGACACCGCCCGCCGCTTCAACAATCACATGGGCGTGTACGCGCAGGGCCGGCCACGCTGGATGAATCCGGGCTTCTACCCGGTGCAGCAACAGCTCATCGAGGGGGCCGTCCCCGCCATCGGCGACGAGGGCGTGTTGCTGGTCGACGTCGCCGGGAGCTTCGGGCATGATCTCCTCGACTTCCGACGGAAGTGGCCCGATGTGCCGGGTCGGTTGGTGCTGCAGGATTTGCCGGAGGTGGTGGCGTCCGTGCCGGGGGAGGTGCGGGAGCACGGGATCGAGGTAATGGGGTATGATTTTTTTACGGCGCAGCCGGCCATCGGTGAGATTCTTCCTTTTGTTGTTGGAGATAGGTTGTAAGGAGGGAGAAGTGTGGGGGGATGGTGATATGCTTGGTGCTAATGGTCGGGACAGGCGCCCGCGCGTACTACCTGCATTCGATCCTGCACGACTGGCCGGATGATCTCTGCCGGAGGATTCTGGCGAATCTGACGGCGGCCATGACGCCTGGGTACAGTAAGTTGCTCATCAATGAGAATGTTATCCCGGATACGGGGGCGTATTGGGAGACGACGAGTTTGGATTTCATCATGATGAGTATTGGGTCTGGGGAGCGGACGCAGAGCCAGTGGCGGGGGTTGTTGGAGGGCCGGGTTGCGGGTGGTGAAGATCTGGGCGGCGCAGCGCGGGGTTGAGAGCTTGATTGAGTGTGAGCTGGTTTGGTCATATTGGCAGCAGGGGAATGTGGTGAGTTTGGGTGAGAGTCGATGCAGATTGTGCTCGAGTGGAGATTAGGGCTGGCGGATGTGATCCAGTACATCTACCTAAATACTGTCCTTGTGATCCAGAAGACCAGCTGTGCAATCGTATATGAAAGGCGAGTGTGTCAATTATGTCATTGAATGTATTCATCATGGCTTTAAAGAATCTCGACTTTATCATTTAAAATCAGGGGAGATGCTAGACCCCAGTCTGAGCGCGTCTCTGCTCCCGCCGCCAGAACCGCTGCAACACCACCAGCATCAACAACATGCACACATCCAACGCAATCGTCCAATTGTACCCGATTAGATACCGCGGCGCATCCACCGTCTTCCACACCCTATTTCCCAAATTAGCCAGGACTTCCATAATACAAATCGGGGCCACCCCGAAGGCACACCTGGGATACTCACAGCAACGGAATCCACGCCCCAAACGTATTCCCAACCGTATTCATCGCGCTGATCACCAACGCGCGCTCCTCCGCGCTCCGCGCGCAGATCTCATTCGCCCACGCATAGATGATCGCCGCGATCCCATCCGCCGTGCCGGACAAAAAGAACGCAAAGAATTTCAGGCCGACCGGCACGCGCCAGATCGCTAGCACCACACAGGCGAAGATGTTCAGCCCCGCCGTCGTGGCAATCAGCGCCACCTTCACGTCGTAGATGTCCGACAGCACGCCGCAGAGAATCGACGAGATGATCGTCACCGCCGGCGAGACGGTGGTGATCGTGTTGATGCTCTCGACCGAGTAGCCCTCGGCTTTCAGCCACAGCGAGAGGCCGCTGTTCGAGGAGACGCCGTCCGCTTGGGAGAAGAAGAACGCAAAGCCCACTAGCACCCAGAGGCGCCAGCCCTTGAGGATGGTGAGGATGCGCGGGAGGGTGAAGGGCTGGCGCGGTTGGCGGTGTTCGGCGGCCATGCGGGCTTGTGCTAGGTTGATTTCTTCCGGGGTTAAGAAGCGGGATTTGCATTTATCGGGCGTACTGGGGAGGAGGCACAGGCCGAGGAAGGCGATGGGGATGGTGCATGCGAAGCCTGGGCTAGTGGTTAGGATTGAGGCAAGCAAGACTATGCGGATTCTGGATTAGGGGAGGGGGAGGGGCTTACAGATGATATACAGCCAGCGCCAGCCCTCGATGCCATACCGCCCGTTGAGTCGGGCGTAGGCGCCCGCTTGAATATACCCCGAGCTCATGCTGCCCACTTGACTGGCGATGAAGAAGATGGCTCCGCGGCGTGCCAGTTCAGAGCGCTTATACCAGCAGCCCAGGTACCATTGGACAGCGGGGAAGAAGAAGCCGCCTAGGGCGCCGACGAAGAAGCGTAAGGCGTACAGCTGCGTGACACTGGTCGCTTTGTATTGTGCCAAAGTGAACACGCCCCACAGAAGGTCGGCGACTGGTAGGAAGTAGTTCACCGGGAAGCGCGTCATCTGCCAGAGGATGTCAATGGTTAGACTCTCTGTATCCCGAGGAGAGGATCGCTGGTGGAACGTACAGCCAATGTCAAGGGGATCTGCATTGTGATAAACCCGACCCTTGAAGCTATTAGAACCTTTGGTAATCGACCCGTCGGCGAGGCACGTACATGTACACGGTATTCAGGTAATTCAGCTGATTGCCGTACATCTTCAAGTCCTCCCTCATACCGCTGACATAGGCGGTGCTCGTGGCGGAGGAATCGAGCACTTTAGCCCAGTAGGCCAGGAACACAAACACAATGATAAGGCCGTCCAGCTTGAGAATGAGGCGTCGCTCGGCGGGTGTGTCGGTAGGCGCAAACCATTGATACCATTTCTGACGCCCCTGAATTTCAGATGATGGTTGCTGGAACTGTGCATCTTTGGTGTCAGATGCTTCGGGGATGGGGGCTTCCACTGCACGAGGCGCCTTCTCGATAAAGGCGCTCATGTTAGGGCTTGTGGAGGAAAGCGCAAATTTCGGATTTCAAAAATACAAGTTGTCGTAGAAAGATTATCCTCCATCTCTGCAGACAAGCGCGTAGATATTTGTTCAACCCTGAAGCACGCCACTTTTAGCGTGAATGGCGAGTAGTGGCAGGGATTCACCCCACCATTCAAAAGCTGATAGAGTTGCGTGCCTCGTGGGCTGGATGTCTTGGCGACGCTATACTAGCCGCGCCGAAATCGGGTGATTTGGTCCCGTAGCCGAGCGAGACGAGCTCGGCTATTTCCTCGGGACTGCTGTTCCAATGCCAACTGGAAATGACAATCAGAGCCTGAATAGCTGATTGACTCAAGCCGAACATGAAAGACAGGAACATGGATGATCACAATGGCGTCCGGGGGAAAGAACATAATCCATCTCCCGTGCTTCGGTGGGATCTGCGCCGAATGTCCGCAATGCTTGATAGTCTTGGCACCCGTCTTATTGCCTTGTCTACCTTGGCGATGGGCCTTTTTCGACACTATAGTTGTCGACAATGGGAGCGGAGCTAGTGAAAACATCGTGGCTGACTGCGTATCCAAAGGTACTTTTTGGCTAGTGATCTGATGCTGATGGATGGATCATAGGTCAAGACTCGATGTGACCCAGTCACCTGTGCCAAGAATCTGTGTCCACACCGGTGCCTTTATAGGTGTGCGTGCTGATAATCTGCAACGTCTAAATTTTGTAGTCCCGATTTTTGGTGTGGAGGCGCATGCAACTGCGGGTGCGGCTGCAGCTGCGCACCACCCTGCGGATGCGGGCTTCCTTCTTGTCCAGAAGAGCATTATGCAATCTGTGTACTAGGATCCTTTTGTAAGTACTACAATTAACGAATCACAGAGAAACATCAACATTGATTGAACTGGATCTCCTGCTAGCACAATCGCACCAGAAATCGCGTCAACCACCTAGATTGCTGCAAGTGCGGTTGCGCAGCATCACAAATCACCCTCAACAGAAGGAATAGATCGAATGCACGAATAGAACTTGGCGGCTGAGTCGTAAGCCCGCTCAAGGCCTGTCTTCTAGGGCTCCCACAACCCTAGCTTTGAGAGTCCACGTCCCCTCCTCCGGCCTCTGCACAATCATCTCGCGAGTAAAGGCCATCCTCTCGGGAGGCGTGTCGCAGAGCTCCAGATCAAAGCGAAACACGATTGTGGCTAGCGTTGTGTAGACCTCCGCATAGGATAAACTACAAAGAGAGAGATACTCGTCAGCATCCGCCCAATACATCATACTGCATTTAGAAGAGATCAGCCAGGAAACCTTACTTGATCCCAACACAAGCTCTCGTGCCCCTTGTGAAAGGTACCAGATACTTTGAGAGATTCACACCTCTTTCAGTCGCAGTGATCCACCGTTCTGGATCGAAGGATTCGGGATTTGGGAATATCTCGGGACTGCGGTGCAGGAAGTAGCTGCTCGTGCTCATCAGGGTCTATAGGAATTGCCTTGAGTAACAATACGTGGCCGCAGAGGGGACCCATCCGTCAGCACTCACACCGGGAGGTATCGCATAGCCATTGTAATGTAAGGTCTCGTGTGGGGCCACTCGCGAAGGACGCATTGCAACCGCACCTAGTCGAAGCGATTCATTCACCACGGCCGCCTGTCCAAGAATTCGTGAGGCTATTATACAGAAAGCACGAGTCTTATGGAATGAAAACCCACCAAGTAGGGCAACCGCTCGACCTGAGGCCAAGGGACTCTGCCATCGGATCGTGACACAATCGTCTCCACTTCCTCGCGCAGCCGAAAGAACATCTCCTTGTCACGCAGCAAATGATACATTGCAAACGTCAGAGTGGCCGCGGTGGTTTCTGTACCTCCAATCAGCAAGATAAAGCTTTCATCGCGCAACCGAGCCAGCGATCGCTCCGCCACAGGCACGGCGGGGTCCGTCAAACATCCATAAATTGTGCGCAGTCTCTCCCTGCTGTTCGATTGCAGGCATTCCTCAGACTGCCGCGCAATGCGATCTTGCATATCATAGACAGCCGCGAGCTTGGGCTTCACCCAGCGAATCCACCGGCCGGGCAAGGCTTTCAGGATCCTCGGTAACAGTGGCCAGAACTGGAAGAGATGGCAGGTGTCCGTGATCTCGGCCACTGCGTGCCAGGTGCCGTTGTTCTCGAAATGCTTGGATGCCAGACAGCCGGTGTCCTGGCCGTACAGGTAGTGCGTGATTATATCGCCCGTGAGCGCCACGAATGCGTCGCTCAGGTTGATCACTGCCACCTCCTTAGCGGCCATGATGAGATGCTCACAGAGAAGATCGATTTTTCCGTAGATCACAGGCATCAAGGCACTAACACTTTTCTTGGAGAAGAATGGGTTGAGCTGATTGCGGCGAGACCGGTGGAGGTCGTGGTCGACCGTCGCCAGCGCGGCATGGGGCGAGGCGAGGAATGCCACCATCTGCGGGTCCTTGTCTCGTCGCCTGCCTGCTCCCGCATAGATCTCGTCATAGAAGGCAAAATCGACGATGTGGACTTCTCGTGGGTTGATCCGCACGATGGGTCCTGGAGAAATCCGTGAGCCTGAGTTGCCTCAAGGGGAAACGCCACTGACCATATTTCTCGTGCATCTTCTTGACTTCCCAGATGAACTTGCCGCCTCGGATAACGTCGTAGTAAAACTCATGGAAATGTGTCATGGCGGCCAACTTTGGTCCAGGGAGCGACCTCAGTGGATGGAAATACAGACGGTAAAGATATTTTGTTACAAGGAACAAGAACACTGTGGTGAGAGCAACAGTCCACATCTTGAGATGATCAATGTCAAGGGATTTGAAAGTCACTTCTTGGCGGGTTAAGAGATTGGAGAATGCGCAGGTCAGGATGCTACCTAAGTTTTCCTTTTTTCCACCAGAACGGAACTTGGTTTGATTATGTACTGCTGGATCGCGCTGTATGCCACCATTGAGTCACAGGTTTACGTCAATGCTATTTTTCGCTTTCGGCTAATGCATGATCTATGCTAGAGGCATCTGCACCTCGATGCAGCCACGCCTTTGGGGTTGGCACTTGAACCAAAGTCGTAAATATCAGTTCCCGAACCCGAGATGCGAACCCACCGCAAGGGGCTTGTAATCTCTGACCATTCATGGCTAAGCAACCATACCCCTCCCTCCTAAATGAAGATCGCTTCGCATTCAATAGTCTAAACTACGACTCTGAGCATTCTCGTGGGAAACAAACGCTGAATTATAAATATATTGCCGCCCTCAATGCTCTCCGGGCAGAGAATCACCCTCACTGACATCGCAGTCTCAATCCACCTTCAACCTTTCTACCCCCTCAACCCAATATTCCTACTATGAGGAGAAGCCAGGAGAACCCTTCGCTTATGTCCCGATTACAGGGCCAGATATTGATCATCCCAGAGCTGCTAGCACGAGTCTACGCGGACTGGGATGCTGACAGACATTCTCATGAATTGGATGTTCGAGCCAACATAGAAGAATATTTCCTAAACCGGTGAGGAGACTCACCCTCCCTCCTTGCATCGCTAGCTTTTGTTGCCTATGGGCATTGTGCTGATACAACTATACCCGCCAGCTGGTGCCCGGATCGCAAGAAACGCCAACAACTGATCAAAAGCAATTCGGCCATGTTGGCCGGATACTTCTGGTCCGGCAGTGCTGTTGAAAGATTCCTTCCTCTGGCCAAGTTCATGTATTGGGTAAGGAAGTCGACCAGCGTGACCTTCATCCTAGAATACCTGGACACTAACGCAGATGGCTACAATAGTTCTTTCTCTGGGACGATGGTACACAACGGCCACAGCCTTGCTAGCCCTTCTAAACCACGCACTGATACCTTACTTAGAGATTGATTGCGGTCGACTTGCAAACGATGCCAAAGGTACACAAGCTTACCGCGAAAGCACCCTCGCGTTTCTGAAACGCACATTAGAGCCGGAGATGCTCGAATCTGGTTCGAGCTATGATGCGGCGGACCATAATAGCGGGTGTTTTGACGAAATATCCCCCGTCCTGCGATCTGGGACCACAGTTGGTATGTATGGCCCATACATCTGCCGAGGTGTTGATAGACGGTACTCACTATTAACCTACGAAATTTAGAATCACTTCGCCGGTTCGCAGATTCCCTCTATGAGTACGTGGACTCGGTGTGCGCTGTCCAAGAAACCCGCGAAGAACGGTTACCAGGCCTAGATTGCTATTTCGCGAACAGAGAGTTGTCGATCGGAGCGTACCCTTGTATCATGGCGATGGAGTGAGTATACCCCTCTTCAGATGTTTTTGGCAGAGGGGGTTTCTCATCGAAACCAGATTTGCATACGACGTTCGGGTCCCGAATTGGATCTACGAGGATTCGCATATGCGAAGCATGTTTCGCGAAACGGCCATCTCCTGCATCATGTCAGTACTACGCATCCCGCGGTCTGCTTTGACTCGGCCGCAGCTAACAGATATTTAGTGTTAATGATATTATCTCGCTGCGGAAAGAGCTGGTCAGTACGTTCCCACGGTGCCAATGAGGTGAAACATGTGTGTGTAACTAACCAGACTGCGTCAGATGGCGGGTCAACTCGACAGTCTCATCCCACTGAAGATGCTGCGCGATCCTTCTCTGAGTGCGCAAGACGCTATGAACGAGGCATGCGCAGATTTGATCCAATCGAAAAGAGTCTTTCAGGAAGCCGAGTCGTCACTGTCGGATAGTGACGAGTTCAGACAGCTGAGCGCAGCTACCAAGGCCGACGTTCGCATGCTCCTCACGGGATGCAAGAATATGATGGTGGGCAACGTTAAGTGGTCGTAAGTCCCGTTCCACTCGAGGTCCTGCCAGCTCTCACAATACTAATCGGTTGTTTCTGAGCATAGATTCGCAAATGACCGGTATCTTTCTCAAAAGGATTCCCAAGATCGCGTTATTCGGCTCCACCTATGATACCGTCCCCGCACCCATTATGTGTTTCTCCATTGGTACTTTATCCTGTTATAGCAAGGAGAGGCATCCAGGAAGCCTTGGTTCTCTATCTATTTTACGTTATCGATTGGTAAAGCATGAAGGTTATCTGTCAATCTATATTAAAGGCTTTCATCTTTTGGTATGTTATATGTACTGTAGATAGAAGTCCCTGGAAGTTGTTCGTATCTTACGTAGAAGCGAACCGCAGGAATGCGGGCAGGCCAGAGGGCGACAAATAGGCCAAATTGAGTGCCCGTAATTGCGGTCATACTCACCTTCTCCAGCACGAACAAAATGTAGGGGATCAGCTGGATGACAATTGCTGCACTAGCGAGACTACTAAAGTAGTCGATGTCAGATTGCTGATCTTCTCCCTGCGCTAATCCGCACCTGCATCCGCACCGCCTGTACCATAACCCCACCTCCACCCGCATCTACAGCCGCATCACACAAGCAGCGGTGAGCATTTGCATCCCGTGAAGGAGAGGGTAGCCCAATCTCGGTGACTTTGGGATGATTACCGGATCAGCTCGAGAAGCATACACGCTCACCTACCAGGTGAGAAACGAAGCTTGGAAGTGGAAGCAAGGGCCAGATCCGTCCCTCCAAGCCTAAAGCCGAGCCAAATCCATGAGCCCCACTTTTTAATGCAAGATACAGTCCTCGTGATTTGCGAAAGATAAGCCATCACATCAGTCGCAAGGGATTAACCCGCAACCCGGCTGACAGCTACGAGCTGGATTCTAATTCTTGTATACTGCAGCATATTCCATCTCTGAAGAAGACACAAAAGTATTCCGTATCTGCTCATGAGAGCTTTGCAGTATGGCCCCGACCGAAGCAGAAGTTCCGTCCTCTCCCGTGGTCTGTTTGGCCTGCAAAGCGGGCAAGAGGCGATGTGACAAATTGACGCCTACATGCTCGCGCTGCAAGAAGTACGTATCTCCTGTGATATATTCTATCTGTCTTCGACGGTAGGCTCATTGGTCGATGGGTTCTAGACTCGACCGAAAGTGCTCATACCCCCTGACGTCGCCTCCAGTTTCTGCGGCTGCCCGTGCGGATGCGGTACCCCGGGTGCGGGAGACCGCGCCCTGTGCTTGTGTGAGATGCAGTGCTCAAAAGAGGAAATGCGATCGACTCATCCCTGGGTGTTCCCGCTGTCTGAGGTGAGTACTTTAGTCCGTCGCCAGGGGGCTACCAGCTAGTCTGGCTGACCGCATACCACACATGGCGAGGCTGCGCCTGAGCCTGGGCTTGAAGCGTGGCGATTACTGTACATGACAGACTGACATCGGGGTCTGAACCTACAGACTTGGCCTCGGCTGCTTTTACAATCTCCATCCCACTGACTCCACGCGTGTGAGAGGAAGTCACCGAGCAAGGGAAGACGTGCGCGGCGGCCTAGGGCAACCTCAGCATGGCCCTAGCATCCCGACAGAAGCACCCATCCCAGTTCAAGGCTACATGCCGACCCTGTTGAAGTTTTGTAAGTCCCACCTTCAAGGGTCTGTAGTAGGCGTACCCCTATTCCCAACTTGGAACTACAAAAGGAAGTGAGAGACTTACGAGATTCGACCCGGTGAGTCCCAGTCTGCACCTCCGTCGCCATTCCCGCCGATGTAGCCAAGCCCGATAGCATGGCCGTGCATCTGAGCTCCGAGTGGATGCGCAATGCCACGGCAAACGCATCCTTGTTCCACGCCACGCTCTTCAGCGCCTCCGCGTCCATTGATATCCTGCGGGGCTCCAGGAACAACCGAGTCACGCTGTACCATCAAACCTGCGCCATCCGGCTTCTGAACCAGACCCTAAATAAAGACACGGTCGAGCTCAATTATGCCGCGATCGGGACGGTGGTCCCTTTGATCTTCTATAATGTACGTTTCGCCGCGGCAACCGCCATTTCCCTGTTGTGTTGACTAACTCGACCCCCTTGTCTCACGTGGGGTGGGGGACTGGCTGTAGATGGTCGCATTGGATATCGATTCGGCGGTTGCGCATCAGAAAGGGCTAACCATGATGCTCTTGTCACTTCCGACGGAGAAGCGGGATGAGCTAGGACCACTGCTGGGGGTTATCAAACTGTGAGGCTGAAGCGCTCAAAAAAGCCCTTCCACAATTCTCGTAATGCACCGGAACTAATGATCTCTTAGGGCATTGCTCTCCTTCTCCTGTATCTTCGACGTCCCGCCCGCCTGGGACTGTCTAACATTCCCCGATGTCCGCCCGCATTCCATACTGCGGTCCGTGATTGCCAGCATGACACAACAAAGCAATACTGGCTCAATCTTCACTCCGACAACCGTCGATAACATCCTTGACATCTACGCGGCCATTTCCCAGTTGCAGGCGATAGCAGACCACCCGACACTAGAGGACGTCACCGCAGCAGATATCCACCAGATGCGCCATCTTCTCAAGACCCTTGATCCTCTCCGCCCCCGAAAGGCAGCACAACCCACCTCCGCATCATCTCCCACCAGCACTGAGGAGAAGCTCAACGTGTGTTGCAGCCTTGCCACATCAATCCTCTCGCGACTTCTGCGTGCGGATGCCCCGTTATATGAGGAAAGTACGCTGCAAGCGGAGCTCAACCAACTCACCCAACGAATCACCGAGATCGACGCGGCGTTCTGGATCCGACGGGCGCCGGAAACGTTGACCTGGCTCATCTTCACGGGGGCGGCCACCGCCCCTACCAGCCTGGATCGCGGGCGGTTGATTCTGTACGGGGGGACGGTCCTCACCGCTGTTGATTCGGACAAGTTGGTGCTCGTTAGGCAGGGATGGGTGTATCTTGGTCTGTTGAGAAATATTCGGCGGTTGCGTGGGATTCATGCCTAGGGGGTTTGTGCTGTGGGCAAGATTGTGCATATAGGTAGGGATGTGGATGAGTCGCAGGTTGGGGATTTCTCCTCGGGGGCAACGGGCTGCGCTATTGGGATATAGATACTGTTGGTGGACAGTTAGGATTGATACGTGGCTGTTATATGTTTATCGGAGGATGGTGTCTAAGGCTATATGACTGATCTAGTTTTGAAAGAGGGACAATCCGAGGTTAAGGACAATTCAGTAGTGTATTGATCATGCGCAAAAACTCCATTGGATTATCGGTGCGTTTCTGATGCAGTCCGTCCGCGGTCCGAGGGATTTGATCCAAGGCGTTTGACCAGGCTACTTGCACATATTAATATGTTACCTAGTTCATTAACCAATCAACCACCATAGAATCTAAGATTTGACACTATACCGCCCATTCCTCATCTTCATCGAACTGCTACGAGCTATAATCCCGAAGCTTCTCAGGGCCCTGGGACAAGTCCTTCTATATATCCATTGTTCCTAAATAGTGGAGTCCAAGACTTTCTGTAATCAACGAAATGTCTGACGTTGTCAAGCTGATCTACTAAGAAAAAATCCGCACATTTCTTTATTAACAAGTGGTCAATACCTACACTTTTTTTTAAAGAAATTTTATATCCAAAAAAATTCTGAATACACATTCGAGTCTTAAGAAATTCATTGTTAGAAAGAATATTAAGTTGTTTTTCATGAATTGATCCATAAGAAATCCTTCACATTGGACGCTCGCTCGTGCCTGTCGGAGCCAGACATGCCGTTTAGATGGATGTCTTTAAACAACTGCACAACATGAGGGTATGAAGTAATCATGGTATCGGTCGCCTGAGAGACGAAAAATAGCGTTGGCTCTAGATGTCATAGACTGAATGCTCTGATTCCAGGTGGGACTCTCGGCTAGCCCATGAAACTATCGATGGGACTTTGTGAATGCTTCTCTTCAGCCGGAGGAGCAAGGATCTGGTTCGTAATTAGACTCTCTTTCCTGAGATGATGTTCTGTTACCGCGGAGTCTAAGATAATCTGATTGGATATTTGGCAGGTGATACCGGCGCATTCTGCAAGCCTGAAATTTTATGAACTGAAGCACCAAAATTGATGAATCGTTGCCGGTTCTTGAAAATGAATTTAGAATGATATACAGTGGATGTGGTATTCGTTTATCTATGTCTCTGAACTGTATAAGAAAAACAACAGGAGTCACCAAATTGATGTTGTCTCAATATATAGAGCTGTTCATTACACAATCTGACATCAGATATTCTCATCGTTCAAGTAGGATAAGCTCAATTTACAGGCATGCGCATCGGCCTCAGTCACAACCAGCTGCTGAGCTCTACTTCCTCATTGGCGCGTAGCGTAATCCGAGCTCTACATCCCTGACCGCTTTCTCCTTCAAACTGTGTGGTCATGTGTTCTTGATGCCTCACGCGAGAACGTTATGTCTAATCTATTGTACCATCCATCCATTTATTCCGAGAAACACATAGCTATACAGTGAATACACCGCACAAGCAAAAGAAGTACTTGCCTGATGAGCTTGGTGGTCATATGCTTCATTCCGGATCGCATAAAGGTAAGGATTACATAATAATGCAGGTGTGCACGTTGCTTAGGGTGTGGTTAGTGAAAATCAGCCTTCTGGACCGAGAAGACAGGGTATGACTCAATCCTCGTCCTGAACACCAAAGCAATTCTCCATAGACACAGAAGAAAGGGGAGGTGTTTCGGATAGGGTAATGATGCAATGACGTCGACATGTGGTATGGATAACATCTCCCCGCGCCCGGAAAAAGTGAATTGAAACCCGGTATTCGCTCATACGCAGCCGTAACACTTGACCGGTGATGCAATGCGCACACGAAGGCCGCTGGACGCATAAAGCCCATGCATTTAGCCACACGCTCGTCGGCAATACCACCGCCACCATAATGCAACAATGGGAAACGAATCTTACACCGATCTGCTGATTATTGGCGCCGGCCCGGCCGGGCTGATGGCAGCCTGCTGGGCGGCGCAGTTTCAGATGCAGACGCGGATCATCGAGCAGAAGCCCGGGCGGACGCCGACGGGCCACGCGGACGGGCTGCAGAGTCGCACGCTGGAGATCCTGGACAGTTTCGGGATCGTCGATCCCATTCTGCGGAAGTCAGTGCGGCATACGGAGATGGCATATTGGGTGAGTACTGTCGCATCAGCTGTGGCTGGGCTACGGGGGCCTAATCAAGAGAGTGTAGGCGATGAACGAGAGCACAGGGCACATTGAGCGGCGCAAACGGGCCCCGTCATCGCCCGGGAGCTCAGTGTATGATCAGCGGCTGCTGAACCAGGGCGCTACGGAGCAGGTTTTCCTCGACTATCTCCACGAGAAGGGGATGCAGGTTGAATACGGGACCAGAGCACGGGAATTGACGCTGTCGGAGTCTAATTCCGAGACGGATCACAAAGTGGTCGTCGAGGTCGTGTCGGGCGAGGCGCAGGGTAAGCTTTTCTCGGGGAGGGACCTTATCTTTTCGTGCATTGGAACCCGGCTTACATCCCCAAGACACAACCGATGGCTCAAAGACGATTCATTGTCGCTATCTGATTGCATGTGACGGTGCACGTGGCTGGACCCGGAACCAGTTGCACGTCCCGGTCGATAAGAATCTGGGGGAGTCGACCTGGGCGGTCTTTGACATTGCTCCTATCACCGATTTTCGTACGTACATCGTGCAATCCTATGACATTGATCAGAATCCATGCTGAACATCCAACAGCGGACATTCGTCTATCGTGCGCGATCAGCTCCGGGGACCGTGGCAGTATGATGACCGCACCCCGAGAGAATCGGCTGGTTCGGTTCTACATCCATCCGAAGGGCGACAAGGAGCTCTGCAATGGCCACGATACAACGCATGAGCCGTCGCTCGATGAGCTTGTTGGGACGGCAGACAGCTTGATGAAACCGTACAAGTTGAGGTACCAGCACTGTGACTGGTACTCTATATATTCGGTATGTACATGACATCCGAACACTTCTCCCGTATAGCCTAACTCACAAGACACAGATAAAACAGCAGCTTGTCAAGCAACTCCGGCCCCACAACAGGTAACGTCGGCCTGAACTCAGTCTCATACAAGACTTTACACTTACTGGTGCCAAGGGTATTTCTGGCCGGCGATGCTGCCCACACTCACTCCCCCAAGGCAGGTCAAGGAATGAATGTGTCGATGCAGGATACATACAACCTGGTCTGGAAGATAGGTGCGGTCATCACCGGAGCCGTTAGCTCAAGAATACTAGAGACATACGAGTCCGAACGACGACCGGTGGCAGAGGAATTGTTAGAGCTAGATGCGCAGTTGGTCGGGGCGTATGAGAAAGACGCCGGCGCGGCCAAGGGGATTGAATCGGTTCGGGATCAGTACTCTGAGTTTATATCGGGTCTAGGGGTGACGTATGGTCCTGGTCTCCTCGTTGCAGACCAGACTACACAGAGCATGGCAAGGAACAGCAAAGTCGGAAGACGGTTAGATCCGTTCTATGTGGTCAATCATGCCGAAGGCGCATCAATCAACTTGATGACCAGACTTCCCAGCGATGGGTCGTGGAGACTGCTGGTATTTGCCGGGGATATTCGTGAAGCCGATCATCGTGTGCGTTTGAACTCATTCGCCAAAACTTTCAACCAGCAGCCGTTGCTTCCACGCATGTGTGAGAAGCGATACGGGACCCGTTCTGGGTGGCTCTTGGAGGCCATCCTCATCCATGCGAGCCCGCGTACATCTGTGGAGGCCCTTGAACTCCCGGAGATGTTTCACCCGTTTGACGAGACGTGGGGATGGGACTACACGAGAGTATTCGCGGACGAGGGTTCATACAGCCCAGGTTGTCGTGGTGCCTACGACGGCTATGGGATTGACAAGAATGCTGGCTGCGTGGTACTCTGTCGACCGGACCAACATGTTGGTTGGATCGGGGCCATGGAGGACGTGACTGATCTAGAGAATTACTTTTCTGCCTTCATAGACAAGTAAGAGGATGGGCGTCATGTACAGAATGGCTAATATGCCTACAATGTAATTACAGGTCTTGAATGAAGAGCAATCCGAAAGAAATAATCTCTTATCATTGCAATGTCAATATGATTACCATGTCAAACTACACGAGTATAGCGTAAATTGGTCTCTTGGAGTCCGTTCTTTTGAACCGGCTATGCAGGACTCGCTTACCAGCAATGAATACAGCCAACAAATAGGTTATCGAACTGCCAAATCCTACCCTTTCTGGCATCGATCTCATGTCTCATGTCTCATCATGAGTCCCTCCTGCTACGAAACACACCCTGCACGACACAAGCATTAGATGCCGATCAAATGATCTATCGCATTCCAGATGCAGATCAGGGTCCACGCGAGCGCCCCACTTCCGTCATGATGAAGTACGGTCACTCCACACTTTCGTCTCTTGCGGCCTAACCCTAACTCCTCTTCCCCGGCAACTTCTTCAACTGGCCACACCACCTCCGCAATGCAGGTCCCTCGAAACTCAATCCCAGAGACTCCCTGCACCAGCTCATCATGATGACCACATTCAGCAGGGCAGGAACCATCGAAAATCCTCGGTCTGCTCACCGATCTACCGGCACTTGTCTCGATCGATTGGCAGTAATTCTTCTGTCGAAAAGGAGGGGTCCGGTACTTTTCTGGAAGAGTCGGGTGACTTCACACCCGTACTTTCCCCTCAACCACCGCATCATCGCCTCGTATCAACACCTCGCAGGGATACGTAAGGTAGGAGCCGGAGTGACATCAACTGGGAATCATCCTCTGCTCAATTGACTACATACACAGGCATAAATACCGCTATCGCAACTCTGTTATCAAAATCCAACTCAGAAACCTACGAACGAACATTATCATCAACCTAAACCAATACCAACCAGCCAAACCACCAAAATGGCCCACAACACCAACCCCGGCAACTTTTCCAACCGCCCCCACGAGGAAGTGCAAAACATCGCCCGCAAGGGCGGCCAATCCAGCCACTCTGGCGGTTTCGCCAGCATGGACGAGGATAAGCAGGTGAGTTTCGCATCTTCCCTGTCCCCTATCTCTTATCATCTCCCCTCCAACCCTCCCCCGAATCCGTAGTTAACCCAATACAGCGCGAAATCGCCTCGATGGGCGGCCACGCCTCCAGCGGCAGCTTCCAGCCGGGCGACCCGCGCGCCCGCGAGGCAGGCCACAAGGGCGGGCAGCACTCCGGCGGCAGCTTCGAGCCCGGCGACCCCCGTGCCCGCGAGGCCGGGCGGAAGGGCGGCTCCCGCACCGCGGACACCCCGGAGGAGTAAGAGGCTCAAAACCCATCCACCCCCAACGTTCGATTGTACAAGGTTGGGGGGATTATGACGTGATGCTCGATTGCGATGTGAAATGATTTGATTGGATTATCCCGTCCTGCATGGAATGAAGTCGAACGAGAATGGGAAACTGAATGTACACTAGTTTTGAGAATCGTGAGTGGCAAATGGTGGTGGATATGTTTACATCGAATGAACAAAGTACGAAGGTGCAGTACAGTACACCACTTAAGAGATTCCATTTTTAGCATCCATGACATTTCGTCCGTGTAGAAGCACAGACCCCAGCAAAAACCCACAAACTAACCCCCTCCCAGACTAGTCAGCGTCGATCGCGCAAATCCCTCGAATTCTAAATTGTGAATCGTACTTTTTTCCCACCCCCAAACCCACATCCAACGAAAAAAACTCTCCGAAAAGGAACGGACGGAAAGGCTAACGCGGGTGAAACACGGCAGGGTTGGGGAAGCAAGCTTGGACGTTGAAACATGCTTGGCCGCAGAACCCACCCCATACGTAGCTAAAGTTAGTGAGAGTGAGTACGGTGGAGTGGCGAGAAAGGATTCACATCAATCCTGTTTCCACTGACTAAGCTCCGCGCGGTGGGGTAATGGCCTGCCTGTTCGGGTAAGCCCGACAGTCGTGACATCATGCCCGATCGCGAATGTTCGGGAATGCTTTTGATCGTGAGATCTTCGGTAGTTCGCTCACTGGCTTGCCCCTCGACATCTAGACAAAATGTTTTTCTCCCCGGTGAGGAGAAAATTGCTGATAGTGGGCTCTGGCTCGCAAAATCTCCCCATGTCTGATTCAAAATTCTTCGACTTGAAATTGTTCGTATTTTTTTTGTAGTGGTAGTAGTAGTGGTTATTTGTGTTTCACATGATCAGCGGTTCTTTTGAGTAGGAAAAACAATGAATCAATCCGCTTGCGCTTGCTTATTTAAAACGCCATGAGTAGAGCCCTTCTCTTTGTCCCGTACACCCAACCATTATATCCCATCCATCAGAGCTCCATATACTGCCCGTTGCGAAGAACAGCGCGATATTGTACATCAAAAGGTACAGTCCCAAGTAATAGATAAAACAAAAGAAAGTAAGCAAAAAAGCAGAAGGCCGATCCCATGTCCCTGAAAAAAAACTCGTAAGACAGTCGTGTACAAGTGTAGTCGCTGCATGGCCGTATATCATCACGGACTCTCCTTCATCTTCAATTCCTCCTCCTCCTCCACCTCCTCCTCATCGGCCTTCGAACCACCTGCGTTAGGCAAATGAAGCATATCATCGAACCCGAACGCAGCCTTCTGCTCGACTTCCTCCTTCGCGATGTTTTCATAGGCTGGAGACAGCGGCGTCGACCGCGACGACCTAGCCCGCGGCCCACCCCCCTCGGACTCGCTGGGGCCTGAGACCGAGGCACTGCGCTGCGAGAGGTGGGCGACCATTCGCGCCAGATGGGCCTTGATGGCCGGGTCGTCGCACCCGGAGTGCCGCAGGAGCTCGTTCTTCAGCTCCAGGATCTGGCTGCGCAGCTGGCTGACCTCCGACTCCAGCCGCGAGTTGGCCTGCGTCACCTCCATGCACCGACTCTCCAGCTGGCGGGTGTGCTCCTTCTTCTTGCGCCGGCACTTGTTGGCCGCCACGCGGTTACGCTCGAGGAACCGCTCGCGCTTCTGATGCTCCACCGCGTCGTGCGTCGGCGAGAAGACCGGCTCGCTGGGCCGTCGCGGCGCATTGTACCCGGTCGTGCTGCTGCTGCTGCTGCTGCTGATGCTGCCGTAGCTGCTGCGGTGGGACTGGTCGCTGATGCTCCCGCGGGAGGTGATCTCGTGCATCGGGACGTGGTAGGAGGTCGGGCTGGCGGCGAAGGGGTGCATGGCGGGGTCGAGGAGGGGTTCTTTCGGGGCGAGATGCGGGTGTTGGGGTTGATGGACATGGAGAGGGATGGGTTGGTCGGGGGAGAAGAGGTTCGGTTCGATGTATGCATTCATGAAGGCTTGTTGGGAGGGGTGGTGGTGTTGTTGCGGCGGTGGTGACGGCTGTGACTGCTTTTGTTGTTGTTGTTGTTGTTGTTGCTGCTGCTGCTGTTGGAACCCGTCGAACCCCCCCGGTGCGGTTGCGGCTGCAGCACCCGGAGTGCTCCCGCTCAGCGACCATTCTTGCATCCCGTCGAACAATGGCATCGTTAGGAACTCGGACGAGACGGTGCTGTCTAAGAAAAATGGCATTGGGCCGGTCCAGGTGATTTCGGACTTGGACGGGGCCCCTGGCATGAAGGGGTGCTCGAGATTGACGGACATCACTGTATGCTTCTCTTGCACAGCAAGGTGGTGGTGCGCGATGCAATTCGAGGTTTTACTTTTGGTCTTATGGACGGGGACAAGATGATTGCCACTGCACGGTGTTCTGGTTGAGAAAATGCGGAACCGGAAGGGACTGGGTAGACAATCTCAGGGAAGTGACAGAATTTGTGCAACTATATAGGATAGTGACAGGAAGGTTCTTTCCGTGATTACCAGTAGTCAGTATGCAGAAAGGTAAGTCCAATGGAGGGTGGGACAGCAGGAAGGGTGTATTTAGTAGGTAGTATGAGTATGAGTATGAGTAGTATGGATTGTAGGGAGGTGGTGTGGAGGAGTATCATACATCTTTATTAGAAACCAAGCACACTCCCCCGTCTGAGGGCCCGGCAATGACGATGCATGCGGGCCAGCTAGTTTCGACACTAGAGATGAGAAAGAGAAAAAAGAGAGTTGAGATAGGCGAGAGAGCTGGAGGATATTTCCGGGGGACGCATTGGAGATTTTCAATGGGCATTTGATCGGCTCTCACAGCAGAGCGCGAGAGATTTTGCAGTGCAAGGAACGATGGTTAGGCCGTTGACAGGGGAAGGAGGATGTCTCCAGGGCGCATTATTGGGTGCGCCAATGTTCCGGTGGGCTGGACCCAATGGATCAAGGTGGTTTCCATCTCCAGCAAAAATCCATTGATATCTTGGATCGCGGAGAGGGGGAGAGGGATTTGGATTTGAAAATGACGTCTCCAGTCGATCTGCTTACTTCCCGCCTCATCCGACCTAGTATGTACTCTCTATGTACTTACTGAAGTGGTACCTACCGGAATAGATGCAACGAATTGTCTAGAAGCGTACTGTATGTTCTGCCGAAAAACCCTTATCCTGCTGCGCGAAATTCTAACCATGGCTTCCTCTATTTCATTCTTACCTTCCTATTGTTCTTCGATGCAACCGACTCGATGACAAATCTGCCGATCGCTTCCGCTTCGAACCCAGGGACTTTGTTCCGCCAATCAGAATTCTTCCCGTTGTCGAGTAAACCAATCGTTCACTGCCGTCATTCTGTACACTTTCAAGGTTCAATTGTACTGTACCTACATCTGGAACAAGTCAACCTGAACCTCCAACGAAGGTCGCATCGCACGCACGCACGTTTTTGCTACATGCTTCCAATCTCCATCTCCTTTTCCGACTCGTCCGATCCATTGCTTCTTCCCATTGACTTTTCTTGGGATCCCGTTCCCGTCCCCTCTATCATAACTAAAGCCATGACTTTTCATGATGAAAATGACTCAGTGAGCATCAGAAGGTGCCGAAAATCCATGATGAAAGAACGAAGCACGCGAGTACAAGCGATTGTCTCCGTTAATTAGATCCAGCCCTCGCGCGCAACCCCCTGGAGATCTGCCTCTGCCCGTTAATGAGGCTGCAATCCCGCAGCCTCCTACGTGTGCGCGCACTGAGTACTGTACATCTGTGTATATCTATCTGTAACTGGAGAGCAGTCACTGTACCGTACCTTACTAAGTAAAGTGGAGATAAGTAGGTACTTAGTAGGATCACCCTCTTCCTCGCGGCTTGTAACCCCGTCCACTCACTCACGCAACCCACCCATTAGAAGCCAGCCAGCTCCCGGCCCCCCCTCAAGTGCGGGTCAGACTAGGATATTGTATACACAGTACACTCGGTGGAGAGAACATGGAGCAAGAGAGGCCCAAAGTTCCTTGGAAAACCGGCTGCTTCACTTCTTACTGCCTCTCTCCTAGTGGGTTCGCAATGCGACCGTGCAATCGAGTGGTGGATGCCTCAGCGCTCAGGCGGTCATTGGCTTGCGGCCCTGCGGAAAAGTTACCCGGCGGTCGACGTTTCCGGCCATGCTTCATCCCTCCAATAGTAGAGATTTTTCTATTCTCTTCTTGCTTTTGTGGTCGATGTTTGGTCTCAGATGGATTCAGCCGGCAAAGTCTGATCGATGGTCAATGACTGTTGCACTTTCGAATTGGTGAAGGAGCATTGATGGCCCACCCGCCCACCGAATCCTCTAGATACTTGGACAGTTTTCTCTCGCCACTTTGAAGAGAGAAGAGCTCGGGTGGATTCAATCAGATATACTTTGCTAGACATACTTTACGTAGCTGCTGTAACAGTATGTATTAAGCGGGGAACTTCCCCCCTCCCTCCCCAAACGCTGGTCCGTTAACGGGCGCACACAACCAAGATCACGCCAGCACGGGGAAACCCTTTATTTTTCCAGCGGATTCTTTATCCTGAGGCAAGATCATTGGTCAACACGTTCCGACACAACGCAATCGAATGTCATGACAAGTAGTCTAATCCTTTTTTTTTTTTTGGAAGGGTATCAGGATGATGATGATGATGATGATGATGATGATGATGGCGAATTTCTCTTCGGTGGCACTTTTGTATGACGTTCCCCAGCACAACACTTTGACCGGGTGCATTGCAGATCCTGTCGAATGGCAGCGTTCGATTGTAAACTAAGGTACATTCTGTACAGTATCGTTGACGCTATAGTGTAAAAAAAGAAATCTTGTTTTCGTTATCGACTGATACTATGCAGGAGATCTCTCGAGTACATGAGTACTAGGTACCTTACTGCGTGGTTTCCTTGATTGATACATTGATTTGATTTAGGGTATCGAGTCTAGACCGGAGGCTTTTCTATCCAGTTCGCTCTTCGACGTAGCGGAGCCCGGTCGAACCGGTTAATCATAGGTAGTCTATCTAATGGTTGTTCGTTGAACCCCGTCGATTATCCAGGATACTCGCTGGGTTCACCTTGTATCGTCCGAATCCGTGCGATCGTGTATGAGTATGAGTAGGATTGTGAGCTCATTTGCATGGGTTCGAACTTCCAAGCGAGAAAACCCCCCCCTGCCCTGCTGCTACCCCACCGGTGCTGTGGAGCCAATTTCTAGGTGGCTTGCACGGTCGTGGCCTGAGCCAGAGCCGAGCTTCTACCGGAAAGCTCAAACCTCCCGGCCTTACAGGCTCGCTTCCCCCTTCGCTCTCGTGCCATAACGGAAGAGGCGCAATGGTTGGCAATTGAATCTCGAGGATGTGTTATCTTGGTAATCGCACAAGAGCACAATGAGACAGTCTGGAATCTGAACTCGCCATGGCGGTTTTTCCCCCTGCAACCAGAATAATCTGGATTTCCCCCTGTCCGGCTACCGCTATTATCCAGAAGACTGTCGAGTGGTGATATGATCTGATCGGAGCCCGCCGGGCCGAGAGGGTAGGTAGGGCACAGTACAGCCGAGTCCATTCATATCCGACCGACCGTCAGGGCAGCGGTTCCAACCCCGTCGAAAACGGATCCCAGCTCCAGTCGCCCTGCAGGTACTCGGTGAAAAAGCTCTCCATGATGGGATCGTGCTGCGTCGCCATCTCCAAATCCAGGTCGCCACCGAGCCCGGCATCGCACGCGACCGATGCTAACCCGAGCAGGTTCTCCACTGCCTCTTGTTCGTGCTGCTGCTGCATGTTGGGGGTGGCTCCGTCGGTCGGCACCGGCGGGTAAGCCGGCGGGAACGGGCCGTCGTCGACTGCGCTGGTCGTGGGGTCTTGCAGCGTATTCGCCCCGGTCGCACTTAGCTGGTGCTGCTGCACCTGCTGGTGGTGGTGGTGCTTCTGACTCAACCGCTCGACGGTGAGGTCGACGATGCGGTCGAAGTTCTCCTTGCCGTGGCGCACCGAGGGCCACCACTGGCCGCCGATGCTGAGGAGGTTGGAGCACACGCGCAGACACTGCAGGGCCTCTTTGAAGGGGACGACGGCCTGCAGCTCCGGGGAGGCCCAGAAGCAGTAGATGATGGTCGCGCCCGAGGCGAAGATCCCGTGGATGTTGCGCCAGGTGTAGTAGAGGTGCTCCTGGGAGTCGAGGCGGTTGTAGATGTGGATCCGCTCGCGGGAGCTGCGGTAGCAGTGCAGGAGGGCGGCGGCGGTGGGCGACGGGAACGCCTGCGACGGCTGGTAGAGCAGCGTGATGGCCCCGTGGTACAGGACCTCGAGCTTCAGGATCTTGCACTGGTGCTGGAGGACGTGGTCTTCGTCGTGGTGGGTGGTGGTGGTGGTGAGCTCCTCAGAGGGGGTGCGGGTGGCCCGGACGTCTGCGAGCCACTGGTCGAGACCCGTCTTGATGCGCGCTTGTTCCCCGGCCGTGTCGGTCGGCCATGAAAGGGCGTTGCTGCGGTTGGGGAGGTGGTAGAGCAGGAGCTTGATCTCCGAGATCAGTGCGTCCAGCTTGAAGCGGTGGATCGAGAAGCGCAGCTCCGAGTGGCTGTTGACGTTGGTGCTGGCGGTTTCGTCGACGACGAATTCGTTGAGACCTGGCAGCCGGATGTCGAAGGTCTCATCGCGGATGCCAAGCGGTCGGCCCTGGATTGTGGAGATGGATCTGCGATACAGGAAGTGAGTAGGAAGACAAATGACGAGCCAGCAGGTTGAACACACCGGTCGAGGTTGTAGATGGTGTAGAAGATCAGCCGTCGTAAAGCAAGGGCGGTGGGCGAATTGTCCGCGTCGTTTTTCGGCTCCCGATGCAGCCCGAGATCGATCGCATGGGACATGGCAATATGCACTAGGGTCCAGATGCTCAGATTGGTGGGTCCCACCATCCCCTGCACGATGAACAGGAGGATGCTTTGCAGGGCCGTCACGGAAATGCCGCTCAGACACTCGGCTGCGGCCGTGGAGGCGATCGCGTAGAACCGGGCGGGCGGGTACTCGAAATTCTTGTTCCGCGTGAGGATCGTCGCCGCAAGGGATAGCACCATGAACACGTGGAGCGCGGCAGCGAATATGGAGATGGGCGTCATGTCGGCGTCAGCCACCTTGTCGAATCGCCCGTTGTACGAAAATGGCTCCATCTCCTTGGGCCACCCGTTGAGGTCCACATTGCCCTGGTACCCGCGTTCCGAGCAGAACCAGAGTGCGTTGTACGCGTTGAACAGAGAGGTGGCGTGGAGGAAAGGGTGATCGACATGGAGCTCTTGAAGGTATATACCAATCAGATGGTTGGCTTCGTCGGGCGAAGGTAAGTCCTGCCAATGATCAGCAGGTGCCTATGGTGTGCAGCAAGGATGGTTGCCCGCCAGAAACAACAGGGATGTCGCTTTTTCTCCTATCAAGAATGGGTAGGACGGGATCGTATGCGTACCCTTCTAAGTTTGTTGTACAACAAACGATACGCCTCAGGCGAAGGACTTGGGGCAGTGCGGCGTTTCGAATTCCCCCACGTCCCGTACGACGAGGTGGAGGTAGCTGGTGAGAGAGGACCATCGGCCCCAATCAACTTCGTGAAGAACAGACCGGAAGAGGACCCCAGATAGTATTTTTGTCGCGAGTCGGAGTGGAGTGATAGCATCCCCAAGTCCATGGCTACAGAGCGTGCTTCGGCCGATGGGGTAGCAGCCTCCTTTTCAGCCGCTTGCTGCACGCATGACGCGGGCAGCTCCGCGTGTTCTGTACTTGGTAGGTGAGCAGGTGTTTGCGGTAGAAGTTCACTGTCTGATGCATGCAGGGAATCAAACGGTCGTTTCCTGGTATTTGATTTCCCGGGTGCCGACGGTAAGTGCACAGCGGTATTCCCCGTCGGGGTAAGCGATGGCGTTCTACGTGGGACGGTATTTGGCAACACCGATTGATCTATCGGTGGTGCCTTGGAGAGGTCGAAGTCTGGATCTATAAGCAAGAGTTGCTCTTCGAGCCATTCGATCCGTGCATGACACCTCACGGCATAGCTGATGTATTGTCAGCTCGTAACCTTGTCCACACGTGTGGAATGGACGTACTCGCGTGGGATGGAAATGTCATTGTTGCGCCCATCGACATCGACACAGCTTTCTTTAGCACGGGCACAGTTCGAGCACGCTGGAATGCCGCCATCGCACTGCGTTGTGAGGGTTAGCCGGTAGCCGATGATGATGGATAATGTGGCGTGTCCAATGAGGAGTCACTGATTACAGGCGCACCTTGATGCGTTTAGCTCTGCATCGCCGACACGCTAGACGGACCTTCTTGGCCGGGGTCGGCGCAGCCGCATCTTGCGATCTCGGGCTCATTGATAGTCACGCAGTAGACGGAGAAAGGAAATCCGGAGATGGGTTGATCATGCAAGATTAAGCGGCCAGCCACTTCCTCTGCCGATGAGGCCGAGCTAGCCTGATTACCTCAGCATCCGGGGTGCGGGGTGGCTCGAAACAGAATAGCCCCAATGCGTTTTCTACTCACTTTATCTTTTCTGACAGCGCTTTCTGCATTGTTTCGCGTATTGAAGACTAGAAATTGTTTCTGACACTCTTGTACTTCTGTAGCATATTAGGACGAGACCAAGGGACGGTTTTGGGCTGTTACTGTTGTGGAAATGCACCATTCCTCAGTGCCGTAAGTATATATTCCCGTACTTGCGCAGTTGACGGATCTATCTGATCTAACTCCAGAGGACACCGACCACTTCTCGAGCTGGATGCAACAGCAAACCAAATTTATCCAGGACATACAAGATATTTAGTCCTTCCACTAGCCAAAGTAAAAAGACATAAATAGTGACTCCACCCAGCACCTGTGACCCAAATACATGCAATTACCAAAAACTCACTTCCGCAACCGCCTGATCGTCGCCCCCATCTCCTCCCCGCGCTCCAAACAACGCCTCGTCTCCTCATCAATCTCAAACCGCTCCTGACACAACTCCACACACCTCTCAATCTTCCCCACCGGCACCGCAACCACCCCATCGGCATCTCCAACAATGTAATCCCCAGGCTGGATGATCACACTCTCCCCAGTGGTGCCCTCCGCATACGTGACGGGGACATTCAGCTCCGACGAGCGCGTGAAACTCGCCGACCCCAGGATACTCACGTCGCGGGCGAACAGCCCCACGCCGAGCTCCCGGTGCTCGGCCACGTCGCGGAACCGCCCGTCGATCACCACGCCCGCGGCGCCCAGCTTCTGCGCCCGCGTGCTCATCAGCCCGCCCCAGCAGGCGCTGACCAGCCCCTTCGGCTGGGAGACGAACACCACGCTGCCCTTGGGGATGGCGTCGGCGAAGTGCTTGGGCGGGCTCGGGGAAGCTTTGTCCGAGTCGCGGACCATGCGTACGGTGTAGGCGGGGCCGAAGATCTTGGTTTTGGTGCACATGAGTCCCGGGGAGAACATCTTGAGGCCTGAGAGGTAGCCCCCGTTCGGGACGCCGAGTTTGACGAGGGCGTCGCCGATCTTTGAGGAAGAGGACAAGGGTTAGTTTTGGGTTTGGGGGCTGTCAGAAGGTGCGAGGGGATAGGTACTCACGTCGCAGGAGGCGAACCGCCGCAGGGCTTGGATTGTTTCGGAACGCAGAGCCATTTTGGTTGTGGCTTTGTATAGGGTGTGAGGGGATGGGGGAATTGAGAGGAGAATATTGGGTGTAAATTGTAGGATGTTGAGAAGAGACAGTGTTAACCCATCCCCGATTGAAGAAAGGGTACTGTACTCCATCCGATGGATGCATCGGTTCTTGCCGATTACACAGTGCAGCCGCGGTTCCCGGGCTACTCCGGGCATCCTGTAGGTCTAAGCATCGGTATTTACGCGTATTGTATAACTGGGGTAGACCTTCGCGATGCAACATGAAGAGACTTCACACCTCAACCTGAAGCGTAGAAAGGTCTATTATAGAGCATCATGACCAATAGAAGACAGGAAGAAGTGATACGATTTCCTTATTGATTCGAAATGCACCGCTTATTGCCCTCGATATCCAATATATCTCTATTGTGGTGGCAGTATTGAGCTGTAATCTTTCCGTACACCGCCCCGGACCAACCCCGCCGAACTCGGGCTTCTCCAGACCCTCTCCAAAAAAGCTTGCGGGGTACCGTACAAGCATCTGAGTAATATGAGAACCTTCATAGGAACAGAAAATGGCAGACTAAATTCGCAACTTCTTTCTGTCCTCGTTTCCTCGAACAATGCGTGGAAACCATTGACACCCCGAATCACGATGCAGCGACTCCCATCCTCCCTGCGCGGGACTAACCGCGCGCACCATCATCTCCAGATCCGAAGCACAAGAACCTATGCAACGCAACCAGCTTCTTCTGCTGTGAGACTGACCTCCGTCCCCCAAAATAGGCCATCTGCCTCGGGAAGAATGTCTAATTGCTGATGTGCAATTCCAACAGCACTCCGCCGTCAACTACGCGCACCAACTCCGTACCCTCGAGCAACTAAAGCAAGGCTCGAAGCGGCCGCTCACCCTGACCGAGAAACTCCTCTACAGCCACCTGATCACCTCTGGCAACCGCGAATGGAATCTTGAGAAGATTCAGCGCGGCCAGAGCATTCTGGAACTGCGCCCGGACCGGGTGGCGTGCCACGATGCGACGGCCACCATGGCGTTGTTGCAGTTCATCAGCGCGGGCTTGCCCCGCGTGGCCGTGCCCACCACCGTGCATAGCGATCACCTCATCATCTCCGAAAAAGGGTCAGAAGAGGATTTGCGACGGGCGGAGACGGAGCATCGCGAGGTGTATGAGTTCCTGAGCAGTGCGTCGAAGAAATACGGGATCGGGTTCTGGAAGCCTGGTTCGGGGATTATCCATACGGTTATTTTTGAGAATCATGCTGTGTAAGTCTATCTTTGAGTATAGGTGAGGGGCGGAAGGGGCTTGAGCTAATGCAAGTAGGCCTGGTGGGTTGATTATTGGAACGGATTCGCACACACCCAATGCAGGAGGGCTGGGGATGCTGGGAATCGGGGTTGGAGGCGCGGATGCCGTAGATGCAATGTCGGGGATGCCCTGGGAGCTGGTGGCGCCGAAGGTGGTCGGTGTGCGGCTGACAGGACAGTTGCAGGGCTGGACCTCCACGAAGGATATCATATGCAAGTTGGCGGGCCTGTTGAGCGTCTCCGGGGGTAAAGGACGGGTCATTGAGTTCTTCGGCCCCGGCACGCAGACACTGGGCGCAACCGCCATGGCCACCATCTGTAACATGTCCGCCGAGATCGGCTCCACCTCGTGCATATTCCCCTACTCGGATGCCATGGGTCGGTACCTGAAGGCCACCGGACGAGCGGACAGTGCGGAGCGGATCGAGGCTGGAAACACGAGATCCACGCTGTTAACGGCGGATGAGGGCTCGGACGACTACTACGATCAGATCATCGAGCTGGACCTGACCACCCTGGAGCCCCACGTCAACGGCCCATACACCCCCGACCTGGCGCACCCGATCTCGAAGCTGAAGGATGCGGTGGCCGGGCAGGATTGGCCCGTGGAGCTGAGCCACGCCATGGTCGGCAGCTGCACCAACAGCTCCTACGAAGACCTAGACAAAGCCCGTCAGATCGTGTCGCAGGCCCGTGCAGCGGGGATCACCAAGTTCAAGACCCCGTTCATGGTTTCCCCAGGAAGTGAACGCATCCGCGCGACAGCCGAGGCCGATGGTATCTTGCAGGAGTTACGCGATGCCGGAGCCAAGGTTCTGAGCAGCTCGTGCGGACCCTGCGTCGGCTCCTGGGACCGCAAGGATGTGGCAAAGAAGCAGAAGAACTCGGTGATCTCGAGCTTCAACCGCAACTTCATCGGTCGTCATGACAGCAACCCAGCGACGCACTCCTTTGTCACCTCGCCGGAACTGGTGACTGCGTTTGCCTACGGCGGGCGATTGGACTTCAACCCGCTGACGGATAGTATCGCCTCAGATAAAGGCAATGTGCGACTGAGTCCTCCGGTCGGCGAGGAACTGCCCACACAGTTCGAAAGTGGACAGGACCTGTTTCAGCCACCGTCGAGTGACGGGGGCGCTGAAGCGGTGGCTATACACTCCGACTCTGACCGCTTGCAACTGCTGAAACCCTTCCCGGCCTGGCAGAAGGGCGCGGCACAGACAATGGAGCTGCTCATCAAAGTGAAGGGCAAGTGCACGACAGACCATATTTCCCCCGCCGGTCCGTGGTACAAGTACCGGGGCCATCTGGAAAACATCAGCAACAACATGCTTACCACCGCGACCAATGCGTTCCTCCCCGCGAATGACCCGCAATTACTGGGTCATACCCACCACCCTATCACATCTGAGTTGCAGGTTGTACCGCAGGTGGCGCGGGACCTCAAGCAACGCGGAGTGAGGTGGTGTATTGTGGGTGATCACAACTACGGCGAGGGCAGCTCGCGGGAGCACGCCGCTCTTGAGCCCCGGTATCTGGGAGGCGTCGCGGTGATTGCACGCTCCTTCGCGAGAATCCACGAGACCAATCTGAAGAAGCAGGGTATGCTGCCTTTAACCTTTGAGGATCCAGCTACATACGATCGTATTGCCGAGGGCGACCGGGTTTCATTGATTGGCGTTGAGGAGGGCGAGCTTGCCCCGAACTCGCAGGTGGTCATGCGAGTCACACCCCGAGAGGGTCAGGCGTGGGAGGCCAAGCTGAATCATAGCTATCATGCTGGTCAAATCGCGTGGCTACGGGCTGGAAGCGCCTTGAACCATATCAAAGCGACTGCTCTCTCGTGAGATGGGTGGGGATGAATGGAATTGTACTCTAGAATAATAGTACCCAGAATAGAGAATTAACCAATAAGCATCTTAAAATCCGAAAATATCTTTCGGAGCTATCCTGGAATGGTACTGAAGACAGATTCGGTCTCGACTCCGCACGAATTGACGGCTCCACCTCCGCATCCTGTGCCATGTGTCACGGACTTCGCTGGGCTGGAATGGGGTAATTGTCAATGCGCAGGGTAACGGGTCATCTAGACTGGTGGCCATGACAGTTGTGCTATCATCAATACCTGAGGGAATACCTCTTCCTATACCCAATGAACAGCCACCCAGGCAATCCTCCACTTCACTGATCACTACTTATCTTTACCGTGACTGGCTCTTGACCATGGGTGCAGCATGCGGCGAGTGCAGCAAAAGCGCCTTTCAAAATGTCCCCAATGCTTCCCGTCATCCTCTTACGGCGATGGTTGGTCTTCATGGCTCCAACACTTCAACATCTCAGGCACCATGAGCCTGGCCCAGTCCGTCCAGGATTTTGGCTGGACGGATTCGACAGCTTCTCAGATTTCAAATGACTTAGGCTGGGCAGTGTCTTCGATGCTCCTGGTAAGTCGACTCTATTCTACTGAGCATTTCGTTGGGAAATTGAGGCTAACATACGGGATAGGGTCAAACAGCCGGTGTCATTTTCTGCGGTCCCTTCGGTGACGGTAGGTATGGTCAAAAGCTAGTCATCCTTCTCGCCGCTATTATATAGACAACCGGCGCCAGCCTAGTAGCAGCTCACTTCAGCTCCTTCCCTGCAGTGCTGGCTGGCCGTATCCTGTCTGGCCTGGGATCAGGGCTAGGCATGACCGTTGGACCATGTACATATCGGATGTTGCCCCCACGGGCTCCTCGGGATGATGAGTACCTACAATACCAATGTTATGGCAGGTGTAGCCGGAAGCTACTAGACCAGCTACGACGCGCTGGAGATTTCCCGGCGGACTCCAGCTGGCAGTAGCGCACCACTTTGACCCTGCATGTAATTATTCCCCGAAATTGGGCGATATTTAGGATTTACTAGGGAATATGGGGTCGTATGCTTCGGTTTCCTCTCGCAGGGTCTGATGTAACAAGTCCAGGTCAGAGCCCGGTTAAGGCTGAATCTTGGATCGGATGGATCCGAAGTGCTGACCAGGCAGTAGCAAATCTCCGGAGCGGCCGGGTTTTTGAGATGCGCACTTCGTTACCTCTATGTCGCAGAATATACAGGCGCTGAATCAATATGATTCAATTGCTTTCGAACAATGCCCCAACCCTGACTAAGAGAGAGTAGGTTAGTCGAAGATTGGGCTCGTCTGGCCGGCCGCCCAATCCTCAATTCTACCAGCTTCCCTCTGGACATTAAGATTCTTGGCCCTACCCACAGAGCTGAGTATGGACGATGCCAATACACAACAGACTTACTACACATAACTCCATTTTCGTACGTCTAATTGTGTGTCCCCAAGTCAATAAGTAAAGTCATAGTCAATTACATCGTGTTCAGTATACAGTACAGATCTCGAAAATAATACAGCATCCTAGCCACCCTCTCTACCCCCATAGATTTTCACTTGGTCGCCTGATCCTTCGTCTCCGGAAACGACCTAAACATATCCTTAATCTTATCCATCGGCGCCGCCATCAATCCCGCGACGGTCTCAAAAGGCGGCTTGTTCGGGGCATTGGGGTGACTCCTCGTCGGCACAAACTGCTTCGTCCGGTGGAACGAGGCCGCCATCTGCCGAGACTCCCCCTCGTCCAAGCTCTTCTCCAGCTGCGGCAGATCTTTCCCTTCTTCCTCCTTGATGTGTTGTGCGAGGTTGCCCCAGAGGTTCTCCAGCACCGGCATGAATTCCGGGTCGGTAGGCTTGAGCCCTTGGAATTTGTAGAGGAGTTCTTTGACCTGTTGCATCCATATTCGTCAGCTTAGTATCGAAGGACATGGGAGGCCAACTCACGACTTGATGCTCCATGCGATCGTGCTCGGCCATCTCGGGGCCGTTCTTCAGGTGCTTCTCCATGGACGGGTACACCACCAGCTCCTCGCCCAGAGAGTGGCGGGCCAGCGCCCAGGTAAATTGGTTCTGCCATTTCACCTGGTCCTCTTCGTTCGCGGCGCTCTTGATGTGGTTGTAGGCATCCTCGAGGTCGCGGTGGTCGCTGGTGATTACCTCGGAAATCTGGGTGCGCTGGACGGCGGTTATGGCGAACTGCCGGCGGGGGAGGACAGCGGGAGGACCCCGGGAGGTGGCTTTGCAGAGACCTCCGCGGAGGGACTGCTTCAGGAAGCGAGATGGGAGCATACTGTATCTGTTGGGTAAATTCAATTGTATCCAATGGATAGGAAAATGTGATTCTGGGAATTCATGCTAGGGGACTCTGCCGGGCTTTTAATGTAAGTAGCCGAGCTTCGTATTCCAAGCGGTACCGCATACGAGGCCCATGTCACTATTGCGCAAAGACATAGGGCGATTCATAGGTTGGGAAGGAAGCCGTGCCGGAGCTTGGTACATGTACGCATAAAATGTGGTTCCTCCGGTCGATCGGAGTATGACTCCCAGGGCTCTGGTTGGGCGGATGCAAGTGTAATATGCAGCAGATCGCTGGGTTATTTGGGCGGGCGGACGGGGACTTGGCATCACACGTCAGTCTGACGCCCACAGTATATCCGCCCATTATCAACAGCCACAAGCTGATAGGTGCTCTTTTGTGCATGTGCTCATAGGTCATTCACCCAAAACACGTTCTGCACGTCAATGATCATGGTTACTTAGTCTGAAAGGGATTGCCGGCCATCTGAACATCCATGCACGAAGAAGAGGATCTTGCCACTTTCCTACTGTATTTGCAATAAGCTGGTCAATCATAAACGCACTGACAAGGTATGGATTTGGCGCTCGCAAGACATAGTATACCCATGAGAGGGCAACTACATGCTCATAGGACTCGTAGTTGCGTAGTATGCAGTCGCTAAAGAGACAGTGTTTCCTATTCTCAGCTACTTGATGTTGAAGGATATGTCCAAGGCAAAGATGAGTCTGAAGGCACCAGTTGAGACCATACAGATAAATCGGCCATGCTATTGTTAATTGATCTGATCAACGTATGCTCCAGCGTCCTCTGCAGCGGGGCTGGCAGCCCAGTCAATTCTCACCCCCAGATGTCTTGAACGCATACTCTGCAACTCAATAGTTCAACCCGTTGCTGACGGGAATTAATCTCTCATGTACTACTACCCATCCACGTACGGCCCAGCGAGCAAGCTAAATGTAAGGCCGATCTGCTTCCCTGCAAATCAACCCTCTGTTGCTCCCGCCGCACAGTGTCCGAGCTCAAACTCCATCACCAAGAGCTGTGTTTACGATTGAATTCGTAGAAATAACGTGAGTGGCATTGAATCTTCCTATATCTCTCCTTTGGTGGCGGAATGTAGTATTGCGTTGATGCTGTTTATGACTTTTGAATAGCGACTGCAATGCTCAGTCAGTCAGTCAGTCATAAGGCATAGGGTTGTTGTGAAATCATAGATGTGGGTGTGTAAGATGAGAAACAACCGTAGTAGCATAAGTGTTAGTTTGCGGGGAGGTAGAAAGTTTTAACTCTTGCTAAGGACAGATCGATATGTCCTGCAAGAACGAATCAGTGGTCGTCTTCAAGTACAATATCGCTCCATACAAAGGGCATTTGTTTACGACAACCCTGAAAGGCTGCCATTCATAAAGCTGGCGGAACGTCCTCTCTCGGAAGAACTCACTAATATTGCTCCAACCACGATATCACCTACGGATTTAAAGAGCATTTCCAGAGCTTTTCTTGACACTATTGTCTGCTGTAACAAAGATATTCTAAAGACCATTATACTCCAAACGCTGTACTCCCGGAGAGCTCGCTTGCCAGGATGAATGTCTCTGACAGTTGGCATAAAATAACAACCGCAATCGGAGGCAGGAAGTGGTTAAACGGATTATGCCAGTGTTGGCATTCTCGACTGACACATGGTGTAAGCAATGTCTTTGACCTGAATCTCACATAATGAAATTCTCCCCTGGTCAGTCTCTAACAGCTTACTCCCTTTCGGTATAAGTACTTACCCCGTCAGCTATCATGAAAGCATCCAATTCAAACTACAACACCAGAGACAAGTGTACAAACAGTGAGTCACCCAATGCCTTCGTCATGTACAGGTGAGGCTCAGCCCTCGACCCCACATGCACCGCCCGATCCAGCCCGGTGGTATCTCGACTTCTGGGTCTACGACTCCCCAATCAACCTCGCGATCCCGGAGCTGCTTATCGGCCTCCGCAGCCAGATTGAAGACCGCTACAGGCGCAGGGAGTTTCGCACCGAGCCGTCCCCCCCGTCCGAGCGTCATCTGCTGATACGGGCCATCGTCCGCACTGAAGACTGGCCACAAGACGAGGAGAAGGAGCATGAAACACTTTACGAACACTTAACTGACATTCTGAATCGGCTCAAGTTAACTCTGCCCTTGGATGTCTGGTGGCGCGACAAAAGGATAGAACTCAGATGGTCCAGCGAGTTTCCCCTCCCAGTCAACGATAGTGACATTGACCAGGATCCGGACCTGTGCAATCTCCTGCTCCTCCTCCACCCAAGGATCCCCGAGACCCAAACTAGGGTCGAACCTGTGCCCAATGACCGGTCGACTGTGGTGAAGTGGTTGGGGGACATTCGGCTCTGGGAGCCTTTGCCTGTACGTTTGCGTCGGGTGTAGAGTCGCATCCGTGCCTGTGATTTTAATCGGTGGGTGGTTGGAGCTTGTAAGGCTTTTCCCGGCGAGTCGAATATATTGTTAATTTTAGTTATTTGTACGAAACCATGACAGGAGAAACACCAACAAAGATCAAGAACTTTGATCTTCGATTAGCGATGTATTTTGATGAACTAAACTTGTGGAAAGAAAGTACCTATTCTTCAAAGAAACGTGCATCATCTGGTTCATATATGAAGCAAAAGAGATATTCACAGAGGCAAAAAAAAAAAAGAAAGAGAAAAGAAGAAAAAAAACAGGTGGATGAATGAATCACGGTAGGGTCTAGCTTCATGTGAGGGCCGGGTTGGCTCGGTGAATGTGGTTTGTATCTACGCGACAATTGATAGACATAACGGCATTGTTTCTGAGGTACTCTGTAGGCATGGGAAATTGTACATGAAACTGGTCGATAATGTTTTGGGCCGCACGCGCGCTACACTGACAGGGCCAGCGAGTATATCACCTTGGCAGAGAGGCCTGGGCAATAAACCTTTTCTAAACTGCTCTGGTTCGCCTCCTCATAAGGCTATAAGTCGGAGGTGATACTCGTGCATGCTCGACGCGGACTGGAGGGCTTCTGGGCAATAATGTCTCCGAGGTAATATTGGAGGAAATATTCGATCATTAGCGTGTATTAATGCCAGTGTGTGCCTCGAATAGTTGTGTGATTGCATCTCGATACCGCATGAGGCTCAACACTCTGTGCAACACGATATTCGAGGCTTCGAAGATACATATAAAACTACAAACAACATGTGACCACAATTGCGAGGACATCTTGTTATTAGTTTTCCTAAATGTACACTAAAAGCACCTCAATGGCCGCCAAATTCACAACTTCGAATTCGGTCTCCCACTTTCGGCATCACACTCGGCTAGACCGCTCAACACCCGCCTCAGAATCTTCCCACTCGCATTCCTAGGTATGGCCTCCACAGCCCTAACACCCCCAGAGATATCCTTATACCCGGCCAACCGCTCCGCGGCATACCGTCTCACCTCATCGCCACGCAGCAGCTCGCCCGGCTTCGCCACTACAAACGCTCGCGGCCTCTCACTCCCATGCAGCGGATCACAAACACCCACCACCGCAGCATCAACCACCGCCGGATGCGACAGCAGGACAGCCTCCAGCTCCGACGGGGCCACCTGAAACCCTCGGACTTTGATGAGCTCCTTCTTTCGATCGACGATGTACCATTTGCGCGTGACACCGTCGCATATCGCTACGTCACCAGTTTTCAGCCAGCTATCCGCGTCGAAGCCGGTCTCGTTCGCTGCCGGACTATTCATGATAGCCTGGTGTCACAGTGGGGCCGCGGATGCAGAGCTCGCCGGGGACATCGTAGGCGGAGATATTCTCTCCGTTGTCGTCGATCAACCTGCAACCATGGCTCACGCTAATTAGCCCCTGCTTTACAGACCACAGTAGGGTTCCCGGATCACGAAGAGGCGAACATCAAGAGAAGCATACTTAGCCTCAACATTCGGAATCAAGCGCCCTACCGACCCCGTGTCATCCACCTCTGGGTAAGGCAACATCATAGCCGCGCAGCACGTCTCCGTCATGCCCCACCCCTGCGTCAGGGGCGCACCATCCGGGAGCAGCTCACGCACGACCCTACCCTGCGTATCCTTGTCCAGCGGCGCGGCACCGCAGACCACATTTCTGACCTCCTTCAGACCCGTCTCCCGGCCCGGGGAGTCAGACGCCAAGATTGCAGTCAAAATCGGCGGGACGACGATTAAATCCGTGACCGCATATTGCTTCACGAACCGTAGATACGAGCCCAGCTCAAAGCGCCGCATGATGTACATCTTGTAGCCGGAGCGCAGAGAGCCAATGTGCACGAGCGGGGCGATTGCGGCGTGGAAGACGGGAAGGGCGATTAGGGACGTCATCTATGTTCCTGGCGGTCAGATGATTACGTGCTCAGGTGAGAGAAGTAGTAAAGGGCAAAGTGGGGGTAGCGTACTCGATAGGGCCGCGGATGCGCCTCAAAGACAAGCGTATGCTGCGCGACGAGGTTGTAGTGCGTGATGTCGACGGCCTTTGGGAGGCCCGTCGTCCCGCTGCTGAGGAATCGGGCGGCGGTTGTTTCCCTCGTGGTGGCGAGGTTGTCAAAGCGCTGCCATTCAGACTCGCCGTGTGTGAGAAGTGTCCGCCAAGAGGATAGACCAATGGAAATGGTGAGGAGATCATTGCTTGGAGCCACATCGGTGGAGGCGTCATGAGTATCGAGGACCCAGCTGTTACCTTCGGGAAGGTTGACTTGTCTTGCGGCTTCGAGGATGGGAAGTATGAGATCGGGTTCGGAGATGAGGAACCGAGCTTTGGAGATTCGGAGATGGTGCACGAGCTCTGAGGTCGTATGGGATGGGTTTGTGCCGGTGAAAACTCCGCCTGCACCGATGATGGCTAGCACTAGGACGCTGTAGTATATCTATTGCAGTTAAGGGTTAATCTTTGGCTTTTGGACGTAGAAAGGAGAGGGGTGCTGATATTGTTGAAAGAATGTATGACCACACAATCGCCGCGCTCGAGTCCTGAATTTTGGAGGCCTTGAATGAGCTGCTTGACCATTTTTCTGGCGCCATTACATGATATCGTGAGGGTTGGGTTGTGTGCGTCGATATATATCTAAGACGCGGTAGTCAGATTTTGGTGGTACTGGAAATGAGCAGTACTTCAGTGATTGGTCCTACCGGTTCGTTGGGATCATATAAAGGATCGTCGAAGATATAGGAAAGAAGATCCGTGGTTGGTAGAGGAAGCTGTCTCTCTGGTTTGAAGATCATGCTCATGGTGAAAATCGGGAAAGATGATCAAGGTCCCGGGTCGGTTCCAAATTCTTTTGCTTAACCAACACAGATACTCGTATCTCAGCTTCTGTGCAATACTGTAGATATGGGAACTGGTGGTAGTAGTCGAAGACAATCAAGCAACTTACAGTCCAGTCTGATTAGCGTAATCGGTAAGCGAGTGGGCACTGTAAGCAAGTGGGCAGACCTGTATTGCATATAAACTCACTCTCAGAAACTCACTTGGTTTATCTTCTTTGATATGGAAAGAACTGTAATTTAGTCTATTTACGTATTAGAAACCATATATTCGATTATAAGCTTGTTCATATGTTTATTTACATAGATAAAATATGATAGATTGTAAAGTTATATATTTTATGTTAAGGAGAGAGTTAAATAAACATAGATCTAAGGTATCTAAAATTCAGACAGTATATTCCTTTAATACTATTATATACTATACCACAGTCTAGAACTATTCAATATGTATTTAATAAGATATAGTAGTTAAGAATTAGACTGTTTAATATGTAATGGAGGTCCTGTCCACTCGCTTACAGTGCCCACTCGCTTACCAATTACGTTACCGTTCTTTGTCATTAGAAATGAACCTTATCACAGTATCCCAATCTTCCCCAACTCCATGAACTAAACCATGACTGACTGACAAGCCCTTTTGAATAGTATCATAATTTCCTGACTGAAGGCCGTCTCGAACAAACAAATAAAATGTGCACCCGCTGTTGGTTCATTTCGGTCTATGAAAAGTGTGCAGATTCCGACGAGTCCTGACTTGTATGGCCAGGAAGGCTGGATTGGAAAAGTCTGTGTATAAAATGTGTGACAGGGATATCATTGTATTGGAAAGTACCTCGTTTCTCAATTCTTGTTTTTCCGTCTCAAGACTCTGTACCTTGTCTCCTTCTATCGTCAATATTCCCGGATTGCACTACCTCGCCTACTCGTTATCATACACCGCCAATTCATGCACTAGATCGAAGCAAGGGCATACCGCATGACCTGGCCAGATTCCAGGAATGGGCCACACGTACGATGTGAATAAACCCGGTATCTGACAGATCACATTCTGTTGGCAGTCACATGCATGCAAGGTGGGATACGTGCCGTGCTATGTGCTCATCGCACCCCACAACGCCCTGCAAGGTTGATGAATGGCGGTAAAATTAGCCGATACGAGCATCTTCACCTCTTATGAGAAAATGACTCCTCATTTGGGCCGTATAAAGTACAGAATTGACACCTAGGCCCCGCTTATGTCCATAAACCGATTCTCCTTTCACGACCTCCCAATTGACCCTTCCGCCAGGACTGTCAATACAAATCTCCTTGGGCCAGCCCATACCAGTCGAGCAATCCTCCTTGAGCTGATCCTCAGCGGCAACCTCCCGAGTATTGTCAACAACAGCTCGGTGGTCGCACACCTGCATTTCGCTGGGCGGTCGATTACGCGTGCAGCATGGCTGGACTCAGCGCCCTCCATCACACCCTGGAGGCGGAAGGGCGACGCTTGGGGTATAGTCCGCGGATTCAGTTCTTCCTCGTAGAGGTCGGGCAGATGCAGACTCCCTTGTTTAGCTGGATCAAATCGCCGAATTATGTGCTTGCTCCGGTCCTTGAGCCTGGGTACGTTGCACCAAAGGTTATAACGCGGGAATTCTTTAAAAAAGTTGGGGTTATTCGGTTGCCGAAGTATGCTTCTTGGGTGTGCGGATATGATGTGCTGACATTGCGGGTACAGCGGTTTGTTTGATATTTGATGGGGGTTGATGACGCATTGGCTTTTCCTCAGCACGGGTGGAAAGAAGCCTTTTCTTTTGGAAAAGAGATAAACAGCAGGCTTACCTTCCAGAAGCTATTAAATGTTTACACGGGAAGAGTCCTATGAAATCTCTCAAAGTTACGGCGGAGCCCCAAGGCAACAATCGTGGTAACATGGTTCTAAACATACTGAGAATGTGAATGCCTAGAACACGGGACAACAAAGTCTTCTCTGATTAGTGAGTGCTGCGAGGGAACATGGCAAAGAGAAGGAAAAACAGTGAGGCCACTGAGCTGGGGAGGTTCTGGGGACCAGTGTGTTTCTCACAGTCCGTCACGCTCCGCACACACATGGAAATGCAGCATAGTATAAGTCGCCAGAGTATAGTAATACTTGTAGGTCACCTTGTCGGCCTCCTTTACCGGCAGCGTCACAAGACGCACAGCTACTGCCAGCATGGAAAGTAGGTGACACAGCCCTAGAGGCAACAGCGCTGGTTTCGATGACATAGTTGCGTACTGGATCCGCGAGCCATTGGCAATCGCAGTGCAGGCGATACCCGCCGCCGTGGCACCACGTAGCCACAGTTGCCCCCGTTGATCCAGAACCAGTGGCAATGTCTGACGGCCGGCCTTCCTGTCGCCCTCCATGTCATGAAACTCCTGAACATGAATGGTCATGACTAACCAGCTAAATAAGAGCCACCTGAGCGAGGTCCCCTCTGCACTCGGAAATTCGACATTCTCGAGCAATGCATCAAGCAGGTTCAGCTGGAGTACGGCTCCAACCGCCGTGAACAAATTGCGCGCGGCCCAGTTATCGAATCTGGGCCACACGTAGAACAGCAGAACCCACCCCTCCCACAGAACCAGAAATGTAGTGGCTTGGAGACCCACGGTGAGATGGAGCAAGATGGGGAAGAGAATCCAGCTCAGTAGCCAGCGCGTGTAAGCGCCCTCTACGCTCATTTTGCCGGAGGGAATAGGCCTCTTGGGCTTGTTGAGGGCATCCTCTTCCACGGAGAAGGCCTGGTTTGCGATGTCAAAGACATACGCAAATGCCAGTATCGCGAGACACACCCCAGGCAATCGGGTTGAAAGCTGTTGGACTGAGAGCTTTGATCCCGAAAGTCGTGCGGATAGGCATGCGACAGCGTTGCCACAGTGGGCGGTGAAATTGTCTCGCAGGAGTGCTATGATCAATGATAGCTCCGTGGTGATAACTGAACTTTCAGTTTTCCTGTGCCCATCAGTACAAAGCTCACAGTCATGGCATTCAAGGAAACCTCACAAGGAAGGAATCGATGTCTGTGAACTCGTTCTCGAGAGAGAGTGAGCCGCTTTCTTGCTACTCTGCCGAGGAAAAAACCGCATCTTGTGGGATTGTAGGTCAATTCAGACACAATAGCCCTGGGTGAATATGCACTTAGGACGCCCGAGCTAGAAGGCTGCCGGCGAAGGAGTATTCTACCTCGCAGCCTGGGGGTGTCCAAACTATTCCTGCGTTCCAGATCCAGATAAGTCCAAGGGGTGGCGTGTACGTGCATGATGATGTAATGAGAGCCTCCACTGTCATCATATGGCAGCGAGTAAGGGTACCATAGTACAACAATATACGACATGGTAGAAGCTATCAGAGGCAAGGGTTGGATAAGACCGTGATACGGCAGACAAAGATTCAATCTGCGGACAAAGGGTTTGTCTGTTTCCGAGACTCTTTCTCCACCAATCTTCTCCTAAGCCATATCTGTGAAACTGTGGGTCTTTTGAAACTGGGTAGCCTGACCGTATTATACAGCCACTTCTGACTGGGGCTGTGTATCAGTTCAATGATCGACCTGGTACATGCTTCGCTTCGATCGAGCAGAAAGATTAAATCTACATTTTCCGTACAAGCAATACATATGAAAAAAAGACGTGTATATTTCAATGCCAAGTGAGGTGAATACAAGGCCAAAAAGAGACAGAGAAGATAGCAAACACGCATACATAAAGTAGAAAACAGTCACTGCTAGGCAATAATCACCGCAGCGACAAGATTGAAATAGCATCACACTGAACTCTGGACATTACTACACAGATCTCTGACCCCAGTGGCCTTTGTCATATGGAACACCATTGTCAAAATGGCGCCCTACTATGATGGCCTACTCGCATTTCTCTTCCGGCAGCTTTTCTACACAATCCCTGAAGTTGCACCTCTCGATCTCCGTGGGAAAGCGGTTCTCTTGACAGGGGCAAACTCCGGGATTGGTCTTTCTCTAGCAATGATGCTTGCATCACAGGGTGTTGAAGTGATCATCGCCGTCCGATCCATAACCAAAGGCGAAGCTGCTCGACAGGAAATTCTTCAAGCTCTTCCAACGGCCAAGATCGAGGTTCGACAGTGTGACCTAGCGTCATTCGACTCAGTCAGAAGCTTTGTAAGGCAGCTGAAAGATGAATCCAAGACCTTCAATCTCGTCATTCTCAATGCCGGCGTCTGGTGTTCACAATGGATGGCGTCAGTGGATGGGTTTGATATTTCTCTCCAAGTACATCATACTGTCTATTATCAGAGATGCTGCTAACAAAACCAGGTGAATGTGCTCTCGAACGCACTTCTGGCTATGTCGCTTCTTCCGTGCCTCCGTGATCAGAACGGCCCACCACGCATAGTCTTTGTGACATCCGAGGGTCACGCTATGGTCCCAACGCCCTTTGCACAACATGGTAGGATGTTGGACTTTTTTTAACCAGAAAGCCCAAGCATTCGATCATGACACCCACTACTACACGTCGAAACTGTTCGAGCTTCTCTTGGCCCAGGCTATGTCTCGGCGTGTTGACCCGGCAAAGCTCTCAATCGCTTTGGTATCTCCGGGACTGTGCAAGAGTGAATTGTTCCGCAATGTAAGGTCTGCACCAGCAGATCTTTTGGCGCACTGCTTTGCTCGGACCTGCGACGCCGGGGCGCGAATGGTAATGATGGCCTCTGTCACTCAGACGGAAAGTCCTCCCGACACATACTTCAGCCAGGGGGGTCAAGTACCGTAAGTAAATATTCACCTGAGATACACTGGCATATGACTGAGCCTTGCAGTATTTCCACATTCGCCTCCAGCTCAGAAGGGGTTTTATGCCAAGAAAGACTCTGGAAGGAGATAATGGGCATCCTGGACAGTGTGGACCCTGATCTGGAGTCTCATTTGCACCTGGTCAGTTGAGTCGACTCAGCAGGACGCAAGGCCACAAAGTCATACCGACCTCCCTTCGTAGATGTTTTGTGATGTGTCTTAGCAAGAGGGATTCAATTTCAGTGATGCATGGGCAAGGTTCTAGACTACCTTCTACTCCTAGCACCTTCTACAAGCTCAGATACGTAGAACGGCAACTTTATGCATGTGATTCATACCAAGCGAATGGGTCTCAACAACGTAATACAAGATCTCACTCTAAGCCCGTGTACGTTTGAGGGACTATATAACTAGTTCATGCATATGAAATAAGCTCTAGAGCATTGGACCTTGCAAGAGGTTGCTTCCTCGAAACAAACAACTCACTTGCTTTCTCTCTAGCATCATGTCATTCTACTTCACTCCAATGCAGCTCACACCGTTGGATCACATGATGCCAATTTCCTACATAGCATTCTTCTATGGCTTTCTACTCGACGATCCACAAAGAGCCGTGCCTGTCATTAGAGACTCTCTCCATCGGTTACTCCGGGCGAATCCATTTCTAGCAGGGAATTTGATCAACTCGAATCATTGTCACGAAGCCCCCACCGTGCGAGCTGTCCACCCGCCGACAGTGGAATCCCTGCGCGAATTTCCCATTCTACGAGTGAGACATCATGAGGATCATTACATGGCTCGCCAGTACCACGGGTCCACCTGCTCTGACGATCGATTCTCCAACGATGTCCTGTTTAGCGAAGCCTATCTGCCGGTGCCCCTCGCCGCAGCGACTGCCCAACAATGCCCCATCATCCGGTGGCAAGCGAACATCATGCAAGATGGGCTGGTCGTGGCGGTATGTTTCCATCACTCCGTGCTGGACGCTGCAGGATTCTATATCATCCAGGCTGCATTGGCGGAATGTTGTCGAGGGCCAGGCAGTGCAAGGGAGGGGCCTTCCCTGGTAGCAGATCTTCTGAAAGGGAGACAGAGAATGCTGAGCACTGGCCCCTCGGGTGGGGTCAGTGGAGGATTGTCAGCGGGGTGCCTGCAGGACCTCGCAATAGCCGACTTCAATTGTGCACAGGGCCTGATCAGCAGGCGTCTGACATTGAGTCCCGCCAGGATCGCGTATCTGAAAACAATGTGCAATGCACTCGTCCGGGGGCGCATGGAGAACAACCGCGTATCCTCAGAGCCCAGGCCATTACTGTCGTCAAATGATATCATATCCGCTATACTATGGCTTGCTATTATGAGGGCGCGGTATCGACCCTACTCGGAAACCCTAAAGGGCGACTCGGCCCAGAGCTCCCTCATTCTGATCACTGAGATTCGCCGAGCCCTGACACCGCCACTGCCAAAGTTTTACGTTGGGAATGGGATCGTCCAAACTGCGACCTCGTCACCCATCCGGTCTGCTCTGGAGTTCGTATCCCTTACTGCACAATCACCCAGTCTAAAGACCAACGGACTGCAGGTTCTCACCGACCTCGCGCTCAGGGTCCATGCTACGTTTTTGTGCGTGGATGATGCTTCTGTGAAAGCGCTCATTCGGGAAAAGCAAGAAAGTATCGACTGGAGTCCAAAGTTCAGGCAAGCAGACGTTACATCAACCAGTCTGCGTCGCATGGGAGTGTATGGGCTAGACTTTGGCGCAGTCTTGGGAAAGGTGGTGGAGTTTGATAGCCCAGATAACAGAATTGACGGGACGGTCTGCATGCTACCTGCTCGGATGAATTCGGTCCCAGCACCATGGGAGGTGCGGGTTACCTTGCAGCGAGGTGCCATGGTACGACTTCTTCAGGATCCATTCATGGACTGGTTGATGGGAGATGCGTCGGCCAAAATGTAAGGGGGTTAGTGTCCAGGTGATTGAAATGCAACGAGGATACATCCTAGAGTGATCGGATCGGGAAAGGATCGTAGGGCTTTTTGTTTCGGCTCTTATTCCTGCCCGTACAGCTAATCAGAACAAGCCTCTAGTCTCTACAGTTCTTCACCGCATCATTCACATTCATTCCTCTAGACTGATACAGTGTCTGAACCAGTCAAGGAGCCTTCTTGATGTGATAGGCTGGAGAAATCTTCAGGGCAAAGGTTACGTAGAATCCTATACTGTCCCCTTACATATTCCTATATCTCTTCTAACGCATAGAGCAGCAATCTGCGTCCAAACGCCAAGAGGAAATTGAACCTCTGTGTATCTTCATGTTCTCCCACCCGTCCTCTTCATGAGATGAGTGAGATATCACATACCCTACCTAATCCAGTATCTGGTTGGGCTCTTTGCAACATGTTAGGGCAATTTCTGGTAAAAGGCTCGTAGTCGCCAGACCATGGAAGGCTATACAATACATGACCTGTTATGTTCAAATGATGCTGTATGTGTCGTAATTCTCAACATGAGATATGCAATATGAGCATGGCGATTTGGTATTTACTAGCCGTGCTAAGTTATCTTTATGTCTCCACACCCAACATCTCCTCGTCTTACGGCTCTCAAAATATTCTTCGCTGGAAAATACGACATCATCATCATCGGCGCAGGCGTTGCTGGAATCAATGCCGCATATCGAGTACAAAAGCTGCTACCTGACCACACATATGTTATTTTCGAGGCCCGCGATACTGTGGGGGGGACTTGGGACTTGATGCGCTATCCTGGGGTCCGACTCGACTCGGACATGTACACGTTCGGGTTTACATGGTACCCCTACCATGGGGACAAATTAATACTAGATGGACAATCACTGCGAAATTACGTTGACAATGCTGCGACAGAGCACGGAATTCACGACCACATTCTGTTCAACCATCGAGTCACGACAGCAAATTGGTCGTCTGACGACCATGCCTGGACTTTAGCAGCTACGGCTAATGATGAGAAGCACCGTTTCAGCGCAAGATATGTAATTTTCGCGACAGGGTATTTCGACCACAACGAGCCATTGCCCGCTCAAATCCCTGGTCTCGAACGGTTCCAAGGAACAGTGATCCATCCGCAGTTCTGGCCCGAAGATCTGGATCATTCAGCAAAAAGAATCGCTGTTATTGGCAGCGGAGCGACGGCTATATCCCTTGTCCCCAAGCTCGCAGAGACCGCGTCCACCGTGGCGGTCATCCAGAGAAGCCCGAATTACATTGTGTCCGTTGACTTACCGGGAGCTACGTCCTTTTTAACGAGATTCTTGCCGACTCCAGTGGCTCACAAGCTCAGGCGTCTGTGGTGGCTCCTCGTCACCTTCCTCGGTTACTACGCATCTCGCCGGTGGCCTCAATATGCAAGAGACTACCTGCTGAGCCGGGTCAGAAAAGAGCTCCCAGCCCATGTCCCTCTCCAGCCGCACTTCCAGCCCACGTACAATGTCTGGGACCAACGGCTCCTAGCATGTCCCAACGGAGATTACTTCCACAGCATCCGTGGCGGAAAGGTCAGCATTGAAACAGCAAACATCCAGGACTGTACCGCAGACGGCCTTCTCCTGGACAACGGGAAAGCCGTCGGTGCAAACATTATTGTCACAGCAACGGGGCTGAAACTCCAGATCGGAGGTGGGATCCGACTAGACATCGACGGGCAGATATGTAAACTGTCAGATAGATTCATGTGGAATGGGATAATGCTCGACGGCATCCCAAATGCTTTCTTCGCTCTCGGGTATCTCACGAGCGCGTCCTGGACGATGGGGGTGGATGTGACGGCTGTGGCCGCTTGTCGATTGATCAGGCACATGAAGCGGACGGGCAGTGTAGCTGCCCTGCCTCGTCTACATGAATGGTCAGATCTGGCTGTTCGTTCACTTTGGGACCTGAACTCAACATACATCGCGGCCGGTAAAGGGGGCATACCTAAAGCAGGATCTGTCGGGCCCTGGCGACCTCGCACAAATTATTTATTGGACTACTTTCATGCCAAGTATGGCTCTCTCACGGAGGGTTTGGAGTATGTTGAGGCCGGCTAACTGTCCCAATATTTGGATGCAATCTATACGCTACAGCCAGTCTCTATACTCTGCCCGCCCTTGATGCGTGACTGTGTGTTGGCTCTGTACGTGCATCTTGCAAGCGTATCTTGCCGCTGCTTCATAGTAGGGTATCTATACCCTCTATCTATAAACTGCATCATCTCCGCTTTGTTGTTCTGAGTGATTGAGATTCCTGGTCGGTTGCTCACTCACATAAGAGATTCAACTGTTTTTTTACTATCCAATCAAGACACCCTATTCCACTGTGGCTCTTCACTCGTCCTGAGCGCAAATTCTTACGTAAATTTACAGTCATTACCCCGTTATACTTCAGATGCGAGTGCATTTCTGCCACACTTGCATACAACGCTACATCTTCGTACCTGTCACTTTGCAAACAGACAGACTAAACCTGGAGTATCAAGACATTCGAACACACCCACCCCCCAACGGGGAAGTCGTTGTGAAGCTCTACGTGCCCGGTCTGGGTAGTAGCATATGTCATCTCCGAACCAAAATCATTCCCGTACCATGCTAAGTATCCCCCACCCGCCGGACTAAAAGGACATCATGTTCTCCCTCAGACCGCGCGACGGCTACCCTCAGCACAACATGATCGGCGGCCATGAAGGCATTGGAGGAATTTTGATGGCGCAGGATGAGTCGCTGATCAGCGATCCAGTGGCAGCGCGGTACCTCGCCCACGACTGCCGCCACTGCCATGCCTGTCTCCACGATCTACCCGAGCGCTGTCCCTCCCAACGCGACTTCCCACGAGACCACCCCGGGACGTACCAGGAGTACATCAAGGCTCCAATCTGATCCTTGATGCCCCTGCCCGCCTTCATCCTGGACAACATCCACACCGAATCCCGACCCAGCTTGGGTGATTATGCGGCTGCCCTATGCTCCTTCGCCGCTGCATCCAAGACGCTAAGGAAGTTGAACTCCAGCCCAGAAGATGTGGTGTTGATCAGTGGTATTGCGGGCGCCATCGGCAATTTAGCCGGGCAGATTGCAAGAAACGTGTATAAGACCAAGGTCATTGGCGTCGACCTGCCGGAGAAGCAGCCCGGACTGGGTCCACGAAACTCCAGGTGCTATGATGCATTCGTCCCGGTAAATCGGGACTCGGAAGGGTCTACCTCGTTCATCGAAGGCCTCTCACGCGCCTGTAGCGACTTACGGGGACCCGGAGTGTCACCTACGATGGCCGACGGGGTCATTGTCACGGCGGGATCGACAGCACCGTACACGAATCCGATCCAATACCTACGTGAAGGTGGCGCTATCTTCTGCGTTGGGTGCGTCATTTCCTTCCTCGGGATTCAGCCTCCGTAAAGTCCCTGTCCAGCCAAGATGAATCAACAGAGTCCCCGAGCGCGGCGGAGAGGTATCCTTCTCCATCGCCGAGGTGGTCGAAAAAGGCATCCGGGTTCAGGGCACGCTCATGGGCGGATGGGAGGAAAGCTATCGCGTCATTCAGTACATCAGGTCTGCCCTGCTCTCCCCCGTCGTGACGAGGATCGAGCTCCGGGATGTTCTCTCTTACATGCAGCGATTCGTGTCCTATGAAAATACGGGCAAGATCGTGGTCAAAACATTGCCTCTCCGTAACCAGCAGCCTGGATCGCAACTATTCTTCCTTGCATTTGCATGATGCTGATTGTCATCGTAAGGTAGGAGTTCCGGCTCACGTATGAAATGTGCCTACTATGAAGGCCGTATGATAAGGTGATGCATGTAGTACCAACTCGCGTAAGCAGCTGAGGCTAGGCTCCTGTGATCATGCTGATTTCACAGGGATTCATGAGGAGATTGACTCCGAGGTAATTGATGAGGATAAAAGATCATGTCGACTTACCACAGCTGATCGAGTGCGCGCTGATCGGCCACAATAACAATTCGCTAGTTCAATTGTCCAGTTCGCTCACGGTGCACTGCTCACCCCGCACCGGGAACAACATCACCTACCATATCATTCGTCCGTAGCAGCCACCCGGTGTCAGCAGGGAACGGTAGCAGCAACTTCGTAAAATGGATGAACTTTTCCAGTTGCTCACATTCAGTCAGCGAGTAGACTAGGGCCCGGGCGGACGATGAGCCCTACATACTCACCACACCCTCCGATCATACATGCTTGTTTAATCCAGTGTAAACTGTACAATCCAATTACAAGGTGAGGCCAAGCTCCGGATTTATCATTAAGTACATTTTCATGAGAGAAGAAAATCTTTTTCATCGCTTAGAAAAACCACAGTGCCACCCGCACCCACTACAAATTCAACTGGAACCGCGGCGACGTGCGGATCCGGGCCCCATACCGGCTATAAAACACCGGGAACGAGCAAAAGACCAGGGCAATGAACGCCAGCAGAGAGTTGCCCCACCCCAGCCCCAGGGCATCGTACATCGACGGACCGGCCAGCGGGAGCAGCGCCCCGATCAGCGAGCGCAACACCGCGTTGGCGGCTGTCACCGAGGCAGCGTACAGGAGATACGAGTCGACGAGATAGGTGTTGATGCACAGCTGCATCATCGGTTAGCATGCACCAGAATCACAGCAAGGTGTTAAGGGAAAGCACATACAAAAACACACATCAGCCCCGCCCCAAAGATCCCCGTCCCGATGATCGGCATGATCCAGTGCACCTGCTTGTCGGCGGACCAGCCATACCAGAACAGCCCGATGGGCAGGAGCCACGAGCCATACAGACACGGGATCAGCCGGGACTCGGGCACGAACCGGCCCTGGGCCGTGTGCGCCGCGGCGATGCGGTTGGCCACATAGCCGGTAACCTGCACGCCCAGGATGGCCCCGAGGCCGAAGCCCAGATACGCCAGGCCGCAGATCTCCTGGCGCCAGCCGTAGACCTCCTCGAAGATGGCGGTGATGGTCGTGAACATGAGGTACAGGTACCCGTAGGAGACGGCGCCGAACAGCGCCATCAGCAGCACGGTCGGCGACAGGAAGAGCAGCTTGACGGGCCGCACCGCCGCCAGCCGGAAGATCTCCTTGCGCGGCGTGCCGCGGTCGAATTTCGAGCGGTATTTCTCGTTGCCCGTCTCCTTGCGCAGGTGCGCGGCTTTGCGCTCCAGGAGCACGACGCTGTAGGTTTCGCGGTAGCAGAAGAGGGTTGCGATGAGCATCACTCCGGTCTGGAATATGGATATTAGTTTTGGAAGTCTTGTCATGATCGTTGTATGAGTGGGGAGGGCAAGCGTACCGCGATGGCAATGATCCAGAACACCCAGCGCCAGCCGATGTTCGCGCAGACAAACGACCCAGCGATGGGTCCGATGACGGGGCCCAGGATCGGGCCCATGGCCCAGATGGCCATCACGCCCGCGCGTTTTTCCTTGGGGATGAGGTCCGCCACGGTGCCGGAACCCAGCGTCATCGGACAGCTACCGGCGACTCCGGCGAAGAAGCGAAAGACGAACAGCTGCGGTAACGTTTGAGCAACCGCACATGCGATGGTGAAGATGAGGAAGAGAGTGTTGCAGATGTGGTAGAGCCGACAGCGGCCGTAGATCTCGGACAATGGCGCAATCACCAGGGGGCCGACCACGTAGCCCAGCAGGAAGATGGATACGACGAATGAGCCTAGTGTGGAGTTTGTAGTGTGGAATTCGGCGAGCACGTCTGCCTCGCCTGGTGTGAACATCGATGAGGATAGAGGTCTGGATCTTGCATGTTAGCTAGATGCTCCGGGACGATAGCTTTTCTCTCTCTGAGATGCATTATCACGTACGTGAGAAGACTATTGACTCCCATTCCGGCCAGCTGCCGCACTTTCTTGCTCATAGGCCAGGTCATGGGACACTGGGGGTCGTCGGGTCCCTCCCAATCCACGATGTATGGATCGACGACTTTCTCTTTCTGCCGTTGTCCAGCAGTTGCTTCGACATCTTTGATTTTTGGTGTGCTTTCCTCTTTTACCGTAGCCATTGTTCTTCGTTATGAGTGTTCTGTCGTGAATTCGTTGACGGATCGTTCCGGCGTAGATGAAACCCTAACTAACGTAACCCCAAAGTGGTCGGGGATATTGAATCGACACCAAGCTCTTGGTCCACCACCTTGAAGCCATGTGGACCACTAGCTTATATATGTCACCAGGCGCAACTTCCAGGGCAGCAAAAAAAAATAAAAAGCAGGAGCTTGCCTGGTGGGCCCGGAGTGTGGAGATAGGAGTTACCCGGCGAGACACATGGCGTCCTAGCACTTCGGCATAACTTGTCCGGTCCGCGGACCTGGGTAGCAACCCATCTTCATATGCTCCCTTTACCACGCGCTAGCGTAGAAAAGTCCTTGATGGGTCAGAAAGTATGTCTGGTAATGAATAATGCTGTATATCCGCTACCCAAATATGTGAGTAACGCCGTGTTGACAAGCAGGTTTGATCGAGAGACTCACAAATCTTCGAATTCATAACCTGACGGGAGAGCATAAGTGGGGAAAATTAAGTCGGCGATCGGTTGTCGGAGTTCCGGCCCCGGTTTCTGCTATTCCGCTTTCTAGCCGTTTATGGTAAATCTAAGCCGGCACGCTCTCAATCTGGCACTTTTACACCGCCAACTCCGGGTTAATTGACTCATGGCTGCATCGGAGTAGGACGGTGTCCCTGAATCGCGCCGGACCTGATACTCTCCTGAGCCTTATGATGTTCTAGAGCCAGTGGGTCGTGTGTTGATCATGAGAGAATGGATGCCCAAAGCATGTGAGCTCGTTGGGTTCAAGGGATACTTCATCGAAATCTTGTACCTGGCCGTAAAGTATGGAGCTCATGCTTACTCGATTGCTAATCAGATTTTGCTACTCTCGTTCCTCAGTCCTTATCAAAGACATCGAGCTTATGATTCACATTTCCACAGTACTCGGTACACTCATGACAATCTCCCCAGGCCTATCAACCATCAAGCCGGAACAACATATATCAACACAGGTTCACCACAACATATTTTCCGACAACATTCATGGCGGAATGTCACTAGCAGCCTGGTCCGGGAACTTTCTGAACAGGTCTTTGATATGATCGATGGGCGCAGCCAGTAATCCTGCCACCGTTTCGAAGGGCGGTTTGTCGGGCGCCGATGGATGACTGCGAGTCGGGACGAACATCTTGGTGCGCTTGAACGAGGAGACCATGGCCTTGGAGACCTCGTGATCCAAATTCGCTTCAAGCTTGACCAGGTCCTGCTCCTCTTCCTCCTTGATGTGCTGCGAAAGGGTGCCCCAGAGCCCTTGGAGGGTCGGAATAAACTCCGCATTGTCGGGCTTCAGGTTCTGGAACTTCTCCAGATAGTCTTTCACCTAAAATTCACCTCTTAGTCTCCACACGCCTCCCTGGTGGAAAGCACAAAGTGCACTAAGCTTACCGTCTTGTGTTCCGCCCGGTCCTTGTCAGCCATCGCCTTCCCATCGGAGAGGTGCTCCTCCATTGCTGGGTATACGACGAGTTCCTCGCCGATGGAGTGGCGAGCCAGCTCCCAGGTGAACTGGTTCTGCCACCGGCGCTTCTCGTCATCGCTTGCGGCGGTCAGGATGTTGTTGTAGGCCTCTTCGATGTCGCGGTGGTCACTTTTAATAGCATCGCTGATTAGAGTCATCGTGAATAGTGTTCGCTCAAGAGGTGGAGACGTATGGTTCTGATCGGTGGCAAGTAAACCTCGACAGCACAGATGGCGATGATTTAAGAACTATCTAACAACTGGCTGCCTGGAACCAAGCCTCGGGATCATTCGAATATCACGTCATTCTTAGCTCTTGACTGCTCTACTATATCCCACAGTACCGGGCGTGTTGCAGATTACGTCTACGGCTTGCTGGGATGAAGGACCGGTCATTGTCTTTTCTTGGTTGAGAGCCCCGGAAGCATTATCCCGACCATTCAGGTTGACGGTGCCCTAACCCCGCCGAATGAAAGAGTAAAGCGATCGAGGTTTAACCCCTCAGCTGACCCACGAATCACAAGCAATGTATTTCAATTCAGGTGGCAAACACACAGTATTCACATTCAATCCCCGCAGACACAGGAATTTTGTGGGGTAACACGAAAGCTGGCTTCTGACCCTTGGCATCAACACGAGCTGGATTCATCCACCCCCACCACCAGTCATCGAAGAACTCTACGATGAGCAACTAACTACATCACAGCAAGCCACTGTAACCATGCTCACTGGCCCCCGCTCAACTTACGTCTCTTGTTGGCGCGCTTAGGATGGAACTCCTGGGCATAGACCTTGAAGAAGTCCGGGGGTTCTTGGGGATGACCCCCGGTGACGTCATGGAACGCGGTGGTGGAAATGTAGTTGGTCTTGCCCTCACGCACCAACGAGTAGTACTCCAGCAGATACTGCACCTCGGACTGGTCACTCTCCGACTGCGCTTGCAAGACTCTCTTGGCTTCGTTTCTGCAGGGATGCACTGTTCAGTCTCGGACACTATACCCCGTAGCTAGCGAAAGACAATATGGGAGGGACCCACTCAGAAATATCGTCGAACTTCAGCTCTTCTCCCAGGGCCTGGCTGGCTGCAGACGCCAGCTCGTCTCCCGTGGCAAGCATCGGGCCTATGTCGTGTTCAGCATCCACTTTCGCGCATGGAGGTTTAGAGTATGTCCTCGTACATACCCGTCAGCACCATCAATTGACCCCGGTGTTTGTCACTGAATCCATGCTTGCCCTTCCCACAGAGGACATGCGCTGCGACTTGGGCGACATCCTGGCAGCCGTCAGTCTCCTACCCTGGTAACAACCCGAGAGAGGAGAGAAACATACCCCCAGCGCGATAGGCGCGAACTTGTGGTCCTTGCCAACAGGCAGCGGCAGGAGCCCTTCCTCTTGCGCCTGCGGAGAGTACAGCAGCAGGTTTTCCGCGTAGAAGCCCGGTCTAGAGAGTATTAAGGTCATCCACGTTGCCCCCTTTCAAATCCATCTGTTCATTCCACAAGCGCCTACCGTATAACAACCGGCGAGTGACCGGTAGAAGTGGAGGGATCGCCCTTGCACGCGAGCAGCCGCACCTCCAGATCGATAAACTCCCGCAGACGGGGCTGTCGGTCCCGCTCAGCGAGGTCACAGCCCGCGGAACTGATCATGCACACATTCGCAATCCCGGCCTGCTTGGTCGCCTCGATCAGCTCGCTGGTGATGTCGAGCTTGTCCGGGTGCGCGGGCGGGATCAGGCAGATCGCGTCCGCCCCGGTCTCCTTGAGCGACTTGACCATCGCACGGAGGCGGCCCGGCTTGTGGGGCACGATTTTCGCCCCCAGTTTGCTCAGCTCCTTGCAGGCGCTGGACTCCGGGTGCAGCGTCAGGCCGACCACGGAGCCGATGGCTTTCTTGAAGTTGGAGTCCGTCAAAATTAACTCGGCGATCAGGGAGCCGGTGTGGCCGTCTACGGCGGTGATGCAGAGTTTGCGGGACATTGTTGCTTTGCTAGTGACAGTTGAGGGTCATAGATTGTGGTTTTTGTATGTACACCGAAGTGTATAGGTTCTAGTGGGAAATGTCTCGAAGCGGAATTCTTATATTGTTGGTATGGATATTCTGTTCCCCACGTCATTCTGAAATCATGGCCTGTTCAGGTCCAGGCCATGGACACTCGTATTAAGCTTGTGTCCGGGTCGGCCAATGGATTCATGCACAAGGTTCGATTTGTAGATTCGTTTGGGTGAACCGCTGTAGAATATGTAAAGCGTTCTTGTGATGTAGTTGAAAAGGGGGATGGGGACTAGACTGCTTGTTCCTCGTCAGTCAGACTGTAGTATCTTCTACATGTCCTTACAGTTAGTATAGATCCCATGACCCATGGACCGTCGCACCCCGATTTTCCCAATGCGTTACACCATGTCACGTGGTTAGCTCAATCACGTGCCTTTGTCCGCCTTCCGTTCGGATGCCCAGCTTTTTTTTGGTGGCATCTGGCATGATCTCAGGGTTGTCCTTCTGTCCTGCCCATGCAACATCGTGGACCATCCACCCAGCCACGCCACAGAGGATGGATCCATCCCACCAATCGTAGGCCCTGCAAATACGTCGTTAAGTGTAAAATGCTTTATTAACTTTCTGCTTCTTGCACCAGCCCCGGGGACGTCACCCCCTTTTGCATAGGAATGACATTCGACACCATCTCTCAGGCCCGTCACACTCTCCTCCGCCATACAGCCGATCGCCATGAATCCTACCTCGTCGCCAAGTCAGACCCCGCCCGCCACATCACCAAGTGCCGGGATCCGGTCTGTCAATATGAGGTGCGAATCGGGACCAAGAAAGGACAGCCTCGGGTGACGGTCTACAACCCTCATACGTGTCCCCCATCCACGCACGACAATTGGAAGCAATCCCGATCGTCCAAGCTGAAGCCGAATTATGTGGCGGCCGACGAGGGGAGTCGGAAGTACGGCTATGTCTCACCCGAATCGTGGCACTGTGGCCGACTACTGACGTCGAGTAGGCATGGTCGACGCAATTCGCAGTCGTCGAGTGATGAGGCTGATGGCTTGGATCGGAAGCGTCAGCGATCGCGCCAGGCCTGCACGCAGTGTCGGTTGCGGAGAGTCAAGTGCGATGGCAACGTTCCATGCAGCATGTGTGCGAGCTCCAGCGTCGACTGTGAGTATGTCCCAAACACTCGTCTAGCGGGTGCGCGGCGTATAGCTTCAGAGGATGGGCAGGTAGCTCCACAAGGAACGGGCGCGGTGCGCACCAGCAGCCCGTCAGCTCCTCACGGAATCTTGGAGCCCTGGAAGCAGCGGTTCGTGGGGCGGCAGTCCTCGGTCGCGTTTCCACTGTTTGTCGGGCTGGACATGCAGGCTCCCAATCCCCCACGTTTGCATTCGTTCGCCTACAATCCGGGGGTTAGACGGGAGCCGGAAACTAGCGTCCACTTTCAGGTTGCTGAAGTCATCGACTGGGTGGTGGCTAAGCGCCTCATCAATGTATATGTGACCACCATTCACCCCTTATTCAACTTCCTAGACCACGAAAGGCTGCTTCAGCGGGCCGAGGAGCATTGGCACGGGAAGCCTCAGGGGCTGAGCTTTGAGGCAGTGATCTGCGGGGTCGTGGCATTGGGATCGTTGTTCAACGGCGTCGAAGAGGCATTGATTCAAGAAAAGGAGTCGTGGGCAGTGCAGCACGCGAAAAGCATCCTCGAGGACTACGTCGTCGGCCGGTTCCCGACCATCGAGCACGTGGCCGCATACTTCCTGCGCACGTTGTACATGCGCACCACGAGCCGACCGCATCTCTCTTGGCTCTGCAGCTGCACGATGATGCATCTCGTCGAGGCCACAGGGCTGCAGCACGGGCCCGACGGCTTCATGCTGGCGCCCGGCAGGGCCCCGCCGGACACGGCATCAAGGCAACCGTACAACCCGAGACGCACCGCGCAGGTAGCCGAATGTCTGCAAACGCTGATCGCCTGGGACTATGGGCGGTCCGTGATGAATCCCACGCTGCACGCCCGGCAGGAGGACTTCTCCGCCACCTTCAAGACCGATCTTTCCTCCCAACTCTGTACCTTGGTTCAGGCCATACCCGTGAGCACGCCGGGCCGAGAAGTGGGCGCAGACGCGGAAGATCAGGTATCCGCGCTGAAGCAGATCGTCCGTATCGAGGTCGATCATGACTTCCTGGTGCTGGTAAAAGCCGATCTCGTTTTCTGCTTATACCGCCGACTACGCCTGATTAATTTCCAACTGCGCTCACAGCAGATGGAGGAGATCGTCAACGCGGGCACGGCCGCGCTCGCTCCGGCACAAAAACTGGTCTTTCTGGGCCAGCCCTGGTGGAATGTCCTGGGCACCGTGTTTCAGTTTGTCTGCGTCCTGCTGGCACTGGACACGCCGGACAGTCTGGCTGTGATCCCGCGCGCGATGGAGACCCTGCAAAGCATTTCCGACCGACTCAATACGCATTTATCTACGGAGGCGCTGGCTACAGTCCGGCAACTCGTGCGCGCATCCGTGAATAAGAAGCGCAAGGGCATCGACCACCTCGAGCGTTCGCTGGGCGAGGGCAGCCTCGGTCTTGGGGAAGACACGGTCATCCCCACTGCGCCGGAGGATATCTCGTTCTACCCTTTTGCGCAACCAGATGCGATCGACCTGGACTTTTTTCTGAATATGAGTTTCTAGCAGGATGCTTCGAGACTCGAGCGTAACTTGGCCCCATCATCGCTAATGTAGAGTCGTATCAACCCGCTTAGGCATCGTCCAAGGCCCGAGTCGTCGATGCGATCTCTTCCTTCGTAGTGAGAGTTTCACGCACTCACTCTCCGTGGGCTGGTAGGCAGCGGCAGCATGCGGTGCGACGCAATAATGTCATACATGCAGAGAATACGCGCGTAGGTGCGTGCATATCCCGGGCGACAACCGGGTATCTCCTCCGAGCGGTCCGCTTTCCGGGGCACATGGCCACCCGTTGACACCTATGCGCTTACAGACAGCCGTCGTGTAACTATAGCGCTCAATCTGTCCACTGCTCATGCTCATGCCATGTGTTGTGTGACAGCATCAAAGCACACGTGTGATTGACGCGGATAGCCTTGACCCCGACATTGAACCAATCGGAACCGAGCCTTCCGAGTCGCCGTCTGTCGTTATCAATCAATCAGATAAAGAAATCACCCACCAATCAAATCCCTTCAGGAAATATCTCACTTTCTGACAACTCCGACCGAGACAACCCTCTAAACCCCGAGACGAATTATATCCGAGATTAAATAACCGCGGCACGCCCGCCTCGGAGCTACGACGCAGTCTGACATGCTACGCGACTCCTCTTTTCCTCCCCTCCCTTACACCCGATCAACAGGAAATGCAATCCAACCCCCCATCTCGGATCGCCAAATCCCCTCGGCAACCGAGCTCGGACAAGCCCAAGCGCAGACGCAAGGCCCTCTCGTGCTACGCCTGCCGGCGCCGTAAACTCAAATGCGACCGCGAGGTCCCGGCGTGCGGGCGGTGTCGGAACGGTGGCATCGCCGAGTCGTGCTCCTACAATGAACTCCCCTTATTGCCGGAGGAGGAGCGGTCCGTCTTGTTGCACAATAGTGCGTACACGTTGCACAGTCCCCCGCCGGCGCGGGCGCCAGTGCCACAGGTTCATTCTGTCCGAGGGCCGGGGCTGGAGCACCCGGCGGTAGATCAGGCATCCCCCGAGACGAGGGTAATATCGCTAGCGGCGCCGCAGAACGCAGGGAGCTGGCAGTTACTCGGGGCGTCGTCGTCGGCGACGGGGATCAATGAGGAGCGCCCGTCGATCCGCAGTAACGTTGCCGATGACAACGATGGTCATGATTATGGAATCGGGCCCCCAGGGTCCGGCGGGGAGCGGCTGCGGGTGCAGACGACGATTCTGCGGGGCGAGAATTTCAAGACCCATTACTACGGAAGTACGAATCCAATCAGCTTGATTTCTCATGTGGGTATTCACTCTCTTAGTTGTCACTGTGGCAAGAAGCCTGGCTGATGTATGTCTTGGGGCCAGTTCCCCGAGCTGCGATCGTTCATGAAGGAGACGATCATGCAGCGCACCTCCCTGCCCAGCCTGCAGCGGGAGTTAAAGGCGCTCCAGGTGAAATGGAAGGGCATGCGGGCGGACCTGCTGCCGCAGCATGAATGGGAGCTCGTCGGGCTACTCCCGGACCCGGAGACCATAGACGCCCACGTGCAGCTCTACTTCGACACCTTCGAGACCGTCTACCGCATCCTGCACTACCCCAGCTTCATGCGGGAGTACGAGACGTTCCGCGAAGACAGCCGCGCCGCGCGGCCGGCGTTCGTCGTGACGCTGATGCTGGTGCTCGCGTGCGTGGGCTGCCTCGCGGCGCCCGCGGCCCAGCAGCAGCAACAGCCCAAATACATCGGCGACAGCGCGATGGCGCGCGAGCGCGCGACGCTCTGGATCGAGGCGGCGGAGGCGTGGCTGCCCCGCCAGAGTCAGAAGCACATCTACCTGGCGATCTGGCAAATCCGGTGCCTGCTGCTCGTGGCGAAGATGGTGAACGTGGTAAAGAAGAAGCGCACGTGGACGGCGGCGGGGACGTTGGTGCGCGAGGCCATGTCGGCGGGCTTTCACCGCGACCCGACCATCCTGGGCGACCGCGTGTCGGTCTTCGACCTAGAAATGCGGCGCCGGCTGTGGGCGACAATCCTGGAGCTGGAGCTGCAGATCTCGACGGACCGCGGCATGCCGTCCGCGGGCGCGGCGCTGACCGCGGACACCGCGCCGCCGCTCAACATCGACGACGAGGCGCTGGCGGTCGACGCGGCGGCGCTCCCGCCCTCCCAGCCGGCCGAGGTGTACACGGCGTGCTCGTTCCTGCGGGTTGCAGCGTCTAGTTTCCCGCTGCGCACCGCCCTGAACTCCCTCGTCAACGATATCCACGCGCAGTCCGTGTACGAGGAGGTGCTCCGCAGCGAGGAGCGGATCACGGCCGCGCTGCACAGACTGCCCCGGTGGCCCGACGACGACACCCGCACCCCGGGGGTGTCAGCGCGAGGGCGTAACCCAGCCCTGACCCGCGCGCTGCTGGACATCCAGCTCCGACACTTCCTGATCCTGCTCCATGCGCCCTTGGCACGCCAGGCGGATACCAATCCGCGCTATTCGCTCTCGCGGATGGTGTGCTTCAACGCCGCGTTCCGGCTCATCGACCAGCACCGCCAGCTCACCGAGGCGGGGAACCACCTCCTGCTGCTCCTGCGACACGACTACTTCAAGAGCGCGCTGGTGATCTGCCATAATATGTACATCGCTACCAGCGTGCACGGTACGTCAGCCCAATCTTTCAACTTAGACTTCGAGGAGCAAATAGACTGATAAAGCAGGGAAGACAACCTCCTCCTCCAATCCAACAGTACCACCCTGATCCACTACATCGAGGCGGTCCTGCACCTCCTCGAGGAGAAGACCACCCGCTTGGGCACCGGGTACACGCACTACTGGTACATTGCGGCGGCGGCGGCGTTTCTGCGGTCGCGGATCCCCGACCCGGCGCACCCGGCGGTGCAGAAGGAGGAGGCGATCTACGAGGTGGTGCGGCAGTATCATCGGGTGCTGGCGCATCAAGAGGATCTGCGCAAGGCGAAGGAGCTTCTGTTTCCGATGCGGCTGGTTACGGTGGGTGGTTGCCCTTCCCCTCCATCCTCCCAGAACAACTGGAAGAAAAAGAGCGTGTTGGCGAGTGTCCTAACGATCGCATAGATGAACCCACCCGATAATACCACCACCACTACCCAGCTCCATCTACCCCCGGACTTAACCGGAGCGTCTCTCCTCGACCCGGACTTATCCCGAGTGAGTTCGCGCCCTTCCTCAAACCTTTACTTTCAACAACACCAGAACACCCCAACTAACCAGAACACAACAGCCAACCTTCAGCCAAGAAGACCTCTCCCTCGAAGAATTTTTCTTCGGCAATCCCGCCGCATGGACGTTCGACAACCTCTGGGCGATGGAATAAACCATCCATCCCTTCCATAGGTTACCTTAATTGCATACTGATAAGACTCAGCCAATGACTTTTCTTTTTCTTCGGATTTTTTTTTCTTTTTGGTTTTGTGCCGGTGACAGATAACATCAACCACAATCCCAATCCATGGGCGCCGGCTGATCTCCGAGATCCGGGATCTCCGGTTCGGGTCTAGTGGCCGTGGCTTATCACTGCCAACAATCCGAACCAGCAACCAGCCAGCCAAGCCGGCAGGCGAAAAGAAAAAAGAAGAAAAAAAGGGAAAAGTGAAAAAGCAAACCCGGGAGTTCGGGATTCTTGCCTTTTCGGCAAGCGATTTATGAGATCTCCGGCTTTTTGCTTTTTTCTTCGGTGGGTTGGGTAAATCTTTCGAAGAGGGGCAGGCAGGCAGGCAGATGGGGGTATATAGTATGCATGCAGGATTGCAATCAATTTGAATGAGGGTCATGTGAACAGGTTTAAGGATGGAGGATGGAGGGTAAAGGGGAGGGGAGGGGCAATTCGATTGCATAATGCCAACGCGCGGAGCTATCGACTCTGTTAACTACGTTGTCCAGAGTTGTAGACTAGGCATAACCTAACCCTCAGGGTCCATCCATCTTCTAGAGCATCCAGTACCCGACGGGTGAACTCCACTCCACATTCTAGACAAGAATCAAGAAATTGAACACCCGAGCCCGAATTTGGCCTGCGCAGTCAAACAGGGAGGAATAGAGCCAGAGGCAAGGAATCCCGACCGTTGATTCATAATACTCCCGACCCTCCCGCTGCAATCGCAATTTAGGCAACGCCATCCGCGTGGGCATCGCAATCTCGGTGATTGGGCACGCAGGAGTCAACAGGAGCATGGAAAGGGGGAACGGGAGGGAAGGGGAAGGAGAAGGGGGGGGGGATTAAGCTCAGACCTCCGGTGCGTCTTTGCGCAGCAGTCAAACTACGTAGTAGACTTCACTGTTATTCTACTGTGCAGTGTGAAGACTGGAGAACTAGCATAGCACTGCACAGCACTAGCCGCCGTCGCATCGCGCACAACCAGAAACCACAGCAATGCAGGAAAAATAGACTCGTTCTAGATCGCCATCGACTCACACGAGCTTACTAGCTAGGTTTTGACGCAACCAGAGAAAACGTCCGTATGTGGCGTGCCGACTGTCGATAGTGTCCCTACGGAGGACGGAGTATAACTTAAAGGCCTGCTTGTTCCCCGGTGATAGAGTTTCGCAGGCCACAAGAGAAAAGAAATCACGCATCCAAACAATAGACGCGATGCATTGACCATCGGGGAGGAAGGGAGGAGGGGCAATTGCAAGCCACCTGCCCACTCGAGTAATCGCTTCCCTCCACTGCTTTTGCCCAAAGGAGCAGGTTGTGTCGCCATGAGTCAAGTTGAAGCGATGCGATGGATGGATGGCGCATAGGGTAAAAAAAATAAACAAAGCTACCCAGCGTTGTGCGCGTGGATTACATAACTCGTCAGTGCCACGCCGACGGTAAGCGGGACGAACTGTGGTTTTTTTTTTTTTTTTTTTTTCCTTTTGCCTTTGCGACCGGAGTTGGCGCCAGAATATGGAAAATATGAATAAATACAGGTGGACGGAGGTTCATATAGACAAACAGATAGTATAGATCACAAACTGTAGGAGGGGGGTTCACCGAGTTATAAGCCACCAGCAGAGGGCTGCAGGCTGCAGGCTGCAGATTACAGAGAAACAAATCATCTCAAGCAGGGAAGTACGGTTGAGCGAGTGTCGATCTTGCTGATCGGAAACTCCCATGCTGCAGGTAGCTTGCGAGCTGCACAAGACACGCTAAACCGGTTTCTTATCGAGGGGCCGATTCCGTTGGCCGATCCGAGGATGGATTGACACCTCCCCCATCCCGAAGTTGATAATGCATCACCCTCACAGACCACACACACTATTGATTGTGGATGGTGGAATGGGGTTTGCTTTCTGACGCCATCACTCAAGTCTAAGACTCAGTCTAAGACTCTCGTGGAATAGTCCTTGGTCCAGGCACAGGACGCAATTAGAAGAAATTACGCACCAGGATCGCGTCAATTGACCCAGTCGGTGGTGAATGGCGGTGACTCAGTGACTCAGTGTCAATCTGGCCGCTCAAAATTGCCACTCTGATGACACCATCTGGTGGAGGGGGAGGAAGGGAGAGGGGGAAGGAGGGGCACCAGCAAAGAGAACGTCAGCACTACTGTAGTGGAGTTGTTGACTCTAGGCCAGAGACTCGTACACCTGGTGAGTTGTGAAGGTGATCGAGCTGTCGCGTCGATGCTCGAGACTTCCAGGTTTCATAGCCACACAGAGAGTGCTCCACCCGGCCCCGAAAATAAAAAAATGAACACCAAATGCATTATGAATCGCTTATCTGACCCACGTGCCTGTGCACGGACATTTTTCCCTCTTCAGGTGTGAGGAACCTTATTCACTGGCTGGTGAAGTCTTTGCTATCAGTCTATCACACCCGGTGCCTACCTGTGCCTGTGTGCCTGTATCGCATGGGCGTGAAACCACTCGCTGATTGGCAGTGGCCCTGGCCGTGCATTATCATTAACGTTTCATGCTCCATTGTCGCCGAGTGGTTCCTGAGCAATTTTGTGCAATTGGGCAGTGGCGGTCGAGGGGTTTGCCTGCCTGATGGCAGGGCTGGAACAGTCGGCCACTGATGGGCGGATCCACTTACTGATCCACCGGGGAAGTTCTAGAGCCCTAGCAAGCAGACTTTTGCTCACCCCATGACCTACTCGCGCTTTTCTTATCGCAAGCTGGCTTTCCTTCCCCCCTGGCACCCTATATAGACTCGAAGGTCCGGCAATCATGGAAAGGGAAAAAGTGACAACCAAGCAAGCAGCTCTACGTTTCCTTCCCCCTCCAAACCAACACCAATCCACCTTGACTCTCCCCGCCCTTTGGGTGACGGAGTAGTGCCTGCGTACATACACACCACCACCACTATCGAGTCTCTCGCCCATTAAAAATCCACCAAATCTCAACCTACAATGTCCTACACCTCTTCCTTCCTCTTCACCAAAACGACCCCTCCTCCACCCGTGCGCCCTCAGCGTCGCTCCCCCTTCGCAACCAAATCCTCGCTCCATCTTCACCTCTGCCTCGTTTCCGGCGAGAAGTATGAACACGAAAGCAGCTCCAAGCAGCCCGATCTGCGCCGGTGCCTCGGCCACGCCCGCGTCCATGAGAAGTCCATGGAGCTCGTCAAGCGGGACATCCAAGTCCACATCCGCTCCATGGGTAGCGACAGCGACGATGACCTCGACAACGACCTGCCCATCCCACCCCGGCGCTCCCGCCGGGGTTCCAAGCCCTCCTCCGCGGCTCCTGCCCCGATGAAGTCGGCCGCTGTCAAGTCGACCGCCGTGAAGACCCCGTCTATCAAATGGGCTCCGGAGCCCACCGAGAAGAAGAGCCTCCTCGACAAGGGTCGCCGGTGCATGGAGAAGATTTTCTCCCGCCGGAGTGGCAGTGTGCACTGGTCTCAATCTGGAGTGCCTGTTGTCGCCTGTTGAATTCAACCCACCTAATCTTCGCTCGTTCTCGACCACGTCTCATCGCCTTTGATCAACTCAAGCAGTCCCCGACCACCCATCACGGTCCTCACCAGACCCAGGGAACCACGCCGTGTCCGGCGTCTCTCCACCTCCGACTCCATCGGCAATCCGTCTGCTCCAATCCAGACCGACTCCTCCACGGGATCACTCATATCTCCCTCCCGTCAGTACAACAGCTACTGGCGCGCTTTCATCCGATCGAAAGCTTTGAGCATCCTCACCGTCTCGGACAGACTACCTCCACTTATATCCTCTCTCTCTCTCTCTCCTTTCCTTTCCTCCTCATCATCATCATCACCTCTCTCCTCCTCCATGACGAAGCAGAGCTTCAAGATCACGGCCTAAAAGTCCCTCATCTCCTTTTTTCTTCCTGTCCCCTTTGTTCCACTATCTCGGCGTCATCCATCCTGTCTAGCGTTCACTCCTGTTATTAGAATATACCACCTAGAGCGTCCACGTCCTATAGATCATAGATCAGACCTTCCCCTTGCCGTGCAAGGGACGAACCAATAATGAAGAATATACTATCAAACACAACATTATTCCTCCTGCTAGCCACCAAGCCCCCCAATCCCAAGCTCAATCACCGATCGCACCTAGATCCCCACTAAGCAAACCTCCTATGCAATCTTTGGACGAATACGAAGCCGAAACGATTCTAGACCTTCTAGAACATGATAAATCAATCATCGCCGAAAATAGCTTCCCCCAAAGCCACACATCCCACAAAAGGGGAAAGGGGGAAAGGGAGGAGGCTGCAGTGGAACCCGCAACCGGGTCGATCGGTCGGCCACGGGGCGGAGAGTCCATCCAGCCCGGCAAATTGGCGAGACCGGATCGCCGCGGGTAAATTCCACTTGCCAATCGGGGTCTCGTTGTTCCGGGATTCTGGCCGCACGAGTGGGGCCACGGGGAAGGATTGCCGCGGGGACGGGACGGCCTCGCTTGTGGTTTTTCCGGCGGGCTTGCGATTATTGAGTCATTGTGGTTATCTACAAGGAAAAGCATCCCTACTCCTTATCATGCAGGTGCTATTCTTAGTCTTGTTGTGTATGGCTTCAAGTCTCTCGGTGAAGTCACGGATAGGCGCTGGAGCTATTGAGGGATGGGCCCGGTCCTGGGGTGCTCATGTGATAGTACTGGAGAAAGGAATACCTACTGAGTATTGAAATGATCGACTAAGGTTACGTAGTCCGCACCCCTGCTCGGATTCCATGATCAACGGACATGATGTGTACTGTACCTGGGGCTGTGGTTTAATGTGTGTGGGGTAGACGCCGCGGAACAATCATTGATGGTGTCATTCCAGCTGAAACAGATTGCCGGATCTGCAGGGTCGGATTTTTGACGATCCGGTGGGGGGTTTACGGTTGGTTCGTGGTGGCTGTGATGGGATTATTATAGAACACGGTTACCATAACGTTCGGCAAGGGGATAGCTGACGTGCTGGGGTTGCCACTGTGGGACGGTGGTTTTATTCACAGTGCAATTTTGTTGACGAAGCCCGCGTGACGTGAGATATATATAGTATGCGAGGGACTATGGGGTAATGACAAAAAGCGTTTGTGTGCAAGCAGAGTCACGTCACTTGGGCCCAGATGGGGTTATCGACGGGCTATAACCACCGATCCACTGAGCTTTAGTGACAGAATGGCCATTCGAGTACAAGAATAAACGTTTTGGTCGGATCAAGGACGTGTTGAAGTCAGGGATAGTTGAAGCCCGTCCCTCGAATGGTTCGAGGACAAGTTGACTGGATTGTCTCTTTTGGTCAAGCTACATTCGAACGGCCTTTCGAAACTAGATACATAGATGATACTGTCACAATTTCGGCATCTTGACTTGACTAGATGTGTGTATGTGATTACGAAGCCCTGTGGAAAGCATCTTGGCTAAAAATAGATCCTGTATGCATTATTTATCCGCCCCGAGCGGACGGCAGAGGCAGAAAACGGCCGGCAGCCGGCAAGAACTTTTTTCCCCAGCACCCGAGGGCGCTTTCGCTTCCGCCTCTTTGCAGTCCTGCTCCCGATTTTTTTCCTACGTATTTTGTTGTCTTGTGAAACCCTAGTACTCTGTCCTTGACCGGTAGAAAGGCCAAAAATGAGTCGTCTGCCTGGAGACTGTCCTGCGGATAGAGAATCATGGTCTTGGACTAAACCTTCCTCGTCAACAATATATTGCCCGGTGTAGACATCACGCGCCGCGTTGCCGCGGACTGATAGGTTATGATATAGTCTAGGGTGTCAAATGTGTCGTTCATTATCCATGCATTCAAGACCCTGTTTGTGGTGGAGTGCGACGGCAGTCCAGGCGAATGATAACCGGCCGCTTCTACCCGGTTTCCCACCTAGGACCCTTTACGGGGCCGTGGCCATGCATTGTGCAGTCTTGGAAAAAGGTTCAATTAATCTCACTAAAATCTTACTGCAATTTCGCAGGTCAATGACGTTGACAGAGTACCTCACTTAGCCAGAAGCGAGATGCTCTAGAAAACCTTGCTGATAGTAATTTTTCTGGTCACCACTGCTGGATATTAGGGGGTAAAAGATCACTGCTAGATGTCGCAAAGCATAGTAAGTACAATATGACGATTATTCTACAGCAGCAAGGGTGTACAAGTAGCCGTTTTGTAACGCTGCACCTACTAGCTAAACTAGCATAGTGACCAAACTAAATTAGACCAGACTAGTACTAATAATTCGATCTTATATATAACATTGTGCCCACCTCGCGCGGGGGCTATTATTCATGTGCTTTAATTCTACCTAAAAGTTCATCAACAGGTGTTGTGTTGGGTGACAAGATCGACCTCTCCGATGCTGCATAACGTGTTTCGCATGTAGGCTTAAACCTGCTGGAATCGCGTTCAGACTAACAGACTGCGCCCACTAGCATTGGCCTCGGCCTGACCGTCTACTCATTTCTTCCTCAACAGCAGCTCACCCATTCTAGCAAGGACACCTCAGGCCTGTCGCTCTTTTCCCTCGTCCTCAACACCGTCTGCGCTACGGAACAGTTTCTCGTCGGTCTGATCTACATCAACCTACCCCATGGCGCCGACTTCTTCATCGAAAACCCAAAGTCCTGGGGCGACTGGCTGAACTTTTGCCAACTCGCCACTGTCTGGGTACTTTTCGTTCTCCAGTAAGTAGTGCGACTGGTTGAATCCCCTCTAAGGCTCAATGGCCACTCGAGACTTTGACACACCATAACTGACGCCCAAAGATTGGGAATGTGTCTCTGGTACCCATCCCCGGGACTATCCCGCGGACGAAAGATCTACGCGGCAACTCTCTACGGCATCTTCCTCGCCATCTCCCTCGCACCAGGGGCGTTGCTCATCGTGTTGCTCCACCAAGACCCGGACGTCGATTTCACACACGCGATCTTCAGCGGCTGCCATCTTTTGTACGTCAACCCGGCGGTGCCGTGGCTAAGTATGGGGGCGTTTCTGTCTCAGGTGATCACCTTGCTTCGCTCAGGGCCCCAGCACCGAAGTGGCATCAGTGTGCGGGGGCTGGGTGCTCAGGCGGCCGTGTTTCTGCTGCTCGCGGGGACCTTTTCGGGTCACCTGTCCACCTTTCCCAAAAGACTATCCGCTGCCTTGGCCGTTGATCTATGCCTGGTTCCTGTGGGTGGGGTGGCCGGCGGTGGACAGTCTGATTTTCGCGGTCGGACAGGGGCTCTTGTTCTTGCTGGCGGCGAGGAGACGTGCTGTTGTCGGCACTTTGGAGGCTACCACAGGGGAAACTGAGCCTTTATTGACAAGCAGGTAGTGAGGAAGGCCTTTTGTGTAGAGGACAGTACGATATGCAGGCCACCAGGCTAAGAAGGGTTTCACCAGATTTGCACCGGGTACCGCACATTTGGGTCGGCTGTTCTTGGGCAAATCCGCCCCTTCCCTGGCTAAATCAAGACAAACGCTGGATCTCATAAGGGTGAAGGAGACTTCTAGTAGAAGTCGGTCTTCGATTGTAGACTCCTTGATTGAGATCCGTCCAGCTGTTTTCTTACCACTCCACCCCTCGGCCCCCTTCAATCCTCACCCTCGTTTTGGTCAGGAATACCGTATCCTTCACAACTACAGAAAAAGCCCAAGTCAATTCTGCCACCAATACTCAGCGATCGCAAGTGACCAAATCTTAACGGTGTATTTGTTTGTCATTGCAGAAGCAAAAACAATCAACTTTAAGCACATGTACTGCTCGGATAATACTCCGTATCCCGGAGAATTCCCTACCTGCGCAGCCCTTCATAGGTCAGGAGCAAGGGATCGGCAACCCCAATCGAAATGCTGCATACCATACTAGCACGGGTGATTGGCTGGGTAGGATGGGGAGTCTGTTTCCGCACGGCTCCTTGATCTCCCTGGAGCCATGCGGGGCCCAGAAGCCCCCCTTGGTTTGGGTTTAAGTGACACAAAGTATGAGGACCAAATTGCGAGTTGCATACTTCCGCATATGGTAGACAAAACACACACAAACAGCGAGATTTCGCGTCGAAACTACTTCCAGTCTCATTACTATAAATCCGCGCTGAATGCATGTGGCAAATTGTAAAATCATCAATCGCATCGACGTCGACAACCGCCACCACCACCACCACCACCACAACAACAACAACAACATCGACTCCACTAACCTAATATCGCCAACATGAAGTTCGCCCTCTTCCTGTCCAGTGCCTTGGTCGCCATTGTTCCCGCTTTGGCTTACTCCTCGACTCAGGTTAGTTCACTTCCACCGGAGAATCACTATGACGGGACTAACATCCACGCAGGCCGGACTTTTCGCCCAGGACCACTTCACCGGACCTTACGTCCACAGCAATGGGGATGGATCTTGCATTACGACGTAGGAGCAGTCTTGTTTGATTACTGTGGAGGTGGTGCTAACATCATCGTGTATAGGCCCGCGGGTGTCATCAATTCTGTTGAGCTGATTCCTGGCATGACATGCCAACTGTATCGGTACGGGTTTAACTGACGTCCAGGTTGGGCGATTTCTCTTTGCTTTGACTTGATACTGACGCCTTGGATTCTACTACAGCGAGCCGAGCTGTGCTCAGGAGGCTATCCCGCTCAAGCGCGACAGCGCCTCGCTCAGATACGACATCGGAGCCCCGGCGCGGAGCGCCCGGTGCCTGAAATAGATCCTGGTTAAGACACCACGGTGGACTTTTCGAGATCAGATCGAAACAGGTTCTCTGTACCGATAGCTTTCTGTTCTTGTAATAATTGAAATCCCTTCTTTGTCCGAATCTCTTGACGGGCTGCTTTTGCCTAGGCGCGACAGACCTATTTGACGAGAAGAGCGGATCCCTTGGACTTTTTTCCTTGTTGGATATCTCAAAAGAGTGAAATTCCGAGCATTTCGACGTCATTGCGACTCCTAACATGATTCCGTCGGTTACCCACATATCACCGCACTATGATCGGAGAGAGTGATTGATGATGCATAAGCACCACCGTAGCGTCCCGAGCCATGTAGTCATCTGTAATGCAGCCGCTGTGCAACCTATGGGCGGCCCCGTTACACAAGCACAAGCTAAGCCCTATTCAAGCCAGCCTTATAGTGGTCCAAGCTTAATATATTGTGTGACTCACTCGGCTGTTAGCGTCAGCCTCATCCGACCTCACGTGCAATCGTGCAGAATGTACACGCATCGCAACACCACGGAAAAGGATACACACCGCCGCCAGTTTCCAACTCACCACCAAACCACTCTCTCAACCATGCATCCACCAACACCATCCAAAGCCAGCCATCGCGCCCTCTTCCTCCCCGAGATCCTCACCGAGATAATCGCCTGGATTCACGCCGACACGCTCAACACCTGGCCCGCCACGCGCTCTCCCTTACCCCCAGAAATCACCCCCACCCCCTCCCCATCCACCGATGCCTTCACCAACCCCATAACTAAAGACCGACAACTCAACTTCGAAGACGGCCCGGCCTCGGACTCCAAGACCACCTGGGACGAGGACGCAGACGAGCCCGAAACCACATGCCACTACACCCGCACCGGCGCCCTGTACCGTTGCGCCCTCGTCAACCGCCCCTGGTCAGCCGTGACCCTCCCCGTGCTCTGGAGCGAAGACCTCGAATGCTCGTACAGCAGCAACGACCTCCCCGACCGACTGGCGCGGATCGCCGACCCCGCGCGCCGACAGGTGTACGCTGCGATGGTGACGCGCGCCCGCCTCGTCACCGTCTCCGAGCCGGTCGCGCAGGGATACGGCGCCGCTCTGCGCGAGGTCGAGTTCCCCCGGCTGGAGTCTGTCACCTTGGTGTGTCCCGGGGCGGGAGGGGGTGAGTTGTCGTACGTGCCGCCGGTGCGGGGCGGCCGGGTCAGGGTGCTGGAGATCGATCCGCGATTCGAGTCGTGGCCGGATACGTACTGCGTGCGGCATGCGGAGTGGGAGGCGTTGTTTGGGGAGATTCCGGTGCGTTGCGTTGTCTTAATCTATCGGAAAAACGATAGCGATGGCGGATGAGCTGACTAGGTGACTTCTGGGACATGTAGACGATATTCCCGAATGTTGAGACGGTGGTGTTCAAGGACCGTGCGAGGGTGTTTCCGGGGGCGCTGGAGCGGTTTGCGGAGAGGTTATCTGCTTTGAAGCGGTTGGATCGTCGGCTCGTTATTGAGAATGAGGATATTTATAGTCCCGGGTAGAGATGCATAGCGGCATGTGGGTTGTGCTGGGAGTGTGGGGAAGAGGGTGGGCGGAGGTTGGTTTAGGGCTGGTTTTTAAGGTATGTATACAAATGTACTGAGCGGGTTAAGGCTCTGCCATTCTCCGGTGGTTCATCATTTCCGAGGTTCCTTCCCCGTTTTACTCACTTTCCACGCTTTCTGACTTGGGGCCACAAAGCTGGACTTGATTTACCAACTAGTCCTACCCTTTTATTGAAAGACATTATGAGATTTTGTTTCTGATTCCTATGTCGACATTCTCGGTTAAGATGTGTCAGCCCCAAGGTTGTCTTACATTGCTTTTCAATACCACACAAGTCACTTGTAGGATTGTTGCTCACCTTACTCGACTCATCGGCGGGTGCAAGCAACCTTCTGGGATTAAGCAACTTCAGATAACCTCGTCTGTCACGAACCCTAAAACATCTCGACCTTCCACAATGCAAATACGATTTGTTTGTACAGCTACGTGACTCTTCCGAGTACTCAACATCGACGCCTCAGTGAAACATGGAAATACGAAACAAACAACACCATAGAAAAAGAAGTATCCCCATTCCACAGCCAATCACCCCCTCACCGTCGATACCACATCCGGGTTACCTTCGTCCGCCGCATCTTCTTCTGCAACTGAAACACCCCGTAGAGGGTGGCCTCGGCCGTCGCCGGGCACCCGGGGATGTACACGTCCACGGGGACGAGGCGGTCGACCCCGCGCACGACGCTGTAGCTGTAGTGGTAGTAGCCGCCGCCGTTGGCGCAGCTGCCCATGCTGATCACCCAGCGGGGCTCGGCCATCTGGTCGTAGCACTGCCGCAGCGCGGGCGCCATCTTGTTGGTCACCGTGCCCGCCACGATCATCACGTCCGCCTGCCGCGGCGACGCCCGGAAGATGATCCCCAGCCGGTCCTGGTCGTACCGCGGCATCGACACGTGCATCATCTCAAGGGCGCAGCAGGCGAGCCCGAAGCTGAGCGGCCAGAGGGAGCCCTGTCGGGCCCAGTTGACGATCTGATCGAAGGTGGTGCTTGGGAAGGTCAGCCCTGAGATCCTAAGGGAGGTAGGGTGGTTGCGTACAGAACGTGCTCGGCTATGTTCATGGGTCGTTTTTCGGTCGAGAGAGAGGTGGATGGTGATTGGGTGCTGTTGTCTGTATGTTTTGAGTGGTGGAAAGCCTTGACTGAGTAGAATGCGCGAGGGTGAAGCGGTAGGCGAGTTGAGTGCGCGCGCGACTGGAGGCATAGGGATGCCACTCCTGAATGCCATACGGGGTCAGCTGCAATCCACAACGGTTTCGAAATCGGCCCACCATTATATTTCATCCGTGCAGGGCTAATGCGTAACAGATGCATTCGAAGAGTGATAACGGAGGGAAGCTCTCACTAAGGACTCTATGATACATGCTGCTGGGTTTATGGAATTAGCAAGTAAGAGGGGATGGTGTAGTATACAATCTGATGTGGGTTTTCCGACTAGCATGTGGGATTTCCCGACTAGAATTCCGCAAGTGGTAAGGTCTTCCCGCCGGCCCCCACTTAGGCTTTTCACTTGCCCCCAGCCGTCTTCGTCTTCCTCTTTCCGCTCTTTCTTTTGTCCCCCCTCATGCACTTACTGTTCCTGCTACTATGCTCTCGAAGAAATCCCAGGTTCCAGTCAATCACAAGTCTCAAACGCTTCCGATATGCGACCCACAGACTACAGTGGCTTGTGGTGTATGCCACAAAGTATTCACCACTAAGAGCCACCTTCGTCGACATGAAGCGAGCCGTAAGCCACCCCACCCTTGCATTAGTCCTCGGGCAAATCTGAACCCTAGCTAGATGCGCCGGTGACCAAGCTCATTTGCAACCACTGTGGTGGTGCCTATCGGAGAAGGTATCAAGAACCCTAGATCCACTGGGGTCGATTCGTCTAACCTTACTCTACACCTAGGGACGTTCTACGTCGCCATCTCGGAACATGTAAGCACAATGTTGGCGACCAGAAACCCGCTGATCCCGGCAAGCCGGGAAGAAAGCGAAAGGCCTGCAACTCCTGCGCCACAGCTCGATCATTCTGCGATGGGGACTGCCCGTGCGAGGCCTGCCTGCAAAGGGGCCTGGAATGCTCATTCACTCGTCCGCATAGCCTTTCCCGAACATCCGGCTCTCCCAACGAGCCTCCAGGCCAGCAATGGCCTGCGAGCCTCGCTACATCAAGTCCAGCGGCTCCCATATCTCAGTCTGTCAAACTATCCATACCCTTCCTCTTGCACTACACTGATGTCGAGAACGAATCACGATACGAGAGTCTCCGACTACTGTCTCAGTGCAACCCCGCAGACTCGAGATCCGCATGCTGTGCCGTGAACCATCAATCCCACCACCCCCACATCATCACGGAATCCTGGGAAAGCCTGTTCAAATCGTTCATCAACACTGCTACTTTGGATCCCTCCTGCAGCCTACACCCTGCTCCCGGGGACCGATTTGACTTGGGAGCGCTCGAAAACACGTCGTCCGCGATACTATCTCTGTTGCAAAATGGCCAGTGTTCTCCACCAGACCAATTGGTGGATCTAGACAGAGCGAAGCAGCTCTTCACGCCGCTGAACATCGCCAAATTTCTTGAAGCGTTTTTCGACAACGCCTTCCACAATCACTTCATCAACCCCGCAACCTTCCGATTGGGCGAAGCATCGACGCTTCTTATCCTAACCATGGTGCTCCTCGGAGCGGTGTACACCTCCCCTTACAATGGCAGTGATCTAGAAACGTACTCAAGCGTGACCGAGCACCTGATATTCAGCGGCCCGTCTTTCCAGCACTTGATAAATCCAGGCATCAACGCCCTGGACGACCCCAGGACTCTGGAAACCCTCCAAGCCACGATGCTTGTCGTGACGCTGCAGGCGTACAAACAGAACCTGGACAGCATTCGGCGGATGCGCCTGCAACGCTTACCGGCGCTCTTCACCGCCATCCGCATGCTGAACCTGAACCGGGTCGCGAATGACTGCGTTCCCAGCATCTCTGGCCGGGACGCGTACCTGCTCCGAGAGGGGCTGGTTCGGTTCGTGGCTTCTGACCCTCTACAGAGTGCATCTCAAACTGACTAAAGCTGCACCAGGGTCATGGCCGGCATCTATCTTCTGGATTGCTATTGCGTAATCTTCTTCCGCTACCCAGCCCAGCTCCGGCTCGAGGAGGTACTCTTCGCGATCCCTGCGAGGGACGACCTGTTCAACGCCCGCGATCCCCCCGAATTCGAGCAGCTCGCCGCCGTCCCCAGCGAGCCGTCACGTGCGCCCCTCCGGGTCCGATCCGTCCTGCGCGCCCTGATGCGGGCCGAAGGTCGCACTCCGCACCGTGAAGCCTACCTTCCTAGCACGGTCTTTGGATCGTTCCTCGTTCTGTCGGGTAAGTGGGATCGGCCCGGTTCCGTAAGCTTCGCCCTCGCGTGATTGACTGACTCCAAAACGGCAGCACTCCAATGTGTCCTGTTCGATCTGCTGGCCCTGCACGCCCTCACGGACGAATCCGGGATCTTCAATGCGGTCGACCGGGGCCTGGACCGATGGAAGGCTCACTGGGATGACCTGGGCCGCGGCGCGTCGGATTCACCCAGCACGGAACGGGCCGGGTTCATCATCCATGCGGTTGAGTACTGGTGGGTGGCCAAGGCCCTCGTCAAGCATCCGTCCGTTGCCGCGTTGCCGGAAGACAATAACTACGACAACAACAACAAAAACGGCAGCCACCACCACGATAGCTTTCGTCGTCTGGTGGACCGACTGACGACGAGGCACTGATGGGGTGAGGGCATTCGGGGTCGGTGAGGATGCACTGGGGCATAAGTGGGAATTCCATTATCCCCCATCTTCTCCTAATCTCCAATTCTCCGTTTCTTCGTTGTGCTCGAGCAAAGATCTCCCACACAACTATTCATTTGTATGTGGGTGGTACAGTATAGTAACTTACTAGTACTACCTAGTACTCTAGCCCTCACTCGAAGTGGCAAAATCTTGTTGCAGTCTCCGGCCTCCTCGGATTGGTTGAGGGCAGCTCACCGCCTCGGCCGCCGTGTACTGTGTAGATACCTGAGGTAGTCCTGCAGCAAGAAAGCCTAGGAAGGACGAATGGCTAGGGTACTAGGGACGGAAGGGGTTGGGGCTTAGTAATCGAGCTGGTCAGGATTGAAATCCCTCAATATGGCATCTGAGGATCACGATAGGTACAACGCTTCGGGTCTTTGCAGGCAGACAGACCATCGAACGGTTCAATGACAGTTCAGGGTACAATACACCAACCGGTGGAGGCGATGGCATGACACTGGCTGTCCATGGGGGGCGGAGGTCAGAAAATGATTTTCCGACAGATGTGAAGGCTGGTTAAACTGTTTCACTTTCCCGACCTTGCAGATCACAAACAGACGTAAACAGACGTGTTCCGTCGATGTAACTCTCCCGCTGGGAGGCAAATCCGCCAAATTGTTGTGCGTCAGCACTCTCAGCATGGCTTCTGGCAGGAATCCAGAACCCTCTGTTGTGGTCGCCCCTTTCTACACGGTCGCATTCCCAACCATACATCATGCATCCATCCTTCACTGGGGTAAGGTGATAGGGTGCAAGCCATGTCGTGAGAAATGAACCTGGGTCTCGTCCTATCAAATAGGTAGCTCCCAGACGGAGTGCGGGAGGGTCAGCATTCGAAACAAGGAATTGTGGAAGTCTTCCCCAAGTTCTCAAGCCCAGCAGTCGGCGTGAAGACTCAATATGATCCACAACGAGGAGCAAGAAAGAGCAGCACCATCTTCGGGTGGCTGCTGTCTGTTCTGAGAAGATCGTCGTCTCGGCGAAATATCGGACTCGCGGGAGTTCGCCCGCCTTGTTGACAGGCAAAAGGCTCAGCATCATCATCATGGGAAGAGGGAGGGGGTGATCCGATGTCGGCATAAACCACTTTCAGTTGGAAAATTTGCCATGGAACAAGAAGCTTTCATGGTAATCACCATCTAACATCATTTAACGTTATTAAATCTGAGCTCAACAAATTACAAAGTAAAATCAAAAAGTCCGCGCAGTACAAAGCAACTAGGGAGCTACTAGAACAACTGCAGCCCGAAAAAAACCACCGACGCTTCCTGCTTGCGTGTATGCGGATTAGCAGCTGGACGACGCAAGAAAACGGCGAGACTACCTCTGGCTTCACGACGGTAGGTAGAGTCGCTTTCAATCCCACTCATTCATCTTTCCGTGCGAGAATCGGGTGGCCGAACATGTTCAACCTCGATCCTCTGCGATTGATTGCTTGCGAGGCGTTCGACCTCTCCGCCTCCGCCGTGAACGTTGTGGGCTTGATGCGATGACGACCCACTAACTGTGGTCTGTAGATGCGATGGCTGAACCCCTGCGCATGGCTCACTGGAACCCTCACCCCAATCCTTGTGAAGGCCAACGCTATAGAGTTTGTGTAGCGAGTACCCAATCCCTAGGGCGATTATGAAGGCGATAAACTGTGGCCTGTCGCGCAGAGGTGGCGATGTTTTATGGTCTGGACTGCGAACCGTCCCTAGGTGCACACCGCAGCCCACCATGACCGAGTGGAGCGCGAAAGATGAAAATGCGCCCGGCATCGCCGCCGCCAAACTACGGCGCCGTTCTTGACCCCCTGAGTCTTGGATTCCTCCAGCCTCCGCCTGCCCAGGGGATTGCGGGGAGCTTCGTTGGCCACTCGGGCCTTGGGCTCGGCTTTGGGTGGTTGAGCTGTTGATGGTCGGGGTATTGTTCTTGTCGCCGCGAAGCGTTCCTCTTCTCACCCAATCTTTCAGGTCCGATGGTTCCACGAGCAAAGATAAGACCCTCGATTCCTCCAGGGCATGTTGAACTCCAAGTATGGAGAACACGATGCCGACCAATAGAAAACAGTGCGTAGCCGGGTGCGTTTGGCTGGCACTCGTGTGCGAAAGTAGCGCGACGCTAGCAGCTATCATTATAGAGCCCTATTTGCGATCAGTGTTGTTCCAGAGACCACGCCAACCACATTGATGCCATCACTCTTCACTTACGCTTGTCGCAAGCAATCGGTTGTCATTCAAGAGTGCCTTTCTGATAGCCTCGGTTTCTGCATCATTGTTGAATCTTAAGAGTCTGTTCTGCGCTTCCAAGGTTGACCTGTCTCCGAACAACCATAAAAAACAGCCTACAAGCTCGTCGATGACCTTGCAGACCACCCTTTTGATTATGCCCGAACATATAGAATCAGGGTTGGTGTTGGTGTCGGTGTTGGAATTTGCCATTTTGAAAAGTGGTTGTCAGCGCCCAACAGAAAGGATAGGATCTGGGAATCGAATTGTTCTGCTTCGCCAGATCGCTGATGCTGATGATGAGGAATCGCTTATGTCTGTTTATATGCATTGGGTCAAATTTGCGCTCTTCTTCCGTAGCTGCGCAAGACGTAGTGGAGACTACGCAGGACCTGAATAGATGGGGGAGGCTGCATCGACCTCGTTTGCAGGCCGGAGCAAAGAGGCGCGATGTCTGAGGGGTTGGCGTCGCGTTCTGCTCTCTACTTGCGGCGTTTGTCTTACTCACGCATCTGCTCCCTGTTGTGAAATGACCAGAGGCGCCACTTCGGAGCATCTGCTGTGGATAGTAGTGACAGTCAGAGAAATATCAATCTTGGCAGGTCTCTGGATGTCAACAACCCATCAATGCTATCCGTGCCCATCCGCCCATCCATCAGCAGTCTTCAGCACATCTGACAGACAACATAGCATAAACTCAATATGCTCTCCGGTCTCTTCTCACCAGAGTCACCGCTATTGTGAAGGTCACAAACCGGGAAGGGTGAGGGCCTAGATGCAGTTCTTTGTTCAGGAGGCCGGCGGCCGCGGGGGTACAAACGGTACCGGGAGGGGTACACTAAGGGACCGCTCATCCCCACGGTTGATGGCATATGGCATAAGGGAGACAGACTCCCATCCTTCCCTTTGCCTGTAATTATGTTCCCATCCTTGGGGTAAATTTCTGGGGCCGCTTCACTGTGTCAATGAGTACATCGCTATGTCGGAGCGGAGAAGGTTTGATGGACGAGGCCAGGTTCACGGGCTTTTTGTCCCGCTTTCCCGGCAAGGGAACCAATTAGCTCCACACATGACTTTCAGGTCCTGGGAGTGTAAAGCGCTGCAATGTTAGCTGCAATGGTAGTAAATATTACTAGAGTAAATATTAATTTATCGTAAGGAAATAGAGCTCTACATGTCAGCTCTCCCCAACCCTTCCTTTGTCTCCCGACGTTGGGCACAAAATGTCTAGGTGCATTCTACCGGCACTTCGAAAGAGAGACGGAGTAGTTAGAGCCAACACGAAGCTCCGCTAAATTAAGGAGCGAGGAGAGCGGACTCCCTCAGAGGTCAGGCCGTCGTCTTCCTCTGTATCAACACTCTCTTCGACTTCATCATCCTCTGGGCTTCCGAAAGGCATATAATAAGCCTCACGAGCCTCCGGAACCTCGGGAGCCTCATAAGGCTCCAGGTCAATCTTCCCTTCTTTCAGAAAGACATTCGAGAACAGATCCGTCGGGCCCCCCGGAAGTGCCAACAGAAAAAGTTCCTCCAGATGACGTTCTGCAATATGTCTCAGCAGCTTCTCCACGGAGGACCACTGGGAATCGGCGCAAGGGATACCACAGAAGGGGCATTCATTCAAGAAAGAAGCCAGAAGCTTCGCAGGGTGGGCATCGGCGTCCTTGAGATGGTTGAGCCAAGCGTCAATGGAGCTGAACGTGCGTCGACACAGCGCCCACATGCAGAGATAGGGCCGCAGATCGTCCATCAGGTGGCGTCTCCACATCGATTGATTAAGATTCCGGGATAGAAATCGGTGCTCACAGTAAGGACACCGAGCGAAGAGCTTACCAGGTAGTATCCCGGGGACCGGAGGAAGCTCAATGGTGCGAGTGAAGTCGACCGTCGCGCGCGGAAGATGGCTCGATTGACCCATGATGACTCTGCGACGCTCCCAGATGAGGTTGCTGATCTGCTCCCGGAGCCTGGGGTCAGCCTGTGGGTATCGTGCCTCACAGGCTGCGTAAAGGAACCACTTGAGCTGGACGCGGTTGTCCCCCGGGAGACCGACGATTCTGGTGGCCGTGTGAAATGACGCCTTTATTGCTGCCTCCATCCACTTGTTGGCGTGCTCCCGGTGGCTGAAACGGCGTAAATGGTTCAGGAACGAGTTAAAATGGGCGTAGAGCGTGTTCCAGACCGAGTCAGTAAGCTCCTGAACCAAACACTCCCTTATAACCTTAAAGTCCTCACACAGATAGTCGTATTCGTGGCCCCAGACCCTTCTCCCAAAGTATTGCGACAACTCAAGGTCAGTCAGCCACCGGCACTCCGCCACCAAGCCCCGTACGTCCGCTTGGAACAGCCGCAAGCGTTCTAGTCGATTGCTTTTGCTTGAATGAGCGCACTCCAGGCATAGTTCCTCGACGAGATCTTCTAGGTCCCCGACGAGCACAGACTGTGTCGTCCACAAGCGCATATTGCCCTTGGCAAACAAGCGGTACATATCGCCAGTGGAAAACAAGCGGTAAGACGGTTGCGTGGACACGAGGTAATGTCTTGAGTGACACTGATCTTTCAATGGTCTGGACGTGCAGTCCTTCTACGAGCTTCACTCTTCATTTATATAGGGTGAGGCTTGCTTGCTCAGTCTGCCATTCCTTGGAAACGGACACCCAGTCCCAAACTTTCTAAGCAACGGAGGGAGAGCGGGAGCGAAAAGTGCCCATCTTATCACATCCTAACATTTGGCATTGTCTTGGTGTTACTGTGCTGTCTTCAGGAGGCATACATAGCAAGGAATCAGACGCCAATGACAACAGGCAGGGTGCCTCCACGATCCTGCTAAGCCCTGGGGCCATGCACACCAGCATGCGGTGCATTTACGAGGCAAGGAAGGCCAGAGTAAAGAGAGAAATTCCGTGTCCTACCCACAACAAAGAATCTTCAGACAGGACTGCCAGGGCTGAAAAATGGATAACAGGTGAAAATTCCGGTTCCAGCAAGCAGGATGGGAGAATTGATTACCGCAGAGTCACGGATCACCGATTTCATGTTTATTGGTGGATTGGAGAGCTCGCCGAAGACAGATCATGTGATCAGTATGCGTTTCTGTTTCTGCCGTTGTCCGCCGCTTTCTTACCTGCCCGGCCTCGCTCGCACGAGGTGCTCGAAACCGGTCGGGAAGCTTCATGCTTCGAGGATTTGTAGCCACTCAAGTAGATTGCTACTCCTTCTAGTGTCATGGTTGGTGACGAACTGGGTGCACTCTGAAAGGAGAAAATATTCTCGAATATTATGCCACACCAGCAGTGTGAGGTATCTCTGATCACGTGACCTCGGACATCACCACTGCCACAGAGACCACGTATTCGCTAGCTACACACACACGAATACACACCTTCAAGCTGTCACAAGCAGCTCCAAGCCTGTTCTTTCCCAGCACCCTTAAGCATTCTCAGGCCCTCAATTAAGCCTCCAGCTATCCTCTGCGAACGGCCACCCGCCCAGCTGAATGTTCAGTCGCGAGGTAGAGTGAATCTCCTCCGCCTTCCGCTTAAGCTCGCTCACATCCCAATTGGCCCACAAGTACTTGCCCTGCAGAAACTGCGCCTCGGAGCTGGCCAGCCAGACGTAGAAGCTCGCAGGTAGATCCACTTTAGGCCGTGGAGAATCACCCAAGTCAGCCGGCCGTCCTTTCTTTTCTTCTTGAGCCGGAGTTTCTCATCTTGTGGTCGACAAAGAGAAAAAAAAGAGGGAATGAAAGAAAAAGCAGGAAACATATCATTATCCTCAAATCCGAGTGCCTCGATGCCCCCAGCCTCGCGGTTCATCGCCGTGTCCACGACCCCGGGCTGCACATGATACACGCGCAACCCCGGATTCTCGAACCCGACCGCATCCCACAACCGGAATACCGCCATCTTGGCGACGCTGTAGGGGGCCAACCCGGGCCTGAAGTTCACGTGCGCCGCGCTGGAGGAGGTCTCAATGACGACGGCGCCGGGCGCTGCGCAGCGTAAGAACGCCTGCGCCACCCACCACGCGCCGTGCAGGTTCTGCTGGATGGCGTCTAGGGCCTGTTCGCCGGGGGCATCGTCCACGGGCACCATGGGGCCGATCATCCCCGCGTTGCTCACCAGAACATGGATCTGGCCTCCGGGACTAACAAACTGGGTGAAGGCGGCATCGACCTCGCTCTGGCGGGTGACGTCCGTGGGGGCTGTGAAGACTTCGACAGCCGGAAAGTCCTGCTGGATCGAGTCCTTGGTGTCCAGCAAAGGCTGCTCGCGGCGGCCGAGGAGGGCGATGCTGGCGGCGCCGGCCTGAGCAAAGCGGCGGGCGGTCTCGGCCCCGATGCCGGTGCCTCCACCGGTGATGAGGATGGTTTTCCCGTGCGCGGAAAGTTCGGGGCGCGAGGGGGAGATCTCCTGGTAGGCTTTGTCGTGCCACATGGCGGTTGGGGAGGGGAAGGGTGCCATTGTAGTTAGCTATTCTCGTTCTTGTCAAACCAAAAGAAAGACGAGGGGTAATAGGAGGACCTATGATAAGTACTGCACGTTGATGCTGATGCCTAGTAATCATAGAACCACTGAATCCTGACAACCCAGTGTTTATGTATCTTCCACTTCGCGTGCGTTTGTTAGGCATGGCTTCAAAATTGACAGTATTGACAAAATTGCCTCTCCGAGATAAGAAACGAAGTGTCTCGTCTAACTTCATCACGAGTATCGCGTCACAATTCGGTAGCCTCGGGACTCCAGAATCGAATAGAAGGCATCTTATTGGGTTGAAGGGTGAAGCATACAAGAGTGTTCCGCCTCGGCGCCTGAGGTTGACAAAATGTTCCGCCCGACAGACCTTTCCCAATCAGGCAGGTCCCGCCTGGCTCAGCTGTTAGCCCTAACTCCGTTGCAGGATTACCGCTTACCAAGATCGCTGACAAATGCAACAAGTGTTCAAGATACTTAGATAGGCTTTTCTCGTCGGATTCAGTATCTCATGCGGTGCAGATTAAATTAAACGAAAATGCAGAGACCGAACTTGGCTCCTACTGTATTGCGATGCGGGCGCTGCAACAAGCACTTCGACAAGGGTAAGTGTCCGTCCCGAAACCATGTATCGCACGTCTGCCTGACACTAGGGCCTTGCAGAGTCTACGCTCAAGAGGCATGGGTATTACTGTCGGTCACGGAAGAACGAGAATTCACCGCGGTCTCGCTCTTGCATGGCCTGTGCGAAGAGAAAGGCGCGTTGCGATCAGCAGCGTCCAAGATGCTACCGTTGCGTGATGACGGCCATTGAGTGCGAGTATCCAGCTAGGACTCCTCGAGACGCACGACGCAGAAGTAAACAGGTCGATGCATTGACCAGCCAGTCGATCACACTTGATGTGCCCAACGAAACTGTTAACGCAGACTGCGTATTTGAAACTAGCGATGATGTAGCGATGTATGCGGAAAATGAGCTCGGTGTATCGAACTTGGACCTCGAGTTTCTCGACCGAATTCTGCTTGGAGCCGATCACGCAACACCAGGCCCCTCCAATCTTCTCGAGCCTATGATAGACACCGAGATTGGTCAATACCCGTCCCCGGAGTCTCTGCCAGAGGCTGTTAGTTCGAGAATTCCGATGGAACAGAAGCAGCTCACGCCAAGTTTGTCGATTTCCGTGGCCCCAGCTCAGGATATCCGCTCGCTGTTGCAGCGTCCGAGACTGAATGTGGGAGCCCAGAGGACCGCGAGTCTGATTTTACACACCCTGAGGTCTTACCCTCAGATGATGCTACGCGACAGCATCCTTCCTCCCTTCATTCATCCCCACCTGATCCGTCTAGATACCGAGAGTGAGACCATGGAGCCATTGACCAACTGCATTAGTATGGTGCATATGACCAGCGGACCAGTGAGAGGCAATCGCAAGTTATTTTGGAAGAACGTTCATTGGGAATGTGAGCGACTGTATGCAGAGGTACGCTGTCTGTATATCAATCTTTCCGTAATGCGACGGAAGAGTCACTGACAGAAGCATGAAGCACGCGAAGCTGAACAAATGGCAACTACTTGCCGCGATGCAGGCTCTATCCATTTATATTATCATGAGACTAGAAGAGGGTGAGACCGAGCACAATAATGTTGATTTTTTGTTGCTCTCGACCGTGACGGTAGGCCTCACCAATGGTTCATTGTCCATGGTTGAGCTCTAATGCTCAGAGCAGGTAATTGCCAGACAGGTCGGCGAAAGCAGCTTTACCACCAACACCGAAGAAGAGGGTAAGAGCGACCACGCTTGTGTGTCATGGAACGACTGGCTCTTTGAGGAATCGAGGCAAAGGTTTGTGGATCCCTGCCTGGAGTAGAAGGCAAATATTGATCTTCGCCAAGGCTATGCGTGATCTACCAGGTCGTGGGCATGCTGGTGTACTTCGATCCAGCCGCCATGTGCGAACATCCCACAGATCTCGTTCTATCCCCCCTTCCAGCAAGAAGACAGCTGTGGGAAGCGGGCGACGAGCTTGCCTGGAACGCTGAGGCTAAAAGGGGACCTGCGTTTAGTGAGGAGTATGGCATGGCGGCCAATGGCGACCTTGTGCAGCTCAGTGTGAACGAGGTCTACTGTCAAGATACAGTGGCTCTGCAGAGGCCAGCTAGTGCCAGGGAAGCTGCGACATGGGAGGATTGGTGTTCCGGTATGGATGGGCTGGGTGGGCTGGTCATGCTTGCTGCTTCGCTGGTGGGATAGTGTTTATAATCGCGTTATTGGGTAATTGCCATGTATGTCACCATGTCACGACCTAATAGTATGTTGCGCAGCCGGAATTTATTCCCGCAGGATGACTGCGCCAATGAGTCAGCGGCACCTCACTGTCTCTTCTCGCCTTTCTTTACCTTTTTTCTCCCAACATCAATGCTTCGCACTTACTCGTCACAACCTTTGCTGTTCAGCACTTCAGCACTTCAGCAGATCATCTCTTCTCAAGTACGCCAGACATCTTCATTTCGAGAGATCGAGTGCCAAGTGCCACTTGTTCTCTCCTACTTCTCAAAATCTACAAGCTATCTCTGTTTTAAGTCAACGGCGCAGAGGCGCCAATACAACTATTGTCGTTTCTTTGGAGTCCTTACTCCGCTACAAAGCATGCCGCCATCTCCCTTCGGACAGCTGGGCGAGTTGCCCCTGGACCTTCGACTGGAGATTTACGAAAGACTATTTTGGAAGCCGACACCATCCGTGAGCATTTTGTGTTGCTCTCGCGCGATCTACGAAGAGATCACTGGCCGCCTCTATGGCACCCTCGACATCGACCTGACACCATCATGGCACAGCTCTCGGCTTGAGATTTGCTGCAAGGCACTGCGATTGCACTGGAAGATACAAACGTCTACCGCCGCCATTCGCGATCGCTTCTCTCGACTCCCGTACCACAAGACCAACCTCCGAATTCACATTTATGCACCGGATCCCCTCGACCCCGGACAGCTCGTTCTACTATGGATGTTCGTGAAGACTCTCGCGAGCTTTCTCAAAGGAGCGACCATCAAATCGATGACCATATATCTACAGGAATATAACGGGAATGATTGGCAGGACGCCGGTCGCGCGGTGGAGAGCATCCAGTATCCAGGGACCCGGCAACCCGACCACAACATCGTCTTTCTCCCGTTCTGTCAGCTGTGCAATGTCAAGAGCCTCCACATCGTCCCGTCAACCCGTCGCATGGATCGTGCGATTGACTGGGGCTTCATAAACTACGGTCGCGATTTCATCCTCAACAACGGACACAAGAACTACAACGATGGCCCCCTCAGCCAGGACCCGCAGTACCGCGACGTGGTCCCCCTCTTCGACAATCTCGACGGTACGATACGCGACATGCAGTTCTTTCTGGACACCCACTTGGACCTTTTGCCGGGAGATACCGCGGCCATGCTTCGCTTGGGCTGCGCGAGCCGGCTTTCCACGAGCACATTTCCGAGACACCACCGGGAGCTTTTCCTGACGCTGCGCGAATGTCCGAAGGCGATCAAGCTCCATGACCCCGGTCTGGAAAGGTGGTGCATCCGACACTGGCATCATTGGAACATCTGTCTCAAATCAGACTGGCAATCCCTGAAATGGCCATGGGACGAATGGTGTCGGCGATATCCTCAAGGGTTGCCCCCTCTGACCCCAGAAACTGTCATCGGGTACTGGCAGGCTATTCCGAGCAATCCACGTCACGGATGGAAGAACAGAGGTGACATCGAAAGGAATGGGGAGTTCCATTTCTGGATTTGGAGCTACCTGCATCGGAATTGGGGACAACAAAGTATCAAGCGGTTGCGGTTCTTCGAGCGGGAGTGGTGCACCGATTGCCGCCACATGGGTTTCCAAGAGGGCTGCGAGGAGGGCTGCGAGCGTTTGTGTCGATTCGACTACAGGGAGGCCTGGGAAGACTCAGATGACGAAGGTGACTACTCGGACCCCGAGCTTGTCCTTTAGCACAGAATGGACTATATACGTAACCGACGGTGTTTCTCGCACAAGGTGAAGCTTTAATACACGGGACCTTTCTCTCTACAAGTTACGGGACTGGACACGGCGGCCGATAACGAGATTCGCACTGTAATACCATGGACACCGATACACAATACCGTTTACTGTTTTCATTTGTGGCACTCTTCAGCCTGTCTTACTTTCCTGAAAGCCCGTGGTTTAGCTTTTATTCTGCTCTCAATGTCTGTTTATCTAGTGTGTTATTCGTCTCTCATCACAGTCGGTGTGATAGTCGCGGCAGGGGCCAGCCGGGGCCGCTGGCCTCCCTTTCCTATTTAGCCTGTCGACTGTCATAATTGGCCTGCGTTTGTACTGGTAGTGGTAGACACTGTACGTGCTATAAGCAGCGCTAAAGCTCCTCCACCGCTCCTGCCATCAAGTTTGTCTGCCTTTCTCAGTGCACACCCTAGCTTCCGTCTACTAAGCCTAAGCTGTAACTGGGTTGCCACACATCCTACTGGAAGACATACGAGATGATGCCAAGAAGCATAGTACAGCGTTACAGGGTCAGGCTTCCGACAAGGAAGGCATTAGCATCATGACTATGAATGATCAAGCTTTGTTTGGCTTAGTAGGTAGTGCTCGATTACCATCGATTCATTTGGATGACTCTACAAGAAGAAACGACAAGGCTAGAAGGACGTGACGGAGTTCATGAAGTCAATTCCAGCTTGCACTACAGGGTACAAAAGAATGCTGGACATATATACAAAGGGAGCTTGTCTTGGCTTCCTCCTCCGTCGCCAGAGGAGTACTGAACCCCAGCACCACGGTAAGGTGCGAGCTCATTGCTGGGGACCCTAAAGGGCAGAATCAAAATCAGCATCTTTCGACAGGGCCGAATGAAGCAAGGCAATACTTAACTCGTTGCACTAGCCGCTGGTAGAGGGAGTCACATGGGGACTGGATATGACTTACCGCCCCGAAGGCGCGTGCATCATTACACCGGAGCCGGAAACCTTTGTCCAACCATCATCATCCTCATCTCTACCAGCAGCCCAACCCCCTACTGCCTCCCCTTCCTCCTCTTCGCTGGCCGTGGGTTAGTAAGCTCACGGGTGACCACTCTCCGTGCCTCCCCAAGAGCCTTGCGGCCCCTTTCCAGATCCTTGTCGTACAGAGTGCGGAGATCCTCGTAGAGTCCTTGAAATTGACGAGTATCCACATCGTTTCCAAAGGCCACGGTGGGGAGTCTTTCGGCGGCGGAGCTTCCTTGGCTACGTTCTTCGGAGTCCGGCGATCCAGAGGCACGCCTTTTCCGGAGAATGTAGGGAGTTGGATCTGACACACTGTGCCTCGTCCGCGTTTGACTGGAAACAGGACGAGAGGTGACCGGGATCCGCTCCTTGAATGTCTGGAAGACCGCGTCGACTCGATCTCCGCATTCTCTGTTGTCGAAGGCTCGCACTCGGCTTGCCTTATCTGGTCGGAGTCTGAAGTCGGGCTCGGGCAAGGGACGTGCAAACCCAGAACCAGGTTTGTGGTTGATCCAACCTTGCGTGGCGCCGTACAGAGTCAAGATCCGTTGCCAGGTGGTGTGGTAAGGGAGCTGCAGGTTTGGCAAAGCCTCGGGAAGTTGGTTTTTGTCGTGTTCAATGACCTGCTCCATCCTGGCGGGGTCATTCTGAACATCCGGCTTCCCTATCTCTGCATGACAAACCTCGTTCCGCTTGCCATACACCAAGATTGCCAGCTTCGCCATCTCGAGGTCGACATCGAACCCCTGCAGTCGGAGGCGTCGGACGCACTCCTCTAGAAGTTCGATGTTGCGTTGTCTTCCGAAGGGATCCAAGGATTCCTGGTTGAGCTTATCGCGGAATGGGGCGACTCTCGAGTTTAGGCTCCGCATGTCCTTGGCTCTGGAGATCCGTACCAGGCAGTTCCACAACCGGCCCGCGTAGTCTCCGTGGGTGAGGAGGAGGGTTTGCCACTTCTTGTCTTGGACAGGATCCAGAACGATGTCATTTGGCCTTTTAAGAAAGAACCAACTGAGATCCACCAGGCAGAGAAGTTGGACGAAGAGTGGTCACCCTGAGCATTGGGGAATGAGGACGTACCTTTAAGAGTCCTGGGCGCGGGTTAGCAAGATTTCCCTGCAAGGACTACTGGGAAGACTTACGCGGTATGCGACATGTTTGCTCCAACAAGCGTGCAGGTGGATGAAAAGATGTATTAGTGGGTCGATAAAAACTGTCTACTAACAGACAATGCTCGAAACATGGGGAGAAAAAGGAAGAGAGAGAACGCAAAGCTGAGCAGAGCGCCGGTGAAGTAAACCATCACCATTGTGTACTCCAACAAGGAAAGCGCAGGAGGGGAAGTAATGCTTCAGGGGAGGAAGGAAAGGACTACACCAGTTTCTGCCTCGGTCGGTACTCAAAACTTCAAGCAGTCCTTCTTCGCCTGTGCTTACTTGCCCGACAGGCGTCCCTTCCTTGTCTGTTTTGCGTATTCTATCACGGAAAGCAGGGTGTAGGAGGCATGCGCGCTAGGAAAGAGAGGTCTAGCAAAGGGCAATTGCTTCCGAACGAACAAAGTTCAAAAAGGCTTAGCCGTAAACATGATCTGCCAGTGCATCATGCTGGCCGTTCTATCTTCTTGGCTGGCTTTGGGCTGGATATAGAACTATGCCAGTTACTATCAGAGCTTTAGATAAGTTGTTAGCTGAGCGTGTATGTAGCAATGTTCGTATTTTTTGGAAATCGAAGGACCGCATGCTATATCGCATCTAGAGGTAGATTCGTTGTTCCTGTGGCTAGAACATGCAGCTACAGCCCTAACCGCCAGGCCTAGAGCCAGATTGCAGATATGGTTTAATGTCATGCTCTCCAAATTTACCAAGTCTTCGATTGTCAACCATAGCCCAGCCATCAGGCTTCACAATGGGTATGGTAGCATGGAGGGCATTGACAGAATTGTCGAGCTGCCGACATACTCACAAGACTCACACCATAAGTATTGCATTATGATCATCACCAGCTTCGATATCTAAATTGTGTAGTCTCAAAGTTTATAGTCTGGAAATTTAAAAACAATTGGCATTGTCGGGTCCCTAGCCTCGGAGTTCGGCTACCTAGGATAAACCTACCTAATGCATATACCTAGAGACTACTCGGAACCCTCAATTGCCCTGTAAGTTACTATAGACTAAGCACAAATCCGTAAATGAGACAGGTATTGTAGTCTTTGTTGTGCACATGATCACGTGACGCTTGCAGGCATAGTCAGGTGACCTGGGACATCCCTGCGATCGCAGCCCCTGAAACGAATCGCTATCTTCAACACGCCCCCGACACTTGCCTGCCATTACCACGTATAAAGCATCCGACCCTGGTGCAACGTAATGACTACTCGACCCGCAGTCCGCCCACTCCTCCGGGGGTCGATAACATTAGATGAAGCGTTGGACCAGGAAGAAGATATGCTGCTCGAGCTATCTTCCCCAAGTCCCGAGTGGAGTTCTTCGTATCTCTTTACAGCCGCCGCCAAGATATTGCAATGCTCGTCACGAACCATCTACAATTAGGTCGATGTGAGCAATGCTTCGTGGGAGAGGTCAAGGAGTGGATCCACGGAAGTTTCAACGTCTGCATCCCGGTTCGAATCGAAAGTCGGACCAAACAGTCGCCCAAATGCGTGATGATCCGGTTCCCTCTACCGTACAAAGTAGGCGAGACCTTAAATCCAGGTAATGTGGATGAGAAGCTATGCTGTGAGGCCGCTACCTTTATCTGCATACGTCAGCAGCAGCTTGACATCCCGATTCCTCGGCTATGGGGGTTTGGGTTCCCTGGTGGTCAGACTGTAAGCAAGCCATGCATTTCAGCTTAATAGAGAGGTGAATAAGGCTCCTGAAGCAGTTCAATATACCGGAACACATGTGTCTCATGGTGAGGATCTTCTGGTACGCCAAGCGATGCGTGTCGTGGCTGTTGGGCCGTCCTTTGTCCTGCCCATATATCAGCCACCGTCGACAACACATACTAGACCACGGCTACCTCGTCATGGACTACATCGACAAGCCAGGAGTTCAAATGCTATCGGAAACCTGGAACGAACTACCACACGCTACAAAACAACGAACCTCTACCGGGACTTATTCCGCATAATGTTGTCCTTGAGCCAACTCGCTCTACCCCGCATCGGCTCTTGGACGATCGACACAGACGGAGTCCTGCAACTGACCAACCGTCCGCTCACCCTTCGTCTGCATCAGTTGAAGAATGCCGGGATTCCTATCAATATGGATCGCAACTTGACTTATACTTCCGCTGATTCATATTACCATGATGTTCTATCCTGCCACGACAGCCGTCTACGACATCAGCCCAACTCGATGCATGATGAGGATGACGGACGCGCCCAAATGGCGAATTTGACCATGATGGGGGCGCTTCTTCCGCAGTTCACCGACCGAGATCTTTCCCACGGCCCCTTCTTCTACCGGTTCACCGACCTCCGTCAGAGCAACATCTTTGTCGACAAAGACTGGCACATCAGATACCTGATTGACCTGGAGTGGACGTGCTCTCTGCCAGTAGAGTCTTTACGTCCCCCGTACTGGCTGACCGGCCGGCCCGGTGACAACATTCTCGGGGAACATCTCGACACATTCAGCGAGGCCCACGGCAGATTCGTGGACATATTTCAGGAGGAAGAGAAGCGTTATCCACCTCTCTTCAATGTCTCCACCTATCGGACAAACGCCATGAGACGAGGGTGGGGAGTTGGGAACTTCTGGTACTTCCATGCCCTGAATAGTCCCAAAGGCCTATTCAACATCTTCCGCGGGAGCATTCAGCCCAGGTTTGCCGCATCTCAGAGCGCCAATCCCACTGACTTCTCGAGGATAGTATCCGAATATTGGTCAGTGAATACGACGGGTATTATTGAAGAGAGATTGAAAGCCAAAGACACATATGAGAATGAGCTACGCCAGCGCTTTCAAAACACCTCGGATGACACATGATCCTGAGCACCTGTTAGCACGATGCCTGCATTTCACCCCAAAGCTATCTCATTGTCATCCAAAGCCAACAAATCAAACCACAGATCTCCAGCAAACCAAAATCCATACCTGGAACATCAAACACGCGGCAAACAAACTACTACGACTTGATAATCACCCCCTCAACCTCCCCCATCCTGCCTTTGCCCCTATCGCACCACCACACGCCCCGTATACCGCGTCATGATCCGATCCGCCAGCTCTGCGGACGTGCCCCCCTCGCCCCCGCTCACCTCTCCCTCTGAGTCCGACACCTCCTCCGCGTACACCCGCGGCTCGGGCACCGGGCCCGCCCGAGGATCCTCAGCGCGCATAGGCCGTGCCTCACGCTCATAGCTGCGCTCGCGCGGCCTGTACCGGTATCGCGGCCGGGCACTCGGCTCACCCCCGGCCGTCGGGTATGACTCACGCTCGTAGACTCGCGACCGAGATGTGGACCGCGGCCGCGAAGGGCTACGCGAAGGCGACCGGGATTCCCGACCCGGGCGACGACGGTCCCTGGCGCGCTCCCGCAGCGCCGCGATCAGTGCGCCCGCTACGGCTGGGGTGACTGAGCCCAGCAATTTCTTGGTGGAAGGGCTGAACTCGGCGCGGGAGCTACCGCGGGCATCCGCTTGCGTGCAACGCTTGAAGACGGCGAGCACACTTGCCGGTTCGCGGGGGTAGTCTTGGGGTGGATTCGGGCGTGAGAGTCGGAGGCGGTCGCGCCAGGTGGTTCTTCTGTCCTTCGGGGGTGGTGGGTACACCGGGTCCAGGACGAGGAGCATCCAGTGGTGGCGCGAGGAGGGGTCGGGGATGAGCCAGTCGGTGATCATGTTTCGATATCCCGGCGGAAGAGTGGTCAGCGCTGCGTACGCTTCAAGATTTAGGGTGCCGGATGGGGCGGACTTCTGTTCTTCGCGGGCGAGGCGCTTGGTGAGCTGTGGGAGGGGGTAGTCGACTGGGTGGACGGTGTAGGAGACTGGGGTCCTGGTGATGAGAAGGGACCAGGTGAAGGCGAGGCCGTCTGCGGTGGCGGGGTCTTGTAGGCTGAGTGGGATTTTGGGGTTCGGTTGCGATGATGGGATGGTGTTGACCATTCTTAAGAGTCTGTGGATGCAGAGGTAAGTAGGTGGGTCTGATCAACATGATTCAGTTCTGGCTATCACATACTGTCTCAATGCCACAGGATCGCCTTTGTATCTGCTCCACAGCGACAAGATCCTCTGCTTCGACTCTCTAGGATCATCCTCCGGCGCCAGCGCAAACTTCAGGGCATAGTCAATCGCTTGCTTGACAGGGTTCTTCCTCCCCGAGTCCTCGGGTTTCGGAGCGTATGGCGGCCCGTATTGCGCGGTGCTGACATCGCGAGAGTGCTCGAATCTGCCCTCCTCAAAGGCTTCATCGCCAGTCATGTACGGTCGCTCTTTCTCGAGATCATCAGACGCGTCTCGTGTGGAACGCCGGTCGCGGCGGCGAGCATACGCACGGTCGAAGCTTTCGGGCGAGATGCCTCTGGTCCTTGGCTTCTCGTGCGCTGGTTCCTCACCACGTTCTTCACGCATATGGGTAGTGAATCGATCATTTTGTCCGGGCATATCAGCGTACCCAGGCCGGTTCGCTCGTTCGAGTCTGCGACCACAGAGGACGAGCTCACGACGGGCGACGGTGCGCGAGCGCCACAGCGCGATGATGCGCTCGACGATCGCCTTCCGGTCTTCTTCTTTTGACCTGCAGTCCAACCAACATGAGTACGCAATGTTTCAACAATATACAAAAACACAACTTATATCGAAAGATAAAATGAGAGCACAAAGAAAAAGGAGAAGAGTCCCAGGGCAACCCACGTCGAACTAGCCTGGTAAGTACTCAGCGCCAGCAGCATCTCGATCTTAATCTTCTGCAGCTCCTGCTTCAGAAACTGCAGCTGAGGCTTGAAAAGCGGCCACGAGAGGCGGCCAAAAAGTGACACATCAATTTCCGTGCGCGAAACCAGCGTCCTACTGTCGCTCGTTGTGTCGCTCGCCGACGTGGTGAAGGTGGTGGTGGTTGTGCCAGGAAGAACGGATCTACCCCCCGCCGCCGCTGCCGCCGCGGGCATCGTGCCCCCACCTCCTGAGCGGCGGAGCAGCCTCGATAGCCGCTGGATCACATCCTGGCAATCCTGAAGACACTTCTTGGCCAAAAACAGCCCGTGGGCGCTCCAGCGCGCTGTGGTTTTGTTCTCCTGAATAATGCGATCGAGTTCCTGGGCGTGCGAGACGGTCGCCTCGATCTCGTTGGCGAGGTTGGCGATGTCGTCGCGGCCATGACGCACATCGGCGATGTAGGTGTTCAGGGTGGTCGCGAGGCTAAGGCCGAGCTGGGCGAAGGCGAGCACGGCGCTGGCTCCGTCCATAGTAAGGGTAGGGGTTTAGGGTGATGCATTCTGAGGGTGGAATGTGCGATGGTGCTTCCGTGGCTTCATATGAAAAGTTGGCCTGGCGGTGATGGAGAAGGCTGACAGACAGGCAGTGTGGCTGTGGCGGGGTCGAGGCATATCTGAGCCTCAGGTGGGATGACAATCCTGCTTATGTACATCGTACTCCGCACGCAGTCCAGAAATTAACAGCGAATTGTAATTATCGTGGCAGCAGAATACGACTGCCAAGCAGATGAGGGGCCACATCCCGCCTATAGCATCTTGTGCGCTGGTTTTAGTTGCCAAATCCCTTCCGATTAGGGCTAGCAGCTGCATCTCACAGCCTTGCGTGCCCATCCAAGATCCAACCCAACGATCAAGTTGCGATAAATCCACCATGAACCGACAGCACAGTACCTTAACTAAGTATCCAGCTTCTCATCACCCCTAAGCGATCCGGGCATATTACACCGATCACGGCATCTCAGAGAAGGAACACCTGGCAAACACTACCCTTGCATTAAACTGATGGGACGAACGAGTACATTCATCACGAGACCGACTGGCTCTCAGCTCCCATTCTTTAAAGAACATTCCCCTTGGTCTGCGTCATGTTCTTGACGTTAATATTCCTCATCATACCCACCCAGGCAAACCCCAAGACCATGAACGCGGTAGCCGCCGCCAGCATCCTCGTCTGCGCGTACCCGTACGCCTTCTGGATGCCCAGTCGCTCCTCGCTCCCCACCGGATAAGCCAGCTGCGCCGGCAGACTCTCATAGATGGTGAGAAGATCCGGCTGCGCGGATGCCGGGAGATACCGCTTCAGGGCCTTTTCGAAAGTGTTGGTCCAGATGGCGCCGGAGATGGCACTGCCGATCGACCCGCCGATCCCGCCGGCCACGTACAGGAAGGCCAGCACGGCGGCGACGTGCTGATGGTCGACGACCCCGAGCACGGCCAGCTGCACACACAGGATGAAAATGCCGCCGGACACCGAAAAGAAGATCTCGCACATGACGATGTACCCGATGTATCCGTTGGGTTGGCGGAAGTGGATCATCAGCCCCATGGCGAAGATGTAGAGGGGCACGCAGAACCACAGGATCCACTTGAAGCGGCCCGTCAGCCGGATCAGGTAGCCCGCAATGAACAGGAACACGAACGAGACCACGCTGAAGGTGTTGGTCACGTAGCCCGCCGTGGCCACGTCCAGGTTGTAGACGACCATCAGGAAGGAGGAGAAGTAGCTCGCGTAGCAGTAGTACGAGACCTGGTAGGTCATGTCCAGGAGCACGGCGCCGAGGACGGTGCGGTCGAGCAGAAAGCGGTTCTTCAGGAAAGGCACGGGCGCCCAGTAGATCTGGTAGAGGAAGAAGAACACCAGCAGCACGAAGCCCACCACGATCATCGCAATGATGTAGCCTGTCTTCCAGCCGTTTGGTGCCGTCGTGGCCAGGGTGAACGGGAGGAGGAAGATGACAACACCGGCGGCGAGAAGGAAAACTCCGGGTACTGTGCGTGGATCAGCAGGAGCGAGGCAGGTAGATTTTGGGGTAGGAGCATGAGGACTTACAGTCAAACTCTGTGATGCACCACCAGATTGTTTCGGAAAAGGTTCGGTTGCTCTTCTCGCGCACCACGATCTGCTCCTTGCGAGCCTTGCGCAGATTCCACGCCAGGACAGCATACAGTGGCAGAGCTACACATGGAAAGACAATGGCCCAGCAGCCGACGCCCCATCGCCAGCTGACATTGGCGTAGAATCCCGCTCCAGCTTTGGATCCTGCGAAAGCAGTGATTATGCCGGGAGAGGAGGTGAAGGCGAACGCCAACCCTCGATTTCTCAAATTTGTCACATCTGCAGCAAGAACATCCCACGTGTAGCTTAGTCCTCCAAAGCCGATCGTATAGAACACCTAAGAACACGGTCTAGCTGTCAGGAAACACTGCATCCAGCGTTGATTGGGCGATCGGACTGTCTTACCTCAGCGGCACAATAGGTGGCAAGGTTATGCGAGGCGGCCATGAGAACCAGCCCGAGGATGCAGAGAGCCATCATGAGGAGAAAGCTTTCCGCGCGTCCCCAGACATCCAGCATTTTAGCCATAGGAATGTAGATCGCGGAGGTGATGGACCCCGCAACGATCGTGATGACGGTCAAAAGCGAGTGGGCCTGGAAGGAGCTTGTGATGAAGGGGTTCAAGGTGCTGACAACCGTGGATTTGAAGCCGTTGACAAGCGTCAATAGCCAGATGCTGCGAGTTGAAATGTCAGCTGGATAACAATTATTTAGGAAAGGCTTCGATAGACGATCGCGTACAGGATAAGTACCGTAGCCAAAGATGCCTTGGACCAAGCCATGGTCACGGCTTCGATCTTCTGGACACCAAACTGTGCCCCCTCGCTTGGCTTCTCTACATCTTTGACGGGGTCATCAGCATGTGCACCGGCATTGGTAGGCCCAGCACCCTTGCTGCTCACGATGTTCGTCTGGATTGTCGCAATGCGATCTTCATCTGAAATCGAATCCTCGACCTGTGCGGCCATTGTTCCACCCCGAATCTGCTGAAACTTATTCAGGAACGTCATTATGCGACGACAAGCGAGGACTGTCCGGATCAAGATTGCGTGCAGTAAGAATTAGCAGAATGGAACCCACAGAGGGATAAGTCAAGTATTTAACCCGGCCGAAGAGGCACGACCGATTTGGAGAGGATTCTCCGTCAAGGAATGCCACCAGCACTACTCGACTCATGCAAAAGGCGACAACTTAGGACTATTCCCAACTGAGAAAGAGTACTGATTGGTAAGGAATCACATGATGATGGTTGCATTCCATCCACAGCCACTTGGTTTATATTACAGCTCGATACGGCTGATTAGGGTTCAAAGTTACCCTAGCTGCAGGAGCAAGCGACAGGATTACACAGAGTGGGGGTGTTGACCCAACGATATCGGACGATACATTTGCACCACTACATCAGTAGCGTTGGACCAACCTCCCAGACACGTTGTAATTACAGCTTCCGGGAGAACACCTTGACTCATATGCGACTCCAATTATGTCCAGTACAAGAGCCCTTGCGGTTGAAGCTGGCAGCATCATCAGCAAATGATGGGGTTTAATCACCTTGCTCTCAGGCTACCCTGGGCCGAGATGAATTCAACAAGCGTGCGGTTCTGCGAAGAAAGGGGCCTCCTCGAGAAGCAGTATGGAGCGACAGAGCGAGATATGGCAGCAGTGGCACGACCTCAGCAGCGAAGCCCCCCCTTCTGGCCAAGACCGCAGTTGCCCTCTCACCCGGATCATCACCTTCATCATACCGGCAATCATTCAGAACGCGCCCTTCCACATGGCCAACAATACCTCTCCTTGGCATCCCTTGAGTGAGGACGGAGAAACAAGCCGATTATCGGAAAATTTACACTGTTAATATGATGATGGATCATTGATGGCGGGTAGATGGCTCAAGAAGGAAAGAACAATGTGCTTGGCGAGGTCTAAAAGCAGATGCTACAGTGGTGGTAGTGTCAAGTAGGGGTCCGTGGCCCGTACAATAAGCGAGAGAGAGAGGAAGGATCTGAGTCCCTGTTCATCGTAGCCAATATGGTATCTCGAATGGATTCAATCTCCACTATACTAGAGCGGGTCCACAGACGAGCGCAGTTTCCCAATTGAGGCGCCTCCCGCGCTGGCCTTGAATCGCGACGAATTCCAAGTGTCCCAGTAACGCAAAGTTTTCAACCACGGCAAGATCTCGGATTGAAGGATTGAATTGTTTTTGCTCAGTTTGCGGTTCAATCCGTAGAGGATCACTTGCACCCACCTCCTGTCAGGTTGTCTGTGACCAAGGGGCAAGTCGAGAGATCTCAATGTTGAGTGAGAGTTCCCGTGGCGCAATCAAGCCCGGATCAATTGATCAATCGAGAGGGGACGCTCGGATCAGATTAGATCAGTTGATCGGGAAGGCTCCACGCCACACCTTCCTTGTATTGTAATGTCATGGTTTACCACGCGGGCGCCGGCCGCCGGCCGCCGTAACCGGACTACGGAATCCGGACCTCCTAGCCAAGCTCTCAGTTTTGCAAGCAACATCTGTCGATGCAGTCCTATTGGATCTGGTCGGTACAACGTCTTCGAATAGCAGCGTGAGCCACTCTCCCAACCATTCCCAAACCGTTCCAAATCACGGAAAACAGCTCTACACTACCATCAAAATATCACCACCGACTTCGGTATCCTGATGCGCAGTTTGTCGAGCATCTACATGGATTTACGGGCCCAGGCGCTTGGATTCGCCTCCGCATCAATCACATGCTGATCAAAACAAAATCATTATTAGAGACACGCAGGCTTGAAGAATACACAAAAGCAAGTTGATGAAGGCATTCCCTAATTCGCCTGTTGACGACGGCACATCTCCCGTGTTAACCTCCCTTGGGAAGAAGCGCACGGCTGTCCTCATCCACCCCCGGTAACTGCAACACCTTGCCCTCCCGGCCGGCGTCGCTGCCGTCCTCATCGTCCCCATCACTAACGTACTCATGTTCCGACCCCAAGTCCAGATCAAAGTCCGCCGCTTCCAGGCTCTGGTAGTCTCTGCACCGCCGCCACCAGACGACCGCCGCCGCGAGGCCGCCCAGAACCAACAGCGCCACGCCAGTGGCTAGCACAGCCACGACCACCTTCGACAGGCCAGGGTTGGACCTTTTCTTCTCGGGACGCGGCGGATCGAAGAGATCCGCAGTCCCCGACTCATCGTACATATCCCTGGCGACGGACAACTCCGTCGTGTTCAGGTCGACGGTCTCCGTCGCCGCCAGCACATTCCCGCGGTCATCGACCGCCTCCGCCCACAGATACCGCCACTCCGTGCTCCCTACGACCAACTTGGTCTCAAACCCGGTCCGCCGCGAGACCACCAGAATCTGGCCCTTTCGGTCCTCCGCCGCGGCCACATCCCCGGCGGCGCCGCGCACCACCCACGTGTTCACCTCTGTGGCCCCGTTCCAGCTCACGTAGACGACCAACCGTCCCTGAGCATCCTTCCGCGGCGCAATCGCCGGATCCCACCATGGAGTCGCGGACCAATCCACCTTGTAGGCGCGGTAGTTATCCAGCGCGTCGGGGATGTCCGGGCTATGCCAGGGCGAGAACTGGACGTCCAGGACGGTCTCCCCGGAGGCGGTGTGCTCCGTGAATGAGGGGCAGCGGCCCCAGCCGATGAAGACGTTGCCGAGGTCGTCCGGCTGCGGGGCCAGCGGCTGTACGCTGCCCTGGCTCTGGGCCTGCAGGCGGGCCGGGTGCCGGAACTCGCGGAGCAGCTGCACGGTCGGCGGGGAGGCGGTGGTGTTGATGGCGATGTGCAGGCCCCGCGAGCAGTCGGTGTCGCACGTGCCGTGCGAGGTCACTTTGACGTGGTTGTCGAAGAAGGTCAGCTGGGTTTCGTTGGTGCCCGGCACGAAGCGCGCGTGGTGCTGCCAGCCCATGGTCAGGATGGGTTGGGCGGTGGATACGTCTACGCCGGCGGCGGGCGGGAGCTCGATGAAGTTGTTGCGCGGGCCGCCTAGGGACCACAGGATCGAGCCGGTCGTGCCCGAGATGAGGTAGATGGTGTGCATGTGGCGGATCGAGATGAGGTAGTTGCCGGCTTGTGTCTATTCCCGTAGTATCGCTGGGTTAGTTTGGGGTGTGTGTCTGGTTTTAGGGCTACTTTCCCGTGGTTGGAGTCTCACCTTCTGAATACTGTTGAGATGGTACGCATCCCACCCGCTCCCTCGGGGCTCGAACGACTCCATCGGGTTGATGTGGTCCAGGGCCCGCCAGTCGAAGAGCACCTCGTTGGTCTCGAGGTCGATCTCCTGGAAGACCGCATCCAGCACCTCGAACCGTTCGGGCGTGCCCCACCCGTCTTGCAGATTGGACCGCCGCGCGCGGATCTTGTCGACCCCGGTGACCAGTGCCGTGCCGTTGCCGGTGAAGGCAAACTCGTGGAGATCACTGTGGACCTGGAGGTTCTGGGCTGAGATCTTGTAGGCCAGGCGGTAGGTCTCGTCGAACGCCAGGCCGTAACCGTCACCGATCCCGTCGCCCTTCTCCCCGCCCCAGAAGGTCAGGTACTTCTTGCCGTGGTTCTCCTGCACCCGAGTGCCGAACACATTCTTGAACGAGCGGTTGAGGTACACTGCGCTTAGGTCGTGGCTATCGAGGATGAGCGGCGAGGAAAGCGGGGAGGAGTCGTTTCCGTCGTGGCGGAGGAAGATGTGCGAGCCCGTGTCGGAGATGTTGTCGGCGTCCCAGGTGTTGACCTGCAGCACGGGGGCGTACTCGCTGCTCGAGTGGAATTCCAGGTGCGGCCGGTGGCCCAGCGCGCCCTGATTGTATCGTCGGGAGTTGGTCGAGACGAAGTCGCCGCTAGTCACCGTTGCAAACCACGCCCCAATGCATCCCCAGATCAGAGGGCGAACCATGGCGAATTTGCTGGTAGGTGTCGGTACAACATGAGAGATGAAGTCTTACTCTCAGATTCATCCTGCCGAAGCAAACAAAACCTGGCTAATGCCCGCCTCAAGTGGTTTTCTGGAGGGAAAAGCATTGATGCATCATGGACGCCAGGCGAGCGAGCCGCCCCACTTTTCCGGTGGGGAGCCAGTGTTGGACCAATCACCGTGCCCGAAAAGCCCTGTTGCTTGCGTATGCGTCGTCGTCCTCAAACCACGACAGCCACCCACTCGTGACGAATTCGCGGGCACAGACATGTTTAGAGTCATGTGCAGTTGTAGATAGGAGAGTATACATCGATGGCCTCGTAGTCTTGTTTCTGGTTTGGGATGCGGAAATCCTTGGCAATGGCCCACTCAAGCATCCCGCTCCAAAAAGAAGACAAGTCAACCCGAATGTAAATCATACAGGTAAGCGACTGTGAACATTAGAAACAACCTCGCTCCAAAGTCCTTATCACCGAGCTGGTCCCCCCACACCCACAATCCACTAGTCCCGACCCGACAGTCCAACCCGGAGTCGTTCATCGGCAGTCTCGCACGAAGAAGCGCACAACACGATCCACAATACAGATTTAGCATCTACCGCGCGAACGGCCAACCCTCGAAAAACGCCGTCAACCCCCGATTCAAAGAGCAAGCCATGACACTGGTGTGCTCCTCGCCCTCGTACAGCCGCACCGGCACCGCATGCACCGCGGGAGAGTCGCGCAGCATTTCAGCGAGCTCGAACGCATTGTCCCCCATCCGCCAATGCGCGGCCGTCCGCCTGCGCTCCTCGTGCTCATCATCCGACTCCCCCCTCCGCCGCGGGGGATCCTGCTCCCACGACCCCACAAACATCATCAGTGCCGGCGGCACCCGCTCACGCTTCGCCTTCTCCAAAAACCCTCTAGCCTCCTCCAGAATCCACCGCCCATTCCACCAGATTGACGGACTACTCGCCAGATAGCAATCGAACGCGTCCGGCCGCGTGAACAGCGCATGCAGCGCGAACAGCCCGCCGTAGGAGTGGCCGTAGAGGGCGTCGCGGGCGCACGTGACCCGCAGGAACGCGGCGCGTACCGCGGGGCGGACGGTGTCCGTGAGGAAGGTCAGGAACTCGTCCGCCCCGCCGTGCTCGGGGACGGCAGGGTCGGAGGTGGGCGGGGTCAAGTCCCGGCTGCGGCGGTGGAAGTCGTACACGTTCCCCGTCCCCTTCAGTGGATAGCCGATCGCAACGATGAGCCCGCCGCCGGTGAAGTCGGACATGACCGCCCGGCGCCATGCGGCCTCGGTCGCGGTCAGGAAGAGGGCGTTGCCGTCGACGATGTATCTGTCTCTGCGTTAGTGGTGGTTGAAGCTAGGGTGCAAGTGTCTTAGGAATGGTTACAGGATAGGCAGTGGGCCGCTGTCTGCTGGGGGCTGCTCGTCTGTCCAGTGTAGAGGCCAGGATATCTGGATCAGGTGTTTTTCGCCTCGTGCATTTTCGAGGTAGAGTTGCTTGGAATTGGGGAGGGTGATTGGTGTGATCTCGAGGGTCATTGTGACGGTCGGAAGGTGAGGAGATCTTTGCAGAAGGCGTAAGGGCAGGATGTAGTCAAGAAAATGTTTTGCATTGCGATGCGCCCGAGCTACAGAGTAGATTCTGTTGTTTAAAGGTGATCCGGAACCCTCCGCGAATCGGATCGTACGTACCACACAGGGGACGATCCGGTCCCGACAGGACGAACCTTGGCGCGATCAGAGGCGGTTTCACTGATAAGATTATCAGATCAGATTAGATTTGCACACTTGTGGACTACGGTTGCTGAACGCTGCTGCTGTTGTGCATCGGTTGAATTTGCGTTATGCCAGATGGTCGCCTGTAAACCTTTCTCTTTGATTGGAAAGATGAAAGAAAATGGGGTCTCAGCGCTTTGCATCGTGGCGTGATTAAAGGACGTGGCCACATAAACACTATAGATCGAATCCCATGCATCCTTTCAAGGCGTCATAGAATCACAGATGGAAGGGTTCTCAGTGTATCAAAATCATAACAAGTCTCAGGTGCTTGCTCAGGTTGGCACTGGGTTTGGGTGTCCTCGGTTGCATGAAAAGAATTGTCAAATCCTCGTATAGACCCACATTGGAGCGAGCCCTTCGCATTGTGGCTCCTCAGCCGCCCCACCTCGATTGATTTTATGAGAGGCGGTTTGGCCCGCTATGAGACGGGCATAGGGTTTTTTTTTTGGATCAATTTGCAAAGGTTAAATCCTACTACCATTGAGAGTAACAATGTGTTGATTCTCATCTGATGACAACTGCGAGAGAGGTGGAAGATGGATGGATTTTGGCTACGTGAGGCTAGCTGCGCAACTCCTTAGCTAAGGCCACCGAGGTGGGCGGTGGGCGAGCAGCCTGATCACCAAGGCCGCAGGGCCGCCGTCATCGTCCACAACAGAACAAATGCACACCTTTCTTCCGAGACTAAGGCCTCTTTGTAAGAGGTGAAAAGTCTTTGCCAACAGAAAGAGACAATCCTCTGCCAGTAAGCATATGTTGAATGAAGCATTTACTTTGCACCAAAGCGTTCTCTGGCGGAAGAAAGACTCGACCCTGGCAATTCATGGTTCTATCACGGCACAACCATGGCATTGGGATTTTGCGGGAATGGTATACGAAGCCCAAGGTATCCGAGTCAACTGTAATATCGATCAGTCCCTGGGAGCATCAAGCCATTGATCTTCAACCTGAACGTGTATGCAACCAAGGTACAGCCTCCCGTTGGAACACCGGATTGATAGGTTAATCGAACGCGGGCGCACAATATGGATAGGGCCATCCTCCGACCATCATCGACACCCCCGAGCGGGTCTCCCAGCTGATGGACGATCTCCTCTTGGACCCCACCGAGAACTTATACGTCGATCTCGAAGGCGAGAACCTCTGCCGCCACGGCACGATCACAATAGTGGCTATCCACCTCATAGAGCCGCGTCAGACCTACCTCGTGGACGTGCACACCCTAGGCGACGCAGCCTCCCACACCCCGGCCGCCACCGACAACACCACCACCCTCAAGACAATCCTCGAATCGCCCACCCGGACCAAAGTGTTCTTGGACGTGCGCAGCGACTCCGACGCCCTTCGAGTCCTGTACGACATCCTCCTCCAAGGCGCCGAGGACGTCCAGATCATGGAGCTCGGGTTCCGCCAGTGCACCGGCGGCTGGCTCCGGAGGCTTGGTCCTGCGTTCTGAACAGCACGCAGCTCGGCCTTTCGGCGGAGGAGAAGAATGAGTGGCTGGAGAACACATAAAAGATGACGAAGAAGTTCCTGTCCATGGATGGCGAGGGCAGGGAGCACCACGATCCAGGCTTGACCCAGCGGCCGCTGAACCCCCGAGGCTGTGGAGTACAGCGCCGGCGACGTGGTGCTCCTGCCGCAGCGGCGGCGGGAGTACATTGCCACGCTCGACGATTTTCAGATGTGGTCCGTGGAGCGGGAGACGGCAGTGCGGTGGGAGGAGTCTCAGGATGATGGGTATGTGCTGCGTGGACGACGCAAGGCCTTGGTGCCGTGGGCGGTGGGCGACTTTGAGAACTGGAATAAGGAGTATAACCGGATGATTGAGGACGAATACTACCCTACTGAAAATCATGAATCGGAGGCCTCTGATGCCGAGAACTACTTCTTTTGGTCCCATCAAGTGTCCTTCTGGTTCTATGAGGTGGCTCTATGAAGTGCTTTCATGAAGTGTCCTTTGGATGATGCTTTTGTAATGTCACGGATACAAGTATGTACTGTTCATTCTGTCCGGCATGTTCATGGATCCTCGGTTCTTCAGGAAAAGCAAATAAAATGGAAAGATAAAGAAGGCCATCTTGTACAAATGCCCTGGTTCATTACTAAGAGACTCTTAGAGCGTAGGCAAGGTCATACATATATCATTCTTACCTCATCTACGTCCTCTAACATCCAGCACTTTGAAGATAGCAAAATGGCTCGAGGACAAGCAGAACACAGAAACAATATGGAAAATGAAAGTTGAAGATAAAGGCCAGAGAGAGAGGCTCACTTGTCAGAAGTCGGAAAATAATTTCACCTTGTCCCTGCTTCAATCGACTGTCGATGTAAAGATACGGTAGTCACCTTGAATATGTGAGCTGGCTAAAGGGGGCAATGGGGGGCGGTGGGGGGCGGTGGGGGCGGAGTAGATCTAGTGGCAGGAACATTCAGGCACCCGATCCACCGCCCCCACCGCTGCCTGCTGCAGTGCTCTCTGCTTATTTCCCCTCTTAAAACCAAACACGGTCCGCTTCTCATCTCCTTCTCCTCTTTCCAAATTTAATCAACCAACTGCATCTAAACACAACACTCAAAACCGTCATCATGGGCCAAATCAAAGACCTCCCCCCCGACCCCCCAATCCCTACCACATCCTCCTCATCCTCCATCCCCTACCCGCTCCCGGAAGACGACCTACCCCCGGCATACAACGAAACTGACCAGACACTGACACGAAATGCACCCTACCGCGACGATCCGCTCTCCCCACCCCACGAAGCTTACGCCATCCCCGGCCACCAACCGTACCACAGCGTCCGCGAGAAGACCCGCCACGCCGGGGTCGTCACCCTAGACCCTATCCTCGCCACCGACGCCGAGGCGCTGTACAGCTTCGTCGACCAGCAGACCCGGCTGCCCCCGCGGCCGTGCCTGATCATCGGCGGCCAACACCACGAGAAGGAGCGTCGCGGCAACGACTCCACCCGCCGCACCGTCTGCGACTTCAACTTCCGCATCGACCTGACCCGCACCTTGCTCACCTGGGGCGGCACCGGCCCCCTCCAGCGCTGGTCCTACACCACCGTCGTCGGCGACCATGATCACCAGAAAGCGTACCGCGGGGGACGCTGGCCGTCGCGCGGAGCGCGGCACGGGAAGAAGTCGGGCGGGCGCATCGCACTACCGGCGGACGAGGGGACCACGGAACTCGGGGAGGGGGATCGACTGATGGTGGGGTTGGAAGCCGGGGATGCGCAGGGGGAGGATGCCCCGGGGCTGCGGGGGTGGTGTCGGCGGTTCTGCGACGATCCGGCCCCTGTTAAATCGTACGTTTTGCGGCTGAACGATGATCTAAAGGGGGGAGGCAAGGTTTGACTAACAATCCGAACGGGATGTAGATTCACCTACCGACGCAACCTCAACGGCTTCGACGCCGCGCCCATGCGCATCACGCTCATCGCCCACATCCGCTCCACCGGCTACCAAGGCCATGTCCACGTTGCCCCCTCGCTCGCGAACGGCACCATCACCGTCTACTCGCCGCACTGGATCAACCGGCTCCGCAATCATGGGTTCGTGTACTGGGCGTGCATCATCCTCCAGCTATGGGTCATCACGTGGCCGATCATCTGGTGGATGGAGCGGCGGTACGAGGTGGTGCGGTCGGAGTGGTTCTCGTCCCAGCTGGTCGCGGATCCGGCCCACCCCAACGGGCAGCGGAAGGTGTACGCCGGGAACCAGGATGAGGCGGCCGCGGCGGAGACGTGGGCGCCCGTCGTGCGCGAGGCGGTGTGGCAGGGGCGGAAGGGCGGGGACATTCTGGCCGAGGAAGAGGTCGAGCGGCTGCGGCGGCTCGGCATCCAGCGCCGAGACGCCCTCGGCCAGGGCGGCGAGTTGATCCGTCGCGGCCAGGCGGTGCTGGGGCTGATGGGCATCCGCAATATCGGCGGCGTGAATGTGACGGGGGCGTGGGGTGCGGATCGGTGTTGAGGTTGATGTTGATGCTGATGGGTAATGGTCGACCGGCTGAGATTGTACAGTACATTTGGTGATTCAGAGATACCCGACCTTGTAGATATCGCGCTGCTCTGCGTGCATTACCAGACCCTTGTTCTTAACGTGTTTATGTCACGACAATCATTTGGCTCTTGTACTGGACTCTTCAAGTCTTACACACAATAGATAACTGCTCTATGACGACAATTTAGGTTTGCGGGTATACTACGTCAAGTGATGCATAACCCTGAGCAATTTGAAAGATAATCCGAATCATGTTCTCCTGCCTTCAACGGACAGATCATTCTACAGCCTTGTGGGGTCCATCCGCCGTGCTTCGCAATGCATAATACAGTAGTTGTGCTGTGCTATGCTTTTTGATGAGTAATCGATTCACAAATTCAGTATAACTATAGCGGCTTGTTCCTAGGACTTCGGGAGGTCATTACAATGGATCTGATTTAGGAGTCATCATGGAACTCGGTTATATTTCGAAATGGTTGCCAAAAAGCAAAAGAAGAAGAAGGATAAGCTTCTCTGAACAAAAGGAAAGGTGAGATCAACGTCAAAAATCAGCCCATGCATGTCTCTTGAATATATATCCATCCCTCCACCCACAAGGACTGCATAATTGACAAATTCGACAAATCGGTGATAAGGATTCAAGATTCTGATATTCTACCAGGCTAATACCTACTGAGTTGCACTGATGCTAGCCAACACACTTGATGCACAAGAGTTTCCCTTCCCATATGGACGGAAATTCTCCGCCAATATCTTCAGACCTATCTTTTACCCCCACCTTCACCACCCCCCAAAAAGCTGCCATGGACGCATGTCACGGGGAACACGCCCGCCATCCCAAGCTGGCTATATCGTCTAATGTATACACCACGATAACATGAAGCACCTCGCCCGCTCACGTCTCGACTGATATGAAGAAAACACGACCTCCTAATGTTGTTTCTTCGTCTGCGCTTCATCAGGCCCCATCAGCCGGGCGGCAAGCGAGACCGGCCAGGCGAGCTGGGGCGAGGGGTCGGTGTGCACCTCACCCGAGGTGATCATATCGACCACCGCGACCGCCACATAGGCTCCTATGGCCGTGAAGAAGTGCCACCTACCCGATTCGACTGGTCAGTTGGTCTGGTCAAGAAAAGGGCAAATCATTCGCAAATCTCTTGTCTCGATGGGTGACCAATACAAGAGCCTGCAGAAGGTGGAAAGACTTACCATCCATGCAGCTCAAAGAAAAATGCGACCGGCGCGCCGACCAGCTCCCTGATGCGGGTCAGGTGGTTGCACGCCCACACATCGACCAGCCAGGCGAAATAGCCGAAGAGGAAACAGACTGTGCTTCTGTCAGGATCTGTCCGAAGTGGGGATGATTGCCTCGAAGGGGATGGGGGGAGCTTACATATACCGAACCGCCCGATGTTACGGGTCTTCTGCTTGATCACCGGGTTGGGAATCTGATGCGAAATGTTCTGCATGGTCCGTCGCGCGATGAGCAACGCCCCCGCCCCGAAGGTCACGGCGTGAAGCAGGAACTCGTCCATGACCATGTGGACGACCATGACGGTGGTGAACTCCAGGGCGAGCACGATGCCGATGAGGCGCCGCCACTGCGGGCTCACCTGGAAGGTGAGAACCCGATACACCAGGGGTGTGGTCAACAGATGCATCGAGAGCTCGTCCGCTGGATTTCAGCACGGTCAGTCTTTGGGTAAAGGCATGCAGTTGATCAGGTCAGGTGACATACACATCTGCGTGTGGTATTTCAGGGTCATATGGTACCCGGCCGAGCAGATCCCCACGCCCATCAGACCTAACCAGGGGATTGCCCGTGCGAAGGATGCAGAGGGCTTGGATCGAAGCTGGCTCAGACCATAGATCCCATAGAGGACTGGGGATTTGTGGCAATGCGTCTTGTTAGCTGGCGGGCATCAGACTGCTGGGCATGTTGCCCCTTGATTGGAGGCCGAACGCACTGTAGATAAGGCTGCTGCATGTGTTGATGAATTCAGCCACATAGCGAGTGACGACATAATCCTACAGTCTGAGGCATGAGTTTCTGCCCTTCTGAAGGATCCTTGGCTCATGGGATCATGTACTGTACCTCTTCACAAAAGCTACAGCGTGTGAGTTACGGCAGTTATCAGGTGATTGTTGTGAGGAAGCTTACTTCAAGTAGGAGGTTTGCGGGCCCCAAAAGGGGTCCTTTAACGATACATCCATCCGGGGAAATGACACTGGGGACGTCGGGGATGAGAAGGTATGTGAGGTCGTTGTTGGTGGTGTAAAGTTACAATGGAAGAGCACTCCGGCGGTTCCGGAGCTGGCTTGCTGCTGCCTTGTGAAGAGAAGCGCGACGTGTCGAGGACTCGGGCAGGGCAACTGCCCCACTGGAGGATCCACTTCTTATGTACGGGCTTGGCATCACAAGCTTTGTGCCTGTCCCAGCCAACCATACCTACCACATTGGTCACTCACACCAGAACTGTTTTCTTTTCTGACTTTTGGTCTAACAATATGCAGCACATACTACGTAGGTAGCATATGTCAGTACTGTATTCTTTTGTAAGTTTCATACTACCTCGTCCATTGTGACCAGAACATGCACAGAACGAGTGGAATCACTGCGCAAAGAAACGGTCATCCATCGATTGAACTAAATCATCTGGTTAACTTAGACAATTGATAACAGGTATAGTACAGGCACAGAGATATTTAAGGCCAATAAGTCAGTTGTCAACCCGGTCGGCACAACTGGCCCCGCGGCCCAAGCCACAGTAGCGTGGCTGACGATCAGGTGACATGAAAGTGTGGCTGCGACAGCGGTGACTCGGGCTTCTTGGGTCGTGGCGGCTCGACCCGCTCTCGTTTGGCATCCGGGAAGTTACAGTGAAATTGTCATACAACCTCCTGCACCGCAGAAGAAACCTCCTGTACTACCATGCCCACGCGACGTGGAACAATGCCACCACCCGACCGAGAGCAGGGTCCCTGCAGATGAGCGTCTTCCCCGTACTGTACACTATATATACATGCGTGACACCGTTAATTGGCTGGCTCACGCGCCCCCGATCACGCCGTTATCGGCCCGCGTGCATGAAGCATCACCAGACCCTGCAGGGCTCGCACACTCAGCGTACCATGACTCTTGCAATGATTCTGCACAGTCAAACATACGACGAGCAGTGTATGTTGCTTTTGTTGTCAGCGCTGCATTCTCACGCGTCTCACCAGACAGTTTGACTCAATTGCCGCAGGAAACAATCTTGCGAGCCCAGACAGTTGGGAATCGTGGCTCCGCTCTCGTCGCATTCAGGACGCTGGGTTGATGCGAGATGTCAAGGAAAGAACAAGTAGTTTTCCTCCGACGGAGTACTTGGCTCTCGAAGATCAGAAACATTGGATGACCTTGAAGAGTAAGAATGGGCTCTGCAGATGCCATGTCTATTGAGACCGAGCTTATTTTGTCGTTGACGTTGCCACTTTGACAGCTTTGAAGTGGGCACTCTTCGATACTATAGGTGTAAAGGAGACCATAAAAAGCTTGAGACTACACTCCACCACCAGCCAAAGCCGGTATAAGGAAGACGACTCGTTTAGTAGACCACAACAACAAGGTGACGATCACTTTGTCAATCCTAGCTTTACCAGAAGTGGTAGTCCATCGCAGATCTATACTGATGGCATTTCGGCTCGATTATCGACGGGCAAGCTAATTTGTGACGATGGCGTCCGATCTAGGGAGATGGCCGATGTGTGGACCCTGGTCGCAGCAAAAGAGTTTATGTAATGTAGCCCGAACTGGTCTCCGCCCAGACGGGAGAAGCTTGTAGTGCTCTATAGTGGAAGCAAGGGGCACTGAGAGGCCGCATGCAAAATTCACGATACTCACTTCCCAGCGTAAGACAGGCACGCCAGGAAGAAAAATGCGATAAGCATCCTTGAGAGCAGGGCGACCAATATTGGTCCAGAGCAGTCGAGAGTTCCAATAAGGGTCACGCTAGTACTGCATAGATCGACATACATATGTAGACAGCAGTAAGAACTTGGGCCGCGGTATGCGAGGTGAAGACTCGGTGGCGGTTGGCGGGCCCTAAGTCGGACGATCTCCACTGTCTGCGTGGACCCGATTGACCGGGCCCCGCCGCCGAGTGTCAGTGCGCATCTGCTCGTTGGTTGCTGACCTGCGCTGGGCCAAAACTTATTTCCTCTAGTGCTGTGAGGGGTAAGCTGACAGCCTGCAAGACCCAGACACAATCGCCCCTGACAGAAATACATCTACCTCCCCCCCCTGCACCCCAATCGATCGATCGATTTCTTCACACTTTCCGAAGTCATCTGTTGCTGAACCCTGAACCACAATGGCGTCAACCGGTGATTCGACTCCTTCTACCACCGTGGATGTGGCCCAGTTCACTCAGTCAATCAAGGGTATCGACCGTACATCCTTTGTGTATGATGGCGACCGAGTCAAAGCGCTGAGAGAGGCGTACGCTCTGATCAGTCGCCTGGAGACTTCGTGGGATACCGTGGCGCGGCTTTGCCTTACAGAGGTAGACTTTCTGGCCCGTGGTAATGAGTTTCTGGTCCTAACACGTCCTCCAGCCTGCCCTGACCGCGGCCCTGAAAGTGAGCCAGGACCTACAGCTCTTCGAGAAATGGCTCCAAGTAGGAGAACAGGCGGAGCAGTCAACCGCACAGCTTGCTGAACTGACCGGCTCAGACCCCGTCCTACTCGGTAAGACAACCGGCATGGACATTGCATTGCATCTGCCCACAATCCTAAACCCTGATTAGGCCGCATTCTCCGCCAACTGGCATCCACCAACATCATCATCGAGGTCTCTGCCGACCACTACAAGCAATCCGCATTCAGCAGGTCCCTCCTCGAGCCCGTCTTCGGAGCCTGGATCCCATTCTTGTCCGTACCCGCTGAGTCCCCTGACACATACCTAATAAACTAACCCCCGAACCAAACCCCCAGACACGACACAGTGAACCCCTGCTTCGCCAAAATGCCCGAATATCTCGCCAAGACCAACTACCAGAACCCCACCGACCCCAACGACGGCATCTTCCAGTACACCAAGAACTTCTCGGGCTCGCTCTTCGACTACTACGCCCAGCACCCGGCCGAGAGCGCCGTCTTCAACAACGTGATGGGCAGCGTCATGGCCAAGCAGGCGGGCATGCTGGACATCTTCCCCTACGACCGGCTGGCGGACGACCGGCCCGATGACGATTCGGAGATCCCGCTCCTGGTCGACGTGGGCGGCAACGTCGGCCACGACATGAATAAGTTTCTGGGCAAGGAGCCCGGCCTCGCGCGACGGCTGGTGCTGCAGGATCGCCCGGAGGTCGTGCGCCAGGCGATCTGTCCGGCTGAGGTGCGCGCCATGGCGCATGATTTCTTCACGCCGCAGCCGGTTAAGGGTATGCCCCTCCCCATCCGCCTTCTTTTGTTTTCTTTTTGTTTGTGCCCAGACTGAGGAGGGTGCGGGTCCAATGGCAAAGTGTACGGTGAAGAAGGGAATGGCTAACGCATGATTGGTGTGAAATTGACAGGCGCGCGGGCCTACTACCTGCACGGAGTCCTGCACGACTGGTCGGATGAGCTGGCCCGGCAGATCCTCGAGCACCTGCGCGATGCGATGACCCCCGGGTACAGCACCTTGTTGATCCACGACCATGTGATCCCGGCGGTCGGAGCGCACCCGCAGGCCACGGGCTACGATCACACGATGATGGTGCTCGTGTCGGCGTTCGAGCGCACCGAGGGCATGTGGCAGGACCTGTTGGCGTCGGTGGGGCTGCGCGTGGTGAAGATCTGGAGTTCGCCGCTGGCGACGCAGAGTGTCATTGAGGCGAAGTTGAGTGGGGACCGTTAGGGGGTATCTGTATAGGCATTCGGACAGCTTGAAGCAGCAGTATGTTATCTGTGCCGGAAGAATGAACTGTCAACTTGGCTGGTGCTCAACCCACAGGGCTTGCACGGGCTATGATATGATTTATGAGCCTAATAATTCACTTTGCTTGCCTGTACAAGATGGTCCTGGATGAGATATCTTTTGACTGGAGAATGCACTGCATACGCCTGGACTGTGGCAGAAATTGGGCATATCACCGATCCTTCCTACAATCGTTACACATGTAAAGACTCATCACAGATCTGCCTGCTGAGTATAACAACACCATTCGATCACCAAATCAAACAAACTCCCGAACTTGGAACCTCAGCAAGATCAATTCCAAACAATTCAAAGGCTAGGGTATGAGACTGCGAAAACAAGTAAACCACCAATACGAACCCCCCCCCCCACTGCTTCACCTCTCACCACCATCCTTCCCCTTGCTCTCATCCCCACCACCAGCTGCAGCTGCCGCCTCCCTCAACGCAACCACCGACCTCTTCTCCTTCTCGACCCCCGCCCGCCGCTGCGCGGTATCACAGAGCCGCAAATCCCCACACTCACACTCCCCGCCCTCCCTCAACCACCGATACGTAATACTCCACCGTTCCCCCCTAACCCTCACCTTCGCTCCCTCACCTTCGGCGTCCACAACATCCGTCTTCCGCTTCTTGATCCCATGCGTCCAAAACAGCCTGGCATCGCCACTCATACACATCAAACTGCGCGGCTCGCAGTCGACCTCGACGCGCTCGTCCCCGCGCCGGAACTCCATCATCACCGGCGCGCCCAGCGACAGCGCGTAGAGCTGGTCGTACGGCCCGTGGGCGTCCACGTGCGGCGGGATGCCCGCCCCCGGCGGGTAATACTGCAGACAGACCTGGTCCGGGGCGCGGGGTTCGCGGGCCGGGAGTAACGGGATCAGCCAGTCCGGGAACGGGCGGTAGGGGATGGCCGGGTCGATGTTGAAGGTTTTGTAGTCGAAGGTGTAGCCATAGTGTAAAGAAATGCGACCGGGGCGGGTGGGCCATTGCAGGTCGTGGCGGAAGATCTGTAGGAGGGTGGCTTCGTGGGCTGGCGTGATGAAGTCGGTTTGCCAGAGGAGGCCCCGCGGTTGGATGGGGAGTTCTTGCATTGGGTTTGTTAATTGGGGGTGGGTTGGTGGGGGGTCCTGGGGTGGTGGAGGGTCTGGTCGTGTCCCCATAGTGGACGAGGTGGGTGGTATGTCTAGGTCCATGTTTAGGGGATGGTTTATTATTTTCTAGATCTTTTTGTAATTCTGGTATGAAAGAGGCGAGATATGGGTGACTTCTTATTGATAGCATGTTATCGGGGAGGACCGCCACGTGATGTCGACAAACTCTGATCGGCTTTGGCATGGCAAACAGGCAGCTGATTGGTGGTTGGTTCTTCGCCGGTGCCTGGAGCACGTGATTCTTATTATGGGTGGATGACTCAGCTGGCTATACAACAGAAGGTCATTGCATAGAATCGAGGTGAATCTCATATGATCTCACTGAAAGGTAGCATACAAAGACAAATAAACATTAATTTATTCGAAATCGGACCCACTCAAGAAGCCACGGCTGAGCCTGTTGTACCACCGATCAGATGCAACGCCAGATGCAGCGACCGGCCATCACGCCTGTGAGGAAGAATGTTTAGTATTGCACTGGCCGCATTCAAGCGTGCAAGTCAGATTGTCGTTGCCCACAACCTTGATATGGCCGAAGAATGGCTTTTGACAGTGACGGCATCTATTAACCTTGCTGAGTTTCTCCAAGCTTGTTTTCAGTTGCTGGACTTTCGCCTCCGTCGCGGCTCGCTTGGCATTCGAATTGAATGCCTCTTCTGCGGAGGCATGTGCACGCTTCTTGCATTCGTTGAACTGGAGCCTCAGCATCGAGACACGTCGTTGCTCGGGAAATCCCTCAGATGTCGAACGACCATGCCGCGCAGATAACCTTGAATTGCCCCATGAGGGATCAGAGGATAGACCTCTGCGACCAACTCGTCGAATCCAGCAGGTGACCATGGCTGTTCCAGAGACGCCGCTTTTATCTTCTCTAGTGCCAAGGCTTCCAGCGCTGGGATTATGTAGTAGCCCGCGACCATACTCATTTCGAGATGAGGACGCAGGGCCTCCGCAATGGTGGGTGGGGCTATAGCAAAGGTCTCTACTGTTCTTATGCCCACAAAGAAAACTGCAGTTTTTGAGGGATGTCTGACTGAGTTGCGAGGGCCTTGCATTAATTAAGCATCGCCATAAACCAACCATCCCACGGGCGTGTCTACTCCTCCCATTCATACTCTGGCAACTGATACCTATCAGTATTGGCAAAAGACCCCGCAAAGAACTTCTGCGTGAGTTCCAGAATCCCACTCCAACATAGGAAAGCAAACACCGTATTCCTCAACCACAGCCCCCAAGCCGTCTGCGGTGTGAAAATCGCCGGAAGAAACCGGGGCACCTTCTGCATGTCGTCAATCAAAGGACGCATTACGTCCTCATACCCCCGCAGGGCACCCGCGAGATTGCCCTTGTGCTTGCAGACCTCCCCAGCCAGCACATATGCCCCCGCCATGGCAAGACTTGTCCCGGTGCCCGTCGAAGCGGCGTACCCGGCATCCCCGACCAACACAAACCGTCCCCTCGACAAGTGTGGCAGCTTGACATGCACAATCTCGCTGGCGTAGAAGTCCTCCGCCTCCATCATGTCCTGAATCACCTCGTCGCACTTCCAGCCGGCGCCGCGGTAGGTCTGCGCCACGAATTGCTTGAGTCCATCCTCGCCCTGTTTCATCGCTTCCCGGAATGACTTTGTAGCATCTCTGCCGTGGGTTGGTGGCTGGTGCTTGATCATGACCACGCGATTCACGCCCCAGGGGTCAGGCGCAGCGGCGATGAAGCGCCCGTCCACAGCATTGTACGCCTTGCCGAAATTATCTCCCGCTCCCAGGAGATCTTGCTTGATGGAGAAGTAAGCCGCCCAGCTACCGGTCGGAACGAGGTGATCCCGCACGCCGACCCCGAGTCCTATGGCGCGGGTCCGCGAAGTCGCCCCGTCGCAGGCTACAACGAGGTCAAATTCTGCGGCAGGGGAGCCGTTGGCAAACTCGACCATCACGGAGCTATCCTCGCCTTTCTCGCCGTGCTGCTGGATCGAGGCAACCTGTTCGCCAAAGATATAAGTAATATTGGGATGCGTTGCGGTCCGGTCGTACAGAATTCGGGATAGGTCCCCTCGGTAGATCTCGTACTCGGAGACGAGGGACTGCTGGTCGGGGTCTCCAGTCGTGGAGATGATTCCGTACGGGCGGCCGTCGGAGCGGACGAAGCCGATGCCCGCCAGCGGGATGGTCTTGGCCCGCACCGCCTCCTCCATCCCGGGCATTCGTCGCATCACCTTCACGCCCACGGTCCGGATGTCGATGTTCTGGCCGTTGGTGCGCAGGTGCGGGAAGCGCTCGATGACGGTGACTTTGGCTCCGGCTCGGGCGAACCAGTAGGCCGCTGTTGGGCCGGCGATCGATGCGCCCACGATGAGAACTCTGAGCTGCGGCATAATCCTTGGATTCGATCGGATGTGAATGTCCTTTGTTGGGATTGAACAGTGGTGACCCTGGAGGGGTTTTTTATACTATGTGGCCGCTGATAGAGGGATTTCCTGATTGGCTGGATGCTCGGCCGCAGACGATCCGAGGGTCTGACCAATAGAAGATCAAATTGGACCGGGATGGGGACAGTTTGAAAGGTCCGTTTCCAGCCTCACTGCGGAACCGGGATGGAGGAAGGCTCCGACTCCCGTGTCTGATATCATCTCCGGTGATACAACTTCTCCTGGTAGCAACGCCCTCATGGATCCACCATCCTACTCCTCCTCATGTCCTTGATGGTACTGGATCAACTGATCCCAGTAAGCCCAGTCCACGGCATCGAAGTTGATACCGTCGCCCATCTCTTCATCTATACCCTCAGCCACCGAACTAAGAACCGCGTCAGTGTCACTTGCAGACGGCGCTGTCGAGAACATTGTATCGCCCCTCTCATCTGTTGCATTTGGTAACTCTGCTGAAGGCCCTTCCGTAACCTTGCATTTCGTCGCCTGCAATGAGCGTGAGGTCGCAATGAATCCCGGCTCTGCACCCGTGTCGCTTCGCGCATGAGCATCCCAAGCTTTGAGCGTGAGCCTCCGCAGTGCCACATACAACGGCTTCGTGTCCCAAAGCTCATCATGTTGACCATAAAGCTGCTCAACCTTCTTCCACGCCTCCTCAGTCTCCACCGGAGAGAGAACACTAGCCCGCGTCCACAGGGTCGTCAAGACGAAGATGAACGAATCGAAGGTGCCCCACAGAAAGAACGGCCGGACATGCCACCGGTATCTCTCCAAGCCCGCGTGGGCCGACACCGCCGCATCGGTATCCAGGATCTTCTGGGCGAGGTGCAAGACCTCCCTCATCTCCGCGTCCGTGGCAGTCAGATTCCGGACCTTCGTGAGCCGGACACGGAGCCGCATGGCGGTGATGCCCGCGCGCGCCAGCCCGACCGTCAGAAAATGCAGCGGGTCGACGACATCGCAGTAGCGGATATACTTGTCCTCGACCTCCCGCTCAGCGGCACCGATGACCGACTCGGCCTCGGGCAGGCTGCCGAACTTCCACGGCCCATTGCTGCGCAGATGCGGGCTCATGCTCGCGAAGAACCGCCCGATGCAGGCGCGCGACAGGCAGAACATCATCTGCGTCGCGCCCTGCTGCTCCCGCGGGGCTGCCGTCATGCCGGGCCAGATCTGCTGGTCGTCGACGTTGAGCGGGAGCTGGGTGTCCCACGCGTCTGGCGGGATGGACACGACGGTGCCCGCCATTTGACTCGCTCGGCCGTCGAGGGGTATGAGCTGGTAAAATAGACGTCGCCGCATCTGGACATCGAACGGGCACATTCCCAGCTTCTCGCCGTCTTGGTAGAGACCGATCCGCTGCCCGATCCGGACGGCAACGCCCGTCAGGATCCAGTACGTCTGCGAGTCGTAATACTGGCGACTGGAGAGAAGGAATAGGACTAGGGCCTGTAGGACCTGGATGTCACTCGTTTTTAGAAACGCGGCATTGACCAGCGCTTGTTGCGCGGCGGAATGGTATTGTCGGCTTAAGGTACTGCGTGGACGGCCCAGTTTTAGCATGCAGTCCGCGTCCGTCATCGCGTAGACTGCGAATTGATAAATGGCAAACACAAGACACTCATCTGCATCGGATGCTAGCTCCGGATGATGCGAGACCCTTTCGATCGTCGCAGACGTGGAGGGGATGTGCAGGATCTTGCAGAGCGGTTCCACGCTCTCGACATGCGTTTGCCACAGCAGCGTGGCCTCTGCGTCAGTTGGGTGATACTGCAGAAGCGAGCGTCGAGAGCCCACGAGCGCATCGGTCAACGGATCAGACATCAAGCACTCGGGTGTAGTGGTCAACTCCCGCGCCTGCTGCTCCTGCTCTTCCTCGAAGACGCGTCGCACCTCCTCTTCCCCGAGATTATTCCACGGATGTCCGCTGACATATCTCGACGTGCCTTCTGCCGCAAGCACCCTACCAGCCTTCGAAGCTCCGGGTCCGTTATACTGAAACGAAATCGGTTCAGGCGAGGTGTCTCTCGCCGTCGGCCGCGTGTCACCGTCCAGCAAGCCGTGCTGCCGCAGAATGCGCTCGTATCGCGCGAGCTGCTCCGAGGGCTCCTCACTTATCCTGCGTTTCCGCGATCGCGGGGACGGTGCTCGGTATGAGCACTCGTGGTTGCCTCTGCGGCAGCTGGAGCAACGAGGCGTGAGCCTGTCACATCTCACCTTGCGTCTGACGCAGGTGCGGCAGGTGTATGGCACGGTGGTGGTGGTGGTGGTGGACGGGGATGCTTTACCACGGGGACTAGCCTCTGCAGGTGCTGGCAGTATAGCCCTTGCTTTAGCATGCATGTCGGGCTATTTGCTTCCCCATTATACTTCATGATGGAGACGAATTCTTGGGCGTGGAACATTATTGTTTCCATGAACGGCTGGGGGGGGATGCGTCAGCACTAGCATAATTATGTAATACATGATTGACCCCAATTGTGCAGCATTTATTCTCTGCCTGCTTTCAAACTATAATACCCATCAAGGCAAGAAAAAGTGAAGATTGTTAGACCATGGCTCCACTGGTGACTTTTCTGCGTCGTTGACTTTTATTAACACTCTCTCTTTATTTTCTTTCAGCTAACTTAGGAGGTGACATATCGAAAGTGTTATTAATGTTCAGCGCTTTTGGTTCGACGTACTTATACATCATGTATGCTTGATGAAATGAAGGACATACTGGTAGTGGATGCTACGATGTAGGATGGAAGGCTTTACGTTGGAACCGATGGGTTTACTCTTCATTGATAAGTTCTTCAAATTCAATCGCGTGATATGCTTGTCTCAGCTACCTCTGAGTGGTATGATCAGCCACCCGGGCAGTTCTACTGAGCGCCCAAAAAGTCCCGAATGACCTGCAGATATTTTTCCGGCTCATCAAACTGCGGACAGTGGGAGCTCTCCGCCAAAGTCACCCACTTCACCTTATCGATGGCCCAGAAGAACGGCTCGACGGTACTATCCTGGGCCTCGTCATAATTCCCATTGATCAGCAGCGTTGGCACCTGGATCGCATGCAGACGATCCAGCACGCTCCAATCCTTCAGGTTGCCCTCGATCCAGAACTCGGATGGGCCAAGCCTAAACCCCGAAGGTTAAAGACATTAAACTAAATTAAAAGACGGCAAGGCAAACGGCACAACGACTCACATGGTAGACGCGACGGTAGAATCCGTCTCGGTCGCCCAGACGATACTATCCACAAACTCCTGCGGCCAGGGGTCCACTCGACAAGAGAACTGCGACAGGAAGACCATGGTGGCGTCCTCGTACTCCTTCGAGTCGAGCCGCCTCTCGTCCTCGCACCGCTGCAGCGTCGCCTGCACGTCCGCAGGTAACGTCGCGCGGAGCCGGTTCACGGACTCCAGCCACAGCGACACCGAGGCTGGGGCGTTGGAGAGCACGAGACGCCGCAGGCCCGCCGCCGGCCGCCGGATGGCGAATTCGGCGCCCAGCATGCCCCCCCACGAATGACCCAGGAGATCGAAGGGGCGGCCGGCCGCAAGTCCCAAGTGGGCGAGCAGGTTGGCCAGCTCGGCGACAAACAGCTCGACCGACCAGAACCCCTGATCGCCGAGTTTCTCCGGGTAGTGCGTCGACAGCCCGTTTCCGATCTGATCGTACAAGATCACCGCCCGCTGGGGGCCGGCGAGATCGGCCAGGGGCAGCAGGTAGTTGTGGCAGAAACCCGGACCCCCGTGCAGCACGACCAAGGGGGTGCCGACCGTGAGATCGCCATACACGCGATACCAGGTCTGCGCGGGTCTGGGGAGGTGTTCATACTGAAACGGGGCAGTTCCTTCATGCATAGTTGCTCCCATGAGGTCAGAAGTATTTTCACGAGGGCTTGTTTGTGAGAATTCGTTAGGGTTGCAGATAGTAACTTAAAGGGAGCGAATAGCGCCGAATTTCGACGGCCGCAACGAACGATGGTTAAAACGAGAGGGGAAACCGTTATGCAGTGGCCGAATTTAATTCTCTAAACTTAGACTAGGTAGACCCAGCCAGCCCGTCTTGGAGTGACAAGGATTTAGAATCGCCGAAAATTTCCCATCCAGTAGGAAGTTGGATATGTGTGAAGTGCCACACTAAGTGAAAGCTGCATGGGGGATGGGGCCACGCAAAGGTACGGATCTGCGCCAACCGGCCGAACCCTAATAAATTGCGCGGGCCACCTCCGGATCCACCTCCATGTGAGACACTCAATCCCATGGCAATCTACTTTTTCCGCCTCGTTTTTCTCTCCTCGTTGGAGATATTCGTCGTGTGATCGGTTTATGAAGCAGAACCTGGATGAGCGAGGTGGAATCGCTATGTGACGCTGACGCCCATGCAACACTGTCTGCTGCAGCCATGACTGTGGTTACGGACACGAATCGCGCCCCCGTCATCGGAATTTTGGCATGGTTTCTCATGGTCATCGCCATGCTCTCCGGGGGAACACGCCTTCTGATCAAATATGTCATCGTCAGGAAGCTGACGATGGACGACTACCTGATCTCGGTGGCTCTGGTAGGTGTAATGCGGAAAGGGAAGCCATACGGACTACATGTTCTGACCGTGCGAGCCACTGTGCAGGTCTTCTCGGTGCTACAGGCAGCATGTGTTGCAAATGCAGCCGGCAATGGGTACGGTCAAGAGCAACGAGCTTCATCGCAGCATCAGCTGGCAGTGGCTTTGAAGGTGTGTTTGGATCCGCGTGAACAGACTTGACATTGACTGACATAGCCGGGGCTATAGTCAATCTATGCTGCGGAATTGCTCTACATCCCCTGCATCACATTCGCTAAGCTGAGCTCTCTGGCATTCATGACATTCCTGATGCAACGAACCCGCAAAGTGGAATGGGGACTGATTGTCTTCATCGCAACATGGGCCGTGACTTGCGAATTTGCCGTCGCGTTCCAGTGTGCCCTGCCCCAACCGTGGAACTGGCTCACGCAGACATGCTTCAACCGGGTAGGATTGCCGATGAACCGCATTTGGACGCGATGCAGAACTCGACTAACCAATCGAGCAGGCGGCATGGTGGTACTACTTCGGAATCACCAACATCCTCACTGAATGCGCTCTGATGGTCTTTCCCATTCTAGTCGTCTCCAAGATCCAGATGGCTGATACGAAGAAGGCGGTGGTGATCGGGTGTTTCGCTACTCGTATCTTGTAGGTGATCCGGTTCCTGTGTGTTGGACAGGATCATAAGCTAACGCAAACCGTGACGGCGGGCTCAGAGTCGTAGTCGCTATCGTGATGGAGCTGGTGTATCGAGGCCGCATGCAAGAAGATCCGGATGAACCCCTGCTCGAAATCTGGAAGGTCGCCGTCTGCATGCAGCTGGTTCAGTGTCTGGCCATTATCGTCTCTTGCATCCCTCACCTCAAGCCATTCATGGATGGACTGCAGTCCACCGGGCTACGACTCTATCATCTACCGGGGCAGAGTTCGACGCACGAACAATATGGATACGGATCGGGGAAGAAGAAACGAAGCGGCACGGCGCATGAGCTGAACCAACTGCACGGGTCGGCTCACGACACGACCATACTTGCGGAACAGCGGGAGCGCGACTGGGACGACGCGCATAGCCAGACCAGTCAGAGTCATATCATCCGTCAGACGATGACCTGGGCCGTGGAAGAGCATTACGATCCTAATGTTGCCGCCGAGTCGATCACCACTGATGGAGGGTCGAATCGCAGTCAACCAGTGCGCTAGTGTGAATGGCATTGGCGGGGACGGGGAGAGAGAGGGCCACCATGGCTTTAATCCTTGACAGTAGCTTAGTAGAGCTTATCAGAATAAGGAAAAGTGAGACATGATGGGGCTGTGGGACTTAGCTTCGTAACAAACGACTGCGCGTCGGCCCAATGTGAATTCTCCACAGTGAATATATTAGTTCCCCTGCTAGTGGAAAATAGCTCCGAGGCTAATAAATATGCTTAGTCTGAAAGCGCAGTGCTTGTCAGCCCATTGCAAGTGATCGACTGAAGCGAACGCGCGGGAACTGAGGGATTTAGTCACACATCAATTTATATCCCCTGCTGGTGGGGTGGTTGCGCTGAATAAAGGAGGACGGCCATTTGATCTGTTTCACCCACCTGTCCTCATCAATCAAACTCCCGTGCAGCGATGAGAGTGCAGCAGGGAGGGGGGCCACTCGTGCCACTAGTTCAGGGCTGGCGCCCCTCTTTTGGGAATGATAGACGACGACTAAGTGTCCTTGTGCACCATGAGACAAAAGCGCGGGCGAGAAGAATGGGGAAGAAAAATTATACAATCCCGTTTTGTCTCTTTCAATTTTGATTGTTTCTTTGCTCTCTTGTCTTCTACCACGCCTGTCTCATTACCGCGTGGGATCTTGGCAGCTGAAGCTTCTCGGTAGTCAGCATGGAGGACCCGATTCCTCTCCGCGAACGGCACGTCGACACCAAAGCCGCGAGTACCAGTCACACCCAGGTCCAGGACAACCAGGGGCTCGGACGTGTGGGCAAGAAGCAGATCCTCAAGCGTCGCTTTGGTTTTCTGTCCATTCTGGGTTTTTCCTGCACTATCTTGGCCTCTTGGGAAGGTATCTTGTCGACGTTTGTCATCTCGTTTGAAGAGTATGTGGGCGCACCTGGACGATATCTTGTCTGATTGGCACCTAACAAAGGTCTATCGGACAGTGGAGGCCCGGCCGGAACCGTGTATAGCTTCTTGGTTGTCTGGTTGGGCACTTTTTCGACCTTCCTCACGCTGTCGGAGTTGGTCTCAATGTATGTGCTCTTGTCCATTCCTGCCCGACAGAATCTGACATGCCTCTCGTCTAGGGCCCCAACGTCCGGGGGCCAGTACCACTGGGTCTCGATGATGTCTCCGGCATCATGTCAGAAGTACCTTAGCTTTCTCACAGGTATGTTCTATGCCGACCTTGTGTGTCACTCTAGAGTTGTTTGTCATGACTGGTTGACGGACTTGCCCTCCAGGGTGGTTGATCGTCATCGGCTGGCTGGGAGCATTCACATCGACTTGCTACCTGAGCGCCTCCCAGATTCAGGGCCTCGTGGTCCTGAACCACAGCACCTATGTCCCGACAGCATGGCAGACGGTACTGCTCTTCTGGGCCATCCTGGCGTTTGCCGTGTTCGTCAACGCGGTCGCCAGCACCTGGCTTCCCAAGTTTGAGGGATTTGTGCTGATCCTGCACATCGTGGGCTTCTTCGCCATCATCATCCCACTCCTTTATCTGGGCAGTCACAACGATGCGTCCGAGGTGTTTGGAACATTCCGAAACGACGGGGGCTTTCAGAGCGAAGGACTGGCGTTCATGGTGGGAATGACGGGCGCTATGTTCTCCTTCACGGGGGCTGATGCCGCCGTTCACGTAAGTCTGCTCGCCTCCTCATGTCGGACTGGCACTAACCTGACTTGTGCTTTAGATGAGTGAAGAGATCCACAACGCGGAGCGGGTCGTGCCGCAGTCCATCCTCACCTCCGTTGTGATCAACGGCCTGCTGGGCTTCGGCATGGTCCTGAGCACCTTGTTCACCATGACCGATGTTGACACCGCGCTGGCAACGCCCACTGGATATCCCTATATGCAGGTGTTCTGCTCAGCCACGAGTTCCGTCGGCGGCTGTACGGTGATGAGTGCCATCGTGCCGATTCTGGTCACAGCCACCGCAGTCGGCTCGCTAGCCTCGTCATCGCGCATGGTTTGGTCTT